ATACTTGGCAGACATCTCACTTCAGTCAGGCCAGCACCCCTGGGTTAGAATATTAAGGGTCTCAGTCTCAGTCCCCGTTCTTGATGATGGTCATGAGGCAGATGAGGGATCTTCTATGGGGAATCACCAGAGTTCTCTAAAGCGAGTGGTATCTGACCAAGAGGTGGGAAATTCATGAGCTGCTGTGTATGAAGCAGGTGTACAGAGCAAGCTGCTCCTTGCCAGTCCCTCCTCGAAGCAGTGCAGTGTGGCAACACAGCAACAACACCTGCAATCCATCACTTGGTGAGCGTCCACCTCAACCAGGCCAGAACTCCAATCGGGGTCTTCAGGGTCTTCTGCCATTGCAACGATCATGGGGCAAAAATGAGGGGAACTTTGGACTGTCTCTTACACTGTGGCACCATCCTGGCTTTGTCAGATGCAGTGAAGCAGGTGTTGCCATGGTCCTGCTGCACTGCCAGCCCTGAGGAGCATCTGCCAAGGTTCTCTGCAGGGAACAACAAAAGACATCCTGCTGTCACCCTGTTTGAGCAGTACTGCTGCATCAGCTACAGACTGAGAGTCACCAACTCAAACACAGCTGAGAAACCTCTGGGTCATCCTGTATCTAGTGGGTAATATGTACATGCAGATGTGCAGATGTGCAAGTTTAAGAATCAAAAGAGAATTTGTATATTTACATGTTTCTGTCTAAGGAAGAAAACAGAATTTTAATGTTTAAAATTATGTTTCTTACACAGTGACTGTGGAAAAAAATGCCAAGGAACTGCTGGGGTTAATGACCCTCAGTGTAAAGTTCATCATTTTCCCAGTATCTTGCCATTAATTGGCAGGTGCTGCACTGTTCTTTCACTGCTTGGTTAACAAAATTAACCTCGCATTTCAGTATACAGTACAGAAATTGGAATAGCATAGCATAGCATAGCATAGCATAGCATAGCATAGCATAGAATAGAATAGAATAGAATAGAATAGAATAGAATAGAATAGAATAGAATAGTTATGGTTGGAAGCAATAATCTAATCCAACTGCCACTTCCAAAGACCTTTTTGCTAATTCAAATAACATTTTGGGACTGAGCAAAGGTTAAAGCCTATTGCTAATGGCACTTTCCAAATGCCTCTTAAACACTGACAGAATTGGGGCATCAACCACCTCTTCAAGATGCCTGTTCTTCTCTGTGACCACCCACAACCCTCGTGGTAAGGAAATAATGCTTCTTTGTATCTCCTGTTTCAGCTCTGAACCATTCCCATGCATCCTGTCCCTGGATGCCAGGGAGAAGAGCTCAGCACCTCCCTGTGCCCTTCACCTCCTCATGAAGCTGTGGAGAGCATTGGGTGTTGGGGTGTGTTTTAAGTTTCCCCCACAGTTATGGTTGCTCCCTCTCCCCCTCTTTTTGTAAAATGGTCCAGCTTCCCTTCTCCTCCACACTCCGTCTGCCTGTCATTCCTCCCGACACCCAGTTCATTGTATTCCTGCTGAGTTATCCCCCCCAGCCTCACCCGGAGCCTGTCTGTCTGTCAGAGACCTCTCCCTTCCACCTAGACAGTTCCATCCAGGGCTTCAAATGATAGGCTGGTCTCCGGGGTCCCCTCCCTCCCTCCTTCCTAATGGGAAGTTTCCCCTGCGTGTCACCCCTGTTACCACCCCAGGTGTTATCCCATTGGTTGGCTGCTGTTTCCTCCCCTTGGTACCACCCGCCTTTAACCAGCAGGGCACTCGGTGCCCATCGCCTTTTGGTGCTTATCTTCGAGCGAGTAAACTCGGAACACAGGTACCCCCAGAAGGACGGCTCCTTGCTTTTGTCCGAGTCGCTCTGCTCTGCGTGTCTTTGAGTCTGGTGGCTTCATCTTCCCACCGGCCGTACCTCGTGCCCACAGCGGCACATGAGAGTGGCCTTTGCTGGCAGCGCTACAGGCACTGGGCTGGCCGAGACTTGGGACACTAGCAACAGCGCTGGTGGCTCCATGGTAGAATTCCTGTCTGTCATGCCAGCAGCCTGGGTTTGATTCCTGGCAGGGGCACTAGTGCTGGCTGAGACTTGGGAAGGCACAGTGACAAGTGAGGTCACTTTCTCCAAAGGGAACAAGCCCAAATACTTCAGGTGCTCCTCACAGAAGGTTCCAGCTCTGTTTGCCTCCTCAGGATGCACAGAAGGACCTTCCCATCCTTCTCCACCCGCAGGGCCCAGCAGGCCCCAGGTGAGGCCACCCCAAGGCTGAGCCCAGGAGGACCATCCCCTCTCCGGGCTGTGCTCGGTGCTCTGGGATGGGGTTTGTTGGGATGGGGTTTGTCCTTGGGACTGCCTGGGCACTGCTGACCCACCCTGAGCCACTCCTCTCCCACTTCATCCCTGCACCTGGTGTTACTCCTTCCCAGGTGCAAAATCCACCTGGGACTTGACAAATTTCACCCCATTTATGATTGCTCAGTGCTCCAATCTATTTAGATCCCTCTGCAAAGGCTTCTTGTCCCTCAAGAGAATCCACAGCACCTCCTAGTCTGGATCATCAGCAGACCTGCTACTGGTGCACTCACCCCCAGCATCCAGCATTGACAAACACACTGAGCAGAACACACTGTAATTAAACAATAAGGATTTTGTTTGTATCCATTATTCTTCACCTTTCATTTTCCCAAAGAGACTACTTTGAAGATTTCCCATGCCAGCCACTAACCCAAAACTAAAATAAATGAAGTTCTGTTTCTAAACATTTATTCTGTGAATAGAGTAGACAGACATTTGCTTGGGAATATTAAGTATTTTTAGGAATCCAGGAAAAATTTTTAGGAATCCTGGAAAAGCAAGCCAAATGTGTCCTGGGCTGCATCCAGAGCCCCGTGGGCAGCAGGGGAGGGAGGGGATTCTGCCCCTCTGCTCTGCTCTGCTGAGACCCACCTGGAGCACTGCATCCAGCCCTGGGCTCCCAGCACAGGAGGGACAGGGACCTGCTGCCCAGAGGAGGCTGTAAAGATGACTAGAGGGATGGAGAACCTCTGCTCCAAAAATAGTCTGAGAGAATTGGGATTGTCCAGCCTGGAAAAGAGAAAGCTCTGGGGGGACCTTAGAGCTCTTTCCAGTACCTGCAGGGGCCTCACAAGCAAGCTGGAGAAGGATTTTTTACAAGGGTAGGTAGTGATAGGACAAGGGGCAATGGGTTTAAGCTGAAAGAAGATCAACCCAGGTCAGATACAGAGAAGTATTTTCTGTTAAAGGTGTTGAGTGAGTCACTGGAAAAGGTGAGAGGCTGTGATCAAAAAACCACCAATAACAAAAATCCCAAAGGGATGGCAAAAATGAGGCAGGTGGATAAAGAAGTAAAATTTGTCAACTTCTTCCTTTTCCAAAGTTTTGAGTTCTGCAGTTTGGTGTTTGAGGAAAATCTTAAGCCTTCAAATTTGAACATAAGCATTAACTTCTCTTTCAGCTTTACAAGAGAAACTTCAGCCCTGAAAAACTAAGCAAGTATAAAGGCAAATAAACTGTAAACCAGTTTGGATTAGTAAATATATATACAGTTGTATTTTGACTACCTTTACTAGGACATTAGAGAAAATGGGCTTTTTAAAATTTGTTTCTAAAAGGTTGCAGTGACTTAAAAGATTTTTATTTGTTTGATCCTCATAACTTCTATGACAGCAGACCTCCTCAATGTGTTTTTAATGTCTATTTCAAGATTTCTTTAATTTCAAATGACTATCTGCTTCTCTCATAAAAAGACATTCTAAACAGTTTCCTCCTCTTCAGCCCTAGAAGGGGCATCATAGAAAAGAAATTGCAAAAAAAAAAAATTGTGAGTCCATGGAAGCAGTTTGGTTAAGAAATCACTCTTGTAGATCTTCTCATGTGTCCCAAGTGCTTTTTCTCACTGTTGTGGCTCTGCAGGAGCAGCTCTGCTGGCCCAGACTCTGCTGCTGTCACAGCTCAGGCAAAGTGTGAGTTCACTGCTGACATCCCGACTGGGAGGTCTCTGAACTCCCTCTCTGCCCCTGTGTTAATGATTTGTGATGCTGTGGATCTGGAGGCACATCAAGAAAGTATTTCCTTTATGACTGTTAAAATGAAATAGACTGACTACTTTCTCTTCCCTCTCACAGATGGCTGTGGGCATAACAAGACTTCCACACTTGGCTAAACCAGTATTTTTTACAGTATTTTTCCACCAGGAACAGAAAGTGCTTCCTGATGATTTGTTTGCTGCCACTCTGAAGAAACACAGTATTCCACTTTGGGTAAAGTCACAGTTTCATGCTTGGATTGGCTCTTGAAGGCACTGACCCCTTTCATTTGAAGATGACCAAACTCAATCCTGTAAAAAAAGCTGATGCAGATTTTGAGGACTGCTAAAAAACTCCCATGGCTAGCCTGGACCTCTGAGCCTACAGGAACTGTCAGTTCTATCCCAGCATGTGTGTAATCCTGTAACAGTCTCCCTCTGAATCTTATTTTTTTATTTTTGCCAAGGTGCAGCTTCACTTGGAAACATGACATTTTTAGGGTTTTTAACTATTATAGCTTGGGGTGACAGTAATTAACCACTGGAAATTAATACACCTTTGACTTCCATGAAAAAATAATATTTCTTCACTACAAAATAAAAACCTTTGGGAAAAAGTCACCATAGCTGCATCTGTTCAGACATCACAACTACTTGATGGTCACTGAGCACAGGGGAAATTGTTTTACAAACCCCTGGGGGTTGCTGAAGGAGCTCTAAACAGCAGCATCCTGCAGATGGAGGAACAGCAATACTGTAATTTTTTTTTTACCCCAGGAAGTACTTGCCCTTTTGTCTCACACTGCTGCCTGACTTTCCTAACAAAAGTCTACTTTTTATTTTCATTTCTGACTATTTGTACATCTTTCTGTCAATCGTTCAGACTCTTGTAAGATTTTTCAAAACAACTGCACAAGTAGACTGGGTTTAAAATATGAGGGTGGTGCACATGTACACATACAGCCCTAGTGGTACACAGCAATAATTACGAGTGCTGCATGTGTAAATCATTTACAGCAGAAACAAATAAAATCACTTTTATTAAACCTGTTTATCACAACCCTTATGTTACAAAAATAACTTCATAATAATGTTGAATATTAAATGCAAAAGTAAAACAGTTGTACACTACTCTTAAAATAACATTTTTTAGTGTTTTATTTATATTTCTATGTAAAGAAGCTGACCCAGATCTGTTTAAGACTATGGGTTGGCCTTTACCAACTATATTTAGTTCTTCTTGACCTGAAAACATATGGAAGGAAAAGTACATTTTAAGGAATTCAGTTTCATCTAGGCTAGGCTGGTAACAGTGAGAATTTCCACGCTGCTTAAGAAGGAAACCAATACAAGCCTCAATCCATTTTAAGTAGAACAATTACTAATTTTAAAACACAAAACCCAAACACCAGCAACTATTTGGAAACTTTGTGAACTGTTTACTTGTCCTCCACATCTGCTATCATAGCCTCAACTGCATTCATTCCAGTCCAGCTTGCTGAGGATGCTCCCTGTGCTTTCAGAACCATTGCTGGTGTTGATACTGCCGAGAGGAGAGAAAATCATGCTGTGCACTGAAGAGGTCTGTTGGGGACAGAGAAGATGAACTGATCACTGTGCTTCATTCATGGACAGCAGAAATTATCCCACTCTTTTAAAACATGTCCAAATCCAGTTACAGGTCTGATTATTCTGCAACAAATGCAGTCTATTGTCTCTTAATGCCCTCCCACTGGTGTCTGTTGCCTGGGCAGACAATGTGTCTCTATGGTTGTTAAAAAGAACATTCAATTTCAAGGCTCACAAAACTGCATTTGTAAAAAAAAATAGCATGGTTCTGCTGAAGCCCCATAATTTATGACTCTCTGTATCTATCTGACCCACGTATTTTGAATAGAGAAGCACATTTTAGATAAAGCAGAAGTAAACAAAATATTAAGTGGCAAGTATCAAATAGTTTATAGAATAAGTAGGTACTCTACCTGGAACATGGAGTCATGAGTATCTTGAAGTATTCTTTGGATATCATCAGGCACAGTCCATGGACTCACCACATCTCGATCAGCGTCAGGATCAACATCTTCTGTCTGAACTGCAGTGGCAACCTGAGGAGGCTTTTGTGTTGAGCTTCTGCTGACTCTGCACTCAGCAGCTGAGGAGAGAACAGGCCAACCGTAGCAGGGTAACTCGTCTTGCACTTTTCACCTCAATCTCTTGAAACTCCTTCAAGAATAGAAGCTTCAGGTTCTAGGAACTGAAGCTGTGTGTAAATCCATGTGAAAACTGCAAGCTCTGTCATCTAGAACTCCTGTGGGTCTATGGTGAGAAAAGGCTGCTGGTTCCTTCCAGTCTCACGCTCTGAACTGCCCTCCCAGGGCAGAACACAAAGTGGAACAGGACCATGCATGGCGCCTACAGCTCTGTGGTGCCATCCTCCACCAAAAGCACATTGCTTCCTTATTGGCAAAGGACTAAACTAAATAAATTCTGAATTTATGCCTCTTCAGAAGACACGAAACCCTTAGCAGTGATGTGATATACTGGGAAAACAGATACAAAAAGGTGCCAGGAAATCAGAGAAAGATCAGCCTGAATATAATGTTTAAAAAGTGAATATATGGAATGGAGAAAAATTACTTTTCCACATAAGTAGAGCAGATTCAGGAAAAGTGCCTTTCTGCTTATTATTACTTCTGTCAATTTCCTATACTGCCAAGTCAAATACATTGACCTTTGACTGTCCAAACTATGCCAATAGTATAATTCTGGTGTAAGGCAGAATAGAATCAGGCTGCAGTATTTCCTAAGTCTCAGAGTGATTCACTTCTAATTCTTTGATCAGAAATTCTGCTGCTGTTAACAAGTACTGTATCTGCTAAAGAATTTGATTAGGAACAATCTTCTGGGGATCCAGACTGACAAAGACAGGCACGGGAAAAAGTACCACTAAAATCCAAAGAGGATTTTTTGTTAAGCTTAGTCAAATTTTTCCATGCTAACATTATGACAAAATGATATATTAGACGGCTATTATACAGAGGATAACAAGGACAATTCCTATTTTAATGAGCTAGGAAAATAATCGGCATAGAAAAGTAAGGGAGAGGCATAACTCTTGTATCCTGGATGGTAATTAACTTTCTCTCAGTGGGTTTGAAATGAAAGATAAAACTCAAAGCCTCTGTCCCTTGTGATTTCATAACACGTGTTTCAGGAATTCACCAAAATCAAGCACACTTATTTCAGTAATCTTGAAATTGTCATCTGGCTAAAACTGTTCAGAAAATAAACAGAGGTGATATTTCACAAGTTTCTAATTAAAAATACTTTTAAGTGGGGGATAAAATATGAATTTTACTCTTCTAAACAAATTTTGTATCTGCATCTTATTCCCCCCCTGTATTATGTAGCACTACATCATTGTTCTGTGTAACTTACAGTGTCTAAACGTAACAGGACAGTTTGTAGCATTTCTCAGTCTTCTTCTGGAGGTACTTTTCTGAAGGAGCATACAGGCATTTCCTGTAAAGACAAAGTAAGCATTTCCTTTTATAAATGCAGATCAAATATACTCAGAAATGCTTAGAGATTTTCATCTACAAGTTTGCTGCCTGGATTACACAGTACTCTTGCTATGGCAATTTATAGTATGCTGGATTTAAAGAGAAGTGATAAGAAAAGGTAACTCCCATCATTCCGCAAAACAATAGCAGCAGAATTGCAAAAGCCTCAGGACAGGAAACATCCAGGATTATAAATTTGATTTTTACACAGATATCCCTCCCAAAAATCCAGGAGTCACCTGAAGATCCTTTTCAATATGTACCTTCATTACCGTTCTTACCTCTGGACTCTGTAAAACCAAGAGCTGGGGTGAAATGTTGTACTTTTTGACCAAAACCAGGTTTGGCAGCACTTCTGCTCCTTTCTGCCAGAACAAGACTGTTCAAATGCCCTCTGCAACAAGACAAAAAGAAATGACACAACAAATCTTAAATACTTGCTACTGTGTACCATATACCATTCCTCAACTCAGACCTCACAAGGCATATTCAGAAGAGGCATAAAAGCCAGAGAAATCACAATCAGCCCACTTTGCTGAGGACCAGCATCACCAGAATCACACTGCTTAGGGGCCAGTAAGCTTCACCAGAATCAGAACTGCTGCAATCACAGTGAAGACACATCAAACTGGCTTTACACAGAGCCTCTTTAGGTCCAACAAAACTTCTTAGTTAGTAGTTCCTTCCACTCCTAAGTGGATTCCTGCATGATGTTCCTTAGCATGTCTGATTCTGGCTGGGCTGATGCACTTAAACGTCCCCTGGACCCCACCTGCAGGCTCTGCACAGCACTGACTACCTTCAATTTAATGTTATATCCTGGAACTGTAACTAAAAAAGACACTGTATTGAAAAAGAGAAGCAGAAGTATTAAATTAAAGGATTACCTAGTAAGTACAAAGTTCTCCCTATTATTCTGAAAAGCATAAAATTGTATCTATAAGAAGAAAAACTGCAATGTAATATACACCTGTATTTCACATATACATAGCATTAATACCATCAAACTGAGTAAATGTATCAGTCAGTTCATAACACACAGATACAGCCATCTTCTCAAAAGGAAATAAGCAAAGCGTGGAAGTAAGAACAAGTAAAATCCTAAGTAATGGAAAATTAACAAGAAAGAGAACAAGTCCAGAGTTTGCAGAGCCGAATTTTTATTCGCTGCTAGCCTGTTGTTAGATGCTTTCAGGTCTATATTTCTAGTTATAGTCCAGTGGAATTCATGGAATCACTAAGGTTGCAGAGGACCTCCAAGATCATGTACACCCTCTGATGGGATTACAAGCCTGTCAACCAGACCCTGGCACCAAATGTCACATCCAGTCACACCTCAAGGGATGGTGACTCCAGCACCTAACTGGGCAGCCTGTTCCAGTGTTTATCCACGCTTACCGTAAAGGAACTGATGTTGAGTGGAATGGGTTAGGACACTGCTTACAGTTGGGCTAACTCCTGGGTTTGCTTATTTGGTGCTCCAAAAGGCATTTTTAAGGCTCCCTCCAAGATTTGCAGTACTGGTTTTAACAAGCCTGGAACAGGGACTTGAGAGTCCTCTGATCCAGACAAATTGTATCTTTGATTCCACCAGCATATGACTTTTCTCTCAAACCATTCCTGTCTATAAACTTGCTACAAAATTTGGAGGTAAAGACACCAGTGGAACACAACAGGTTTAATGCTTAGAGTGTTACCCTGCACTAGGTGCCACCTTCCTCCTTCTGTAAGCTTGAGCTGATCTTGTGCTGGACAATGTCCTGTGATCACTTGCTCGTGATGCCACTGTTTCAGACGACATTTCATTCACCAGAGAAAGTGCCTGTGATACTCTGATTCTGTAATGCTCTAACAACATGGCTCTGTGAAGAAATAATATTACACATTACCTAATGCTGTCACTCATTTCACCACAGCTGGCTTGTGAGTACTGTAAGGCTACATGAAGAGTATTTTTTACAAGATTGCACAGAAAATATACTAAGCCTTTTAAGATATCATTAGCAAAAAGTTAGCACATTTCTTACCTAATTGTTGGGGAAAGAAAATAAACAATGATATTTGGAAAGCAACAAAAATAGGCAAAGGATAAAAATGTTCAGAGTTTTCCTAAATGGTAAAGGAAACATTAATTACTTATTCTTTTGGTTGAAATTTCATTCATATCTGAAGTTTCATAAGCAATAAAGTTAAAACTATCTCTACAACTTTCTCAGGAATGGAAAACTAATATGAAAATAAGAATTTAAAAGCAACTTACTTGTCTTTTTCTTCTTTCTTCTTCTGGAAGACTCTAATATCCTTTGAAGTAGGATTATGATGCTGTTTAAGAAAGTATAAAGATCTTTAATTATGTACTATGGTCTCATTCCAGTCTCTCACTCTCACTTTACTTGACTTGAAAGTTACTGCTTAAGAAACTCTTCAGAAAAGAAAACCACTATGAAAGAATATGGCCATACCAGGAAATTCAAGTAAGATTGTCTCTATAATTTTCCAGTCTCAAAAAAAATACTGAAATCCTGCACTCACATGTTCCATACTTCATATGCTTAAAATATTAATATTCCTAGGAAATGTCCTCACAGTCAAACACAAAGTTTCAAATGACCTCACCTCCAGTTTCCCTAAAAATCAGTGTCAACATGCAATCTTGTCCTGATATATAAAACTGGACAAGATTGCACGTTGACCTGTGTTTGCTAGAGTACAATTTGAAGTCTTTAATTTTTCTTTAAACCAAACCCAAACCATCTAGTGAAAGCTGGGAATCCCTACACTAATGATTTCAGGAAAACAGCCCATAGCAAAAGCATCAAGTGTATATTAAGGGGTTGACAACACAGGAAAGGGTGAGAAGCAGGACCCATTTTTCTTAAATCACTTCTCTCCACACATGTACAGAAGAATATCCCAGGTCAGCTCAAAAAGGTTGTTTAATCTTTCAGAGGAAATACTTTATTTCACATAGATCTGTTACTCTTTCTGAAAGTGAATACAATTGAATTATTTAGTCACAGGGAACTTGCGTATGTTACAAAATTGCTGCTTGGAGTTAAAACAAGCAGAGCTTCAGCCTGGAATTACCTACAGCATATCCTGAATTCAGTAAGTAGAAAGTATAGAAATATATTTGGTGTTGTCATCTCCTGTAGCTCTAGAGCTTCCTGTGACTCACCAGGGTCTTTTCAGGTCCTGAAGGCATCCAGATGGCAAATGCATATTTTAAGAGTTAATACTGATTGAAAAATGTCTTCTGAACTGCTTTTGTATGGTTTAAAACTTTTTCTAGTATTTCCAGCACAGAAAAATTTCCAGATCAGGCATAAATATGTTTTTACTAATTAAATTTAAAATTTAAAAAATTCTGTGAGTGGACTGTTCATTGAAACCAGCCTTCAGCAAAATTTTCCTAAGACACTTGACATACATGGCATATTCTAGCTTATCTGCTAACCCCTTATGATTTTTGTATGCACTCCAGTGTGGGTAAATGACAGAGACAACTCCCCTCAGTAGCCTGCCATGTTTGAAGGGATGCTGGCATCTGAACTCCACTTTTTACATTCCCTGGGAGGTGTGTGGGAAGATGAAACAAGGTGTAAACACATCATATGAACAGCTGGAGCTATCACTCCCTTAAAAACACATCTCTCATCAGTGAATGTTGCAGCTGTATCCATCACAGTTGAGAGCCACCTGCATTACTTTGTAATACACCTGCAGCCAATGGTCACCACTGCAGCCTGTGAAGAACACAGGTGTATTTACTTACCTGACACAACTATGGCCAGCTCCAGTAAAATGAAATCATACATGTAGAAATCATACATTACAACAGGAAAAAAACCCCAATCACTCCCAGCCTTTCTATTACCTAACCTGAATAAACAACACTTGTATAATAAGTAACAGTTACTCTTCAGTACACCTGTTATTCTTACCACATTTTTTCTCAGGTTAAATGGATGATGTTCTTTCTGTCTTTGTTCATCCAGTTTCTTCAAATATTCTCTCATTCTTTCCTTTTGCTTTCTTTTCATCCATGTTTGTATCTCTTTCCTTTCCTTTTCTGTTCTTTGAGAATGCCCAGAAGCAGAATCAAGAACTCTGAGGGCAGATGTAAACAGGAAATAATCTAGCACATGCTGTAAATTGTAAACAATGACAACTACATGATATAACAAAAATACTGAAAACCCTTTAAAATTCTGACACAGCTGGAAGCATAAGTAATGAACAAGAGGGGAAATTTTCTTTTGCAAAATTCTACTACATAAAATCCTGGTAAACAAGTAATTTCCAAGACATCTTCTAAAATTTTTCTTGCACTTATCTGCTACATTCAGATAATAGAAGTAGACCTTAAACTGGTGGGAACTGTATCACCAATGCAGCAGATTGGTGACCTGAACAGCTGCATTATTTTATCTTGCCAGCAATTGATATTCCAAACTGCAGTAGAAAACACCTGTCACTTTGACCTCTCTCATGAAAGAACACAGCTGATTTTATAACTGCCAGTCAGGAAGGTGTAGAAATATCCAGAAGGGAGGGTAGCATGACAGCTGGAATCTGGGGCTGGAAGTTTCTGAAACTGCTGTATCACTGGCAGGAAACTTGTATCTTTCAGAACTGCTTTAAAATACCTGAAGGTCTGAACTGAATCTGCTGTATAAGAACAGTGTGCTCCAGCCTATACCTAGCAGAGGAAGGAAAAAACAAATGGGAAGGAAAGAATTTCAAAACCAGAATACTAGAATTAGTACATTTGGGAATAATGCCTAGTAGGTTCATGGCGATTAAAAGCTCTACTAGTCCCATTAACATCAAACCACATACTTGCTTCCATTGTTTACAGGGTGTGAACTACAAGAATAACCAGGGTTAAAATGATTTAAGCAACACACAACAAAAAGCCATGGTATTACCTAAAGGTTTTCTTAGCCTGCGTTCTTGCAAAGCCAAGCTCCAGCAAAGAGGTGTCACCTTCCACCACACAATCATTCACCACATCAGTAACATCACTCGGACCAGTAATTTGCAGGGGATCTTCTAAAGAGCTTGATGTTAGGTAGGAGAAAAAGTTGTTACTAAATTAATGCTGAACATTCCTACAAAAACAAGCTAAACACCTTCCTTTTATACTTAAAACAACAATATCCAGGCTGTTTTCCATAGAGCCTTTGGACTGAATACTCTTTCCCCACATCTCCACTGGGTTAGTACACTTGAGAGAGCTTTTGATGAGGACAGAATGAGCAAGATCTGATTGTCCCATCAGAAGGACGATCCACAACTGAAATGCTTGAGCTCTGCTGTGGTGTGTGAACATGGTTAGCCTAGCTAGTTCACACACCTGATAGCCACAGGAGGCTGAGCCTGGCAGCCAGCAGCACCACAGGGTTTGTATTGCTGCCCATGAGGAGATAAGGTTAGAGGGTGCTGCCAGTTTCAATGGTACCCAAATATCCAAGACCTTTTGAGCAAGAATCAGTGTCAGTGAGAGCACAGCTTCACCTAAATTTTTCCAATTTCTTTCCTCTCTTTTAATCAGTTGCTCCCAGTAAAAAACAAATCTCATTGTTTAAGACTACAAGCTATCAGTGTCTGCTAAAGTTTTGCCTCACACCCATACTCCACCTTATGTAATCACTTCCTAATCCACTTCAGTCACAACAACCAGTTCCACTTAAAATACTAGAAAAATAGAATAAACCATTGAGTTTACTGCTATGCTTCAAACAAAGCAATAAAAATGGGAAATGGAGCAGAATGACCAGGAAGAAAACAAACCAACTACTCTTTTCTACTGGCTCCAGAAGACTAACAGTAGCTAAAAGTAAAAATATATGTCAGACCATTTTATTTAATGCATAGGCTCTTTACAGTTTTGAAATCTCCAGTCTGTTGCTTTACACTTCTCACACTTTAAGATTTTAAAACTTCTCACACTGCAAGACTTTAAAAACTTTCTGGTGATAGCTGGTCTTCATGGAAAACTACCCATAGCAGTTTCATGTATTTTGCTGAAAAGGTGGTTTTCAAATTGAAGAAATAACAAATGCACATAGACAAGAGCCCCATCTACATTAACAGCTCCAATACATTTAATTAGAAAAGAACTTCAAATGCTTCTAGAGCTTTTGCATGAAGTAAATCCTACAGGCACCACAAAAGTCAGAGTAAATGTCTGAAATTAGCTAACAGAAGGGGTTTTATTAAGTTTGAAAATTAATGCCTTGATTTTTATAAAGTGATGATTCCACCCTGACAGTCACCTTTTTGGTAAACTGTCAATAACACCAGTCCCAAAATACATACCCAAGACATATATCTCTGCATATGTGAGAACCTGAAACAGAAACAATCCTTATTAGCAATATCTTTGCACTTGTACATACACTAATCATACATATGTTAAACAGCCTGTGGGATAAAATATAGAAACAAGTCAACCTCAATTGACATTTGACAGCTGACATTAAAAATAAATTAATATTGTACATAAGCTTAACAGCCTACAAGACAACAAGTCACTGACTGCCAGGTGAGCACAGAGGCTCCAGAGAACAACAATTAACAGCTCCAGGTTTTTGTGGGCAGTTTTCCTAGGAAGATATTGTCACTGTTTACAGTTTTCTCCCATGATCAACAAACTGGAAATAGTCTGTTCCAATTAATTATACAGTGTTTATTGGAAAATTAATGATTGACACTTACTTGAGGAATCCAGGTATTCAGAAGAAGCTTGGAATTCAGAAGATGGAATTGAAGAGCAGTATGGCTGTCTTGGAAGGAAGAACACCACTTCCTCTCCTAAACTAATCTCTCCATCTCAAAAAATTATAGTTTTAACTTAGTATCACCTACAGTTTTCTTAGCTTACAAGTTTATACTTAAAAAACAAGTTTATACTTAGAAAACGCTATTACTGTTTTCAAAACTTAACTGGGTGTGTGTACTATTTGAGATTCACTTGTGCTGTGTACAGACACAGGAACCACATTTTAATACCTTTTAAGACAGACTGCTGTAAATATGGCTATCAAATGCACATTCACATGTACAAAGCACATACCACTTTTGGGAGCCTGACTGCAAGCAATGCAGGCAATACACAGAGAAAACAACACAACTGCATTTTTAATCTCAGGCAACAAATTACTTGCAGAATATTTTCCCTCTTCCTTTTAATGATACCACAGTCTTCATAATTGCTAAAATCAATTTACCTTCAGTATTCAAAATTATTAGACATCATAAAATATTCCTTTAAGACATAGATAGTAGTTATTGTACACAGAAATAAATCAATCGATTTTGCTTATGTAGACTGGATTTAAGAGAGATGTCACCTCTCTAGACATAGGTAGTTGACAGAGGTGTCAAAACAGCTTTTGGAGGAAGCTTTGAGTTTTCTGTGATATCACATTTATATTCACTTAGGTAAATAAGTGCAAATCAACATAGTGACGGGCTTCAGAAACAGACCCAATGCTGACTATTTTCTTTCAATAACAGTGAATTTGAGTGCAAGTATGACTCACTGCTGAACTGTTTTCAAAGCTTAGTGATACTTTTATGCCATGTGCTCTTTATCAGAGCACATCAACAAAGCCATTCTAAATAATGCAATCTAGAAAGGCTCATTACTTTAATGAGCTCACTGGCATTATGTAACATTTTGTGTAACAGCCATGAAGAAGTATTACAGCATGAAGAAAAGGTTTTCTTATTTTTAAAAGATGCAAAGGGGAAAAATACACAATAGAAGTTATACCAGAAGGTGATTTCAGGCCACTGGGAGACTTAGAAGCCAAGGCTGCAGAGGCAGGAGAGTGTGCATCCACTGTAGTAGAACTGGGCACAGGATATTTCAAGTTGAAGCTTTCCTTTTGGTCATCTGTAACATCTTCAAAAATCATGCCTGACAAATGATGTTCTGATTCTGTGGAGAAAAAAAACCCGTACTTAGTGTAGACCAATGGCAAATCCTCACAATGCAGAAACTATGCCTTCTATATCTTGATTAGTGGTATTTTAAATTTATCTGTTACTTACAACAGCTCAGACCTGGATCAGCTGTGCCTCCCTATGGAAGGAGACTTCCAGGACTGTGCTGTGTGAACCAGTCCTGTGCACACAAAGAAAATTACTGGACCAGGAGTTGCTCTGGGTGAGTCTAAAGGACATCTTAAATATCATCTTACATATGATTACAGATACAGTCATGATTTGGTTCCACCACTCAGCTCCGTATTAACTCCATAAGTAGATCAGATTATGTTCTTGGCACTGGCCAGGAGCTATAAGTAGGCACTACACAGTTATTTGTTAAATAAACTATAAATAACTCAATACATCTGCTCTAGTAAATATTTAAGCTGATACAAGATTTCAATAAAATCAGAAGATATTATAACTCAACATTCAGATCAGCTACCTTTTATTTTATTTGTTTCTGTGGTATTTTTGGTTCATACTTCAGTAACACCTTTGGTAACTAGAATTTATTTAAGATGCATATTCCATGGCAAGTTTATTATCCTTCTGTTAATTGGACACATACCAGCACCAGTGACTCCAGTAGCTTCAGACACTGCAGGATGAGCACCAAGGTCTGAATCAGCATCCATTTCAGAATCTATCAGCTTCACTAACTGTAAGTGAAACCCAAAAACTAGGTAAAGATACTTTCTTCAAGGTATTTCTGAGACTTACACCACAGATATTTATGCAAAGTCCACTTTAAATATATTTTTCCTGACTGAATGTTTTTAACATTTTAATGCAAGTTTTCTGACTGAAAACAAACAAAAATATTCAAGAATCAAAGTAGCCCAAGTAGATTAATTTCATGTGAGAATTACAATTTTCTGGATACTTACTTTGAGGAAAATACATATAAACACTATTATTTGTTTGAACAGTTTTACTCCTACTCCTACTGATCACATTATGTTTAAAGTAGCTGAAGTTTTCCAATATATATTTTATCTAAAACCCAGATATTAAAATACTTCCATCATCTTCATAAGTCTGAAGTTTCAAACTAGAAAATGAAAACTAAAACTAACCCAGAGTGAGACATTTTACTGAGCATTAGTCTCAAAAAGAACAAATCTCATAACTGACATGTAATACATAAGAAATCGTTATAAAAGGAAAGACCAACTAGTATGAACTTAAAAAACAGGGGAAAAAAGGGGGTTTTCTTCAGGATTTGGCTAGATACCCGGAAGCTTTAAGATCCAGATGCTATGAAATGCTGAAACATTGGTCCTGAAATACAGGATATACCAAGATTTTTTTTTCCCTACAGTGGTCTTTTAAAAAATCTGACTTAAATAACAATCTTGATGAAGAATAGAAGTGATTAAATAATCCACCTGAGCGTAGTAACTGTGTGTAGTGACACAATGAGGACTTTACACTTCTGTGAATCATAGAATACCCTGAGTTAGAAGACACATAAAAAATCCATCACAGCCCAATTTTATTTTAATTCCATATTAGGATTTATAAAGATGGCAAAAATGCAAGTATTTTATGAAGCAAATTGGATCAGGTTCCAAAAATAGTCAAATAGTATTTTGCAGAAGTACAACTGCAGAAGTCTTTGCCAAAAAAGGTCTCCTGCCCAGCCTGAACTCAGTTACACAAAAATTAAATATGTTCTGCCCATTCACTAGTAACATCACCATTCTACCCAATATTTGGTCCACTGTAAACAACCATGTCAGCCAACACGTTCAGAACTAAATATGGAAGAACACTGTATATACATATATATAAAAATTGTATCATAACATGGATAATATATATATTATATATAATGTTACAAACATATAATAAACATATTAGATATATTATATATAAAAATATTATTTTCAATATCTTTCAACGGATACTAAGCAGATGTGAGAACATATTGTTCCAAAATGGAAGTTTTGTCTTTAGTTGAAAAAATAAACTGTTTAAAAACCAACAGTCAGCACTCACCATTTCGAAATTTCTGAAATCTTGATCCATATTTTCTGCTACGATCTCTAGTTTCTGTAATTGCATATCCATTTCCTTCTGCTTTGTGGAAAAGTACTCTTTATTAATTAGTTTGGATTGAAGTCCTGAAGAAGGAAGAATTCCTCCATGTTCATGTGCTGTGTTCCAAGTTAAAATATCTGTAGCAGAATCTGACTTATCTTTCTTTTGCAATTTGTTTGACACATTCTTCTGATGATCATCTTAAAAAAAAGGAAAAAAGAATGTACCAGTATCACTAAATAAGCCACAAGCAGCTGCAAATAATTAGGCATAAATACCACCCAAACCTAACAGGGTGTTTTAGAAGGCAAGAATCATTACAAAAAAAGTCAAATGTATCAATGTTTATGTTTAAGACTAAAAAGCCATGAGGTTAATTGGGAAAAGGCTGCAGATTTTCTGTGAGAGTATTACAACAAAAGAGTGGTATTACTTTTTCTTGGATTTAAAACTGAAATCATTTACCTTGCTTCTCAAGTACTCCAGGTGGAACTGCATTAGTAACAGAAGCTGCTCTGTGATGAAGTTTTGCAGTAGATGGAATTTCAAGCTTCTCATTCTGCTGTGCAGCAATTATCTCTTCTGCAGACTCAGGTTTTATGGGCAAATTGCTAAGGATGTCACTGTCTTCAATGTCAGTCACACTGATATATTCCCGTTTATGCTAAACAACAAGATAATGAAGAATTGTACAGTATGGGTTTTGAATAAGTTGCTTATAGTGCATTGCTCACCATTACCTCTTGACATTTGTAGATGACAGACTTTGTTTTGGGAACAAAATAAATACAATCTTCCCTACCATATTATACAACTGACTCATGCAGATACAAAGAACCCAAACTCACGAAGACAAACAGTATACTTAAAAATGCATTTAAACCATATGTACACTAGATCACTAACCAAATCAGGTGCATCTGACAGATGGGATGGTAAAGGTTTCTCACTGACTTCAGTGGGGAAACTCTGGTTTAAATACATGTCTGGCAGTAGTATCTCAGACGAACTGGATGATTCTACAAGGAAATAATAGTCAGGAATTTATTTAGTAAAAGTCACAAAAATTTCAGACTATTAAGAAACAGCTCTGCATTCTCTAGATGATAAGAAAAGCATTGAATAAGCTGCCATCTAGACTTCTATTAATATCTAAGTCCCTCCTACTTAGGTAAAAATAATCTCCATCTTTACTTAATCCAAAGAAATTAGATTACTCAAATGAAAACCTCTAATTTAACTATCTCAAATGAGTCATGTGATATAGTAAAATTATCTTCAAACAGAAAAACACTGTTGCATTTTACAATAATAGAAAAATCTGTTTGCTCTCTTAGTACCATAGGGAAAATAGTTGGGTACTGAAATCTATGTAATGTATTTATGGAACAAGGCTACTGCAGCTCAATTTCATGTGATCTGTTTTAACACCCCACTGATCAATTAACTTGATCTACATTACACTAAATCTAAAGATTAAAGTGGGCACTAAAATCAAGCTAAAATCCACAAAATAAGGATTTGGGTATCAAGATGTCAGATAAATTAGCATTTTACCTATACCCTGCATTAAGCTGTCTCAGGTACAAAACCCACTTACACACAAAACCCATGTTAGAACAGTAATACTTTTACAGACTTCCCAAACAACAAATGAAATGGAGAAAGACTGCAGCCACACCTGATGCAGGAACAGACGTGACCAGCTCATTTTTTTGAAATTTGGAAACCTCATTTCCACCACTGATCCCACAATCCTGGTATGATTTGAGCACTTGATCGGAAGAAAAAAAAGAAGACCAGAATGCCTATGTTTATGTAAAGATACCAATGGCATTATCTGAGTGTACATTTCTGATTTGCCAGTTTACAATCAAAGAAAAGTGGGGGAAGAGGAAAGGAAGCAATTTCAATCAAGTGTGAAACATTGTCTAAATTGCATTTCGATAAAGTCAAGTTAAAACAAGCTTTCAGAAAAAGTCACAGCAGGACTGACTTACAGAAAGCATGAGGAGACTCTTACATAATTGCATCTGTAATATTTTTAGTTATAATTATTTTAACTACTGCTTTCTAATTTCCAACTAGAAATTATTCCATTGTTTTCTGGTTTAATTATTTTTGAAACAAGAAAACTGAACAAAAAATTGCTTCCCCTTTACAAACTTGCGGCATTTTGAAAACTGATCGAAGAGCACAACTAATCAAGAAACAACACTAGTAACAGTTGGTTTCTGTAGATCACCCATGTAGCATTTACCTGGGCTAGTATTAGTACTTGCATCTTGAGTTTCTGCTGGTTTTTTTCCTACAGAAGCCAAATAATGTAGATCTGCTGAGGTAATACTTGCTTTATCCATTGCATCTAAAATGTGGTAATACAAAATAGGTGTCTATTAACAATATAAAAATTAGACACCTTTGAAAGCAATAATACTAACTCACAACTAGAGGCCCCAACATTTTCTTATTTGCATTTATGACAGATAACTTGTCTAAGCATACCTCATAAATGATTCCAAGAAAAATTCATGCTACCAACTTTATGTGAATAAACAATGGCACTTACAATGTTACACTGACTTGAAACCAAGATTCAGTTTAGATATGTGATATTAAATTAAATATTTTAGCATGCTGAACAGTAATAGTCTGCTTCACATTCTAAAAGGAGTAGAGGAACATTCATGACATGTATGTCTTAATTTCTTTACTGCTGTTTCTACAGAGTTTGCATTTCTTTAAGGCCAAATTTCAGAGAATGAATTGCATTTTGTTCCATGACAGAACTGAATATTGTCATGAATTAACATACTATATAAAGAAAGAAATCTTTCCACAGGCCTGGTCTTCGTATTGTAGGCTAGAAATATTGCATGCATTGAATTTCTTTTACAGGAGCTCTAAATTTTGTGTAATTAGAATATGCAGGCAAATAATGTCAGAATAATATCTTTTCAAAATACATTAAAAATTTAGAATTAGAAATGCTTACAGAATTCACTGTCAACCACAGCTAATGAAATTAACTTGACATACTGTTATTATTTCATTAACTCTATTGTTTATAAACATAAATACAAGATTATCACTCATTCTGAAGAAAAATTAAAATACTTCTAAAATTCTGGGGAAAACTATTCTGAATCTTCAGATAATTTGTACAACATCTTAAATTTGCCTGCACCTCTCTCCATAAAAATTCCAAAAAAAACAAGTATCTCCCAAAATTTCTGGACACCTGTTGTACATCCTGAAAGGTCTGGGGAAAGATCCCTTAAGGCAGAAAGCTCAATTGCCCACAGACCACAATATCCTACTTTTTAACACATAGATTATAGTAGAGTTTTACTGTGAATTCTAACAGACTAATGCTTCTTGATTTTTTTTTTTGAGTACTCAAAGCATTAAAAAGACTTGTACTTGCCCATTGACATGAAAAAACCATCCTGAACATAAGATGTCGAATTTGGTTTGTGATCCTAATATAAGGAAAAAAAGAACCATTTTTAAAAACAGTTCCAGTGTAGATTAAAGGCTTTCTTGTTGATATTAACTATCCAATATACCTCATATGAGTAATGATTTGGGGGGAAAAAAAAGAACTGTCATTTACTTCTCTCAATACGTGTTTTAATTCCTCTGATCTATTCCAACTTAGAGGAATTTACTTACTATGTAACATTATTTTATATACCTTGGGATGACATGCATTAACACAAATTCCTTAGTCCTCTTCAAGTTTTATCCTACCCCTGAACATCTCCAGGTCTGGTGAGGGTCTCCTGCTGCTGTGCTGCAGTGAAGTCTCAGAGAAAGTATGGTATGGATCAGAAACACAGCTCTGGGCAGTTGGTACTTGTAAGATAAACCCCAAAAGAACCAAAAAGGCCTAATCAAAACCCAGCTTGATGAAGGCTTTCTTTTTTCAGAGTCTGGAGTGAGAAAAAAATGAGATTCCAATGCTGCACATCCTTACTCTTATACTGTCATACATCCATGCTCACATGGAAAGAATAATGCCTGGGTCACCTGTCCTATCATTAGTACTAGGAAAAATATATTTTCTTTTTCGTTTTTAACATTATTTTATGTATTTACTACAAATGTACATACAGACTTATATCCTATCAAAACAGACAAGTTCATGTTCCAGGAAAAGAAATAGCAACCTTCAAATCCTTTATAAAAATCTATCTCCTGTTTACAGAAAATGCAAGTATATTAATGAAAAATATGCATACTGTTTGTAGAGTCTGGAAGAGAAGTATATTATTGTTTGGCTTATAGTTTTCTCCTTCTTTCTTTTCTGCTAATACTTGAATGGAAAAAGGCTAAGAAAAAAACATAATTCTATACCCCAGTCTCTGATTCAGTAGCCACTGCTGTGTCACTAATACTGATGACAGAGTCGTTTGGACAGAAGGACACGCTTGGTTTCTTCTTATCCTCCTTCTCTTTCAGTTGTTTCTTACTACGCCTCTTTTTACTGTCAACAAATTACAATAAAGAGTAAGAAGTGCTCTGAAATAATAACAATACCTATCATTGTTTTCTAGGAAAGATTACTATTAAGAAATAAACACTGAAATAAAGATCAGAAAAGATAAACAGCTGCTGCATGTTGATCAGTTCAAATCACATTTTCTGCCTGCTTGAAACTTACATAAAAATGTTGTAGAACCCATACAAATACCAGCAATTACACTCAAATCTATTGTCTAATAAATTACTTAAATTAAATATTACAAACCACATAGTATTTCACATCTATATCTTGTGTATAATTAATTGCTACACAAAGTGCCAATAAGAAATCTATAAGAAGCAAATGTCAATTACACAGCAGTTTTCTAATTACTAGGTGACAAATAGATTACACAACAGTAACTGCAGCTTCTTCTTCAATATGTGACAAGTAGATTATATGGCAGCAACTACAGCTTTAAGCACTTCCACAGATACTATTAAAATCTATTCTTAACCCTATCTGCAGTAACTTGTGTAGCAAGTTTTCACTTTACAAGTGAAAAACTACTCTCGAGCCCCTGCTCCACAATGTCAGAAGCATCATAACTGAAAGAAACCAAGTATTCTATTCCAGAACATTCTATCAGCATTTTATAAGAATTGAGCAAATATATATCAGCATCTTAAACAAACTGTTTCAACTGTGTAAGTTATAAATAACATACTTATAAAAAAAATCTCAGCTTCAGCAGGAATTTTGTAAATCACAGTCTGTATTAAAACAGCCTACATATTTAATTATCCTGAAAGAGCATATAATCCTTTCCTTTTTGAAGATGACAGTGACAATATGCAGCCCAGACAATATTAGAAGTCTACTTATATTCTCTATGTAACTGAGTGAAGCATTCATAAAAAATGTACAGCAAAAAATAGGCAGGAGACAACAAGACTTTAAAACACAGACAGTGGAATGACTACCTTCCTATTGTGACTCTTCTTCCTATAAATCTCCTAAGAGCTGGAACTCCTCACACCCTAATGACACACTTCTGCTGTGTCTTTACAAACACTTACTATTCTATTCTCTGCTGAGAGAATACATTCCCTCTGATACCAAAGCTAGAAGGTACAGGTTACCAGTTAGTCTGTCAAAGTGAAGTTCTACTTTAAAAATATGGCTTGCCTTTTTCTTTTGCTCTGCACATCTTTAAGTTCAAATGGTCCAACGTCAGTTCTTAGTAGCTGGATAGGATTGGCTTGGTCTTTTTGAAAGGAAGTACTGGGCACAAGAAGATGCTTGTGTCCTTGCTCAAATGCAATGAGATCTCGAGGTGGGATGAGGTTTGTTGCCTAAAAGAGTTCAGAGAGAGAGAGGAAGACAGAAAATGGGGAGGGGAACCCCAGATTGGCTGAAGAAAGTAAGTCCAGTTTGGATTTCAGTTACACAAATGAAACTCCTGTAACATTTTCTTAAGAATATGGAAATGGAATATTAATAGCATCAGACCAGAACCCCTGCCAATATGTACATGTATAAACTATTTTCTGAAAATTAAGAGGTATGAATTTTCTACACAGAGCACATGAATTTTCTCCATAGAACATATTTCACTAATATTTGCATTTCTTATGTAGGTAGTTCAGGGTGAAGTTAGGAACCATCCAGTGTAGACAAGGACTGAAGAAGCAGTTTTCAAGTAAAAGCATTTCCATTCTCTTCAACTGGGATATGCAAGCATGTAAGTATATAAGAAATAACATTTTTAGAAACATCAGGTATTCAGCATCTGTAATATTTTCTTACCAAGCTTTTTACCATTCCATTTCTGCCCTGCAAAAAAGGATTTTTCATCACATTCTATTTCTGTAAGTAATTCTATTATAAGCTTTATAGGAAAATACCCTAGTTTTTTACCATATAAATATTGTCCAGTATTTTAGATAGTAAATTCTTTACACTCATTAGCAGTGGGCTGAACATTGATGAACTATGGAATATAGAATCAATCTAATGTAGTGATAAACACTTTCAGGCTTGCAGTCTGCCTCATACTACCCTTAGTTCTAGATCCCTCTTGGTACCTGTGCTGAAAAATTTCAAATTCAAAGTCTCTAAACATGAAATTATTTGTGATGACTAAGAAACCATGAAACTGACAAAACACTACAACCTAGAAAAATATTTATTAAAATCCAGTACCTTCTTTTTCTGAGGTAAATTAATCTGAAGTAGTGCTATTCCTGCACCCCACTGTGTTCCTCTGGTGTCAGCAACCTTTGTTGCAGGTTTAACAGGTATTAAAGTAGTAGTGATTGGCTGCCTTACAGCTGGTGGAACTCTAGGTACTGGGTCAAGCAAATGCAACAGTGGAATGGCAGCCACGTTCTGAGTGGTTGGTGTTTTGAGCACATGCACATTTTCAGGAAATTGCAGCTGAGGTGAATCTTCTGGCTGTCCTTCACACTGATCTGAATTCAGATGTTTGGGAGGGACCTTACACACTGTTTCTGCCCATCTCTCTTCTTCTTCATGCTTTTGTCTTAAAGTCTCAGGGTTGTATCTACTTCTGTGGAAATTTTCCTCTGCTTTACTCTTTCTTGGTGTGTATGATGACTGATGGTTCTGTAAGGAATCTGATGAACTCCAAGCTACTCGTGGTACTGGAGGTGGCCTGGAAAATGCTGATGACATTTCTGTTAGATGTAAAAATGATGGTTTAACATTATAATTTGATTCAAGCTCAAGCAAAGGAAATCCATTTGAGTAACTAATTTTTTTTTCAATAGGAATAAGCTTCACTTTTTTCTGGATGCCTGAGGAAGGAGTTAGGAGATGAAGTGGTTTAGCAGGCACTGAAGAATGCAAATCTTGGGATGGTGACATTAATTCTGTTTCCTTGCTGTTGCTTTCAAATAATGTCAAAGAGGCACTCATATCCAGATGATTCTAAATAAAAGCAAACAAAACAAATACTTACATATCAACCATGGACTAAATACACACAAAAATAGTTTTATCTACACCAATCACTACTAACACATTTCCTAACTCAACAGGATAGATAACATACCAGATAACAGTCTTCATAAACTACACTTTTATATACCTACTTTTATTTGACCACTGTTGCCTTCATCTTCTACATTCTTCCTTGGATGAAAAACAGAGTTCTCTTGACCAGTTTTTCCTTTTTCTTTTTGAGAGAACACCTCTGTTTTTGGAGAAACATTGCTTTCAGCAGCATGTGCAGGCTGCCTCCCTGCCAGGTGAACCGACTGATGCTGCTGTAATACTTGCTGCACATTTGGCACACTGGTAAAGGATGACTGCACTATTTGCATTAAACTCATGAAGTTGATCTGCTGGAGCTGAATACACACAAAATCAAAGTTAACAATGCCAGTAACTTTAACAGAAATCTTAGCAAAAATGTCTAAGCTATCTTGCAGCTGCTCACTATTAGGTGATGAAATAAACAACATCGCAGTAATGGAATGATTCAATAATGATTAATTTGTATAATTGTTTACTGTATTGGACTTCCTCATGAGATGTAATAAATACCTGCCACAGACAGGTTATGCTAAAGCAAGATGAATATCTTCAATTTTTTGTGAAGTTTCAATAAATGTAAGGTCACATAAAATTGGCTCAACATACTACCATCACTTAAATCCTAGACTAGTTGAAAAGCTATTACAGCATAAGAATTTTTCCAAATGTAAACTATTAAAGGACATTGACTTATGTGAGCTAAAACACACTCAAAGATCTATTATTATATCACTCATTTTCTTGAATTAAAAGCAAGAGTTAAGTCTAAAATAAATTTCACAGCGCTTAACATGGAACTAGGCATCTCTTTAAAGAACAGCCTATGCTGGTTTTGCAGTGGAGCCACCCACGGAAGTGTTTTTTACTCGGAGGAGCTGCTGAGGGCTTCCTCTGTGCCTAGCAAAACCAACTGCTGGCTAGCTTTGAGAATAAGCATATTAATGAGCCAATTAAAAACTAGATCTGCCTCTGTGAACACACATGTGAAAACGAACAGACCCTGGGAATTCTCTCTCTCCCTTCTGGCTTGGGAACAGGTACCAAGGCTGGCCTGGTCCCTTGTCTCGGCAGGCTCTGCTGCGGTCCGGGGGCAGTGGCTGCCCTGCACGAGGAAGGGAAGCCATCGGCGCTAGGATCCCAGCCCTCCCCCCAGTGCGGGTGCCAAAAAAATCCCCAGAGGCAGCTCTGTAGCCCGTGGAATTGAACGCAGCAGAGGCTGGAAAACAGCCATGCCATGCAGCCAAAGCAGTGCCTGGCATTCTAGCCTGGGCCCCAGAGATTCCAACACAGCCCCAGCGTGGCTTAAAAATCCATCAGATCCATCATTGTGAGCACTCTGGACACACCTGGCAGGGATCACGTGAGCATCTGCAGGCCCCCAGCGAGATCTTAACTTTTTTAGGGCATAGATAAGACTTGAAAACCTTCAATCCTCCCTCAGATGAGAGAAAAGGACAGAGTAGAGACACAGAGAGAACAACATGAGACATGAAGGTCAGTGAGAAGAAGTCAAGTCCCAAATGAGAGGGTTGAGGAGATGCCTCAGGTTTGGACTGAAATCTTCTTGTAAGGCTATGGAGAAGATATAATTGATACATCAGACTCTTCTTCCCTGTAACTCATTGGAAGTATGGGGGGATGAAGTGTTCAATTTGTAGATATAAGCACAGGTATGTGTGCTATAGCAAGCAGATGCTGAAGTAGTTGTGATCCCAGGAGAAATTTGAACAGAGAGAGAAAAAAATGGAGAAGACCCTTTGCCCCAAGGGAGAGAAGAAGACCTCTGCTCCCAGAGATGTAGATCCCTGAAACAGATAAAGATCACCTTTGCTGTTGAACACTTCATCCTTAAAACAGTAGCCCATAAGTTGACACAGCTCATAAACACAGCAGTGGGAAGGCTGCAAAAGATGGGAGGAACTCCACAATTGCAGATTTCTAAGCAGCTGCTATTCATGGACATTAAAAGCCATGGGAGACTGTTTCTTGTGGAGAAGTCTGTGGCATGGCAAGGGCAACTCCCCTCCCTAAGTGAATGGAAGAAAGACTATTCTAGAGGTGATAAACTGACTGAATTGTTTCTGTACATTGTAAGTGAGAGAGAAAAGGTTGTAGAGGGGAGGAGAACTATTCTAAAGGTTTTATTCTGATTCTTATTATTCTTTCTTTGAGTTACTGTTAATAAAGTTTTCTTTATACCCTTTTAAAGTTTTGAGCCTGCCTCGCCTTCCACCTAATCCTATCTCACAGCAGGAAATGAGTAAGTACATTCTAGTGGGTGTACTGGTATTTAGCCAGCACTGAACCAACCAGACACAGAAGGTCCTTAAAACAGTAACTATTTCCATTTTTTTAACAACACAGTTGGTACCATGAAAACTTAAAATAATTAGATGCCCTCACCTGAACTAATTTAAACATTTCATCTTGCAGCATCTGCCTGACAGTTTCTGATGTGCTTGGTTTCTCTTCTCTAGGGACTTCTGCCTTGACTTCTTGCTTCTTTGCACAAACAGAAGTATGGGAGGCAAGACTTGACACAGAAGACACAGCAGTCTCAGAAGGCTGAGAATCACTTCTAGTATCTACACTACTTAAGAAAGAAAAGAACAAACTATGAAAAACATTCAGAACATTCAAAACAGCTATACATGTTGTCTTAAATCAATCCAGAAAAATTTTAAAGATACCTGTGTATTTTAAAAACGTAATTAATTTGTAGGAACAACTAAGTAATTAACAGTGCATGATCTTGAACAGAGCACGTACAACATATCTCCTAATACTTCGTAAAATACAGAATTAAAAATAGTAGTAAAGATGTATGTTCTACCTGATTTTGTAGCATAAGTTTATCTAAAATATTATTGTCACTAGAGATACAGGTAGAAAACAACAATTTGACAAAAAAGACAGAAAAAAAGCCTGGTCAGTCATAAAGTCAATCAGCTGATGAAAAATGAAGAGGGACGTTTTTGGCTGAAATAAGGAAGAAGGTGGATTAATTTTGACTTAAAGTAATGTTCCTTTAAATATTTGGGCTTAGAAAGTAACAAGATTTTAGATTAAAGAAAATAATTTAAAATTGGAGTAACACATACAATAACATTTTCCCACAAAATATTTTCCCACAGTGATAACAAGATATTTTAGTAGGTAAAGAATATTAAATACATTCATTCCCTACATGAAGAAGAGAGGGTTAGGATTTACATTAAGCTATAAAGAAACTGAAGGACTTTACTTACACCAACGGGAATTAACCCAAAAGACGTTTTCTCTGTTTAAGAAAAATGTTGACATTGCTATGGATACAACTCTTAGAGGACTCGGACTTGTCTCTGTGGAGGCAATTCTTAAGAGAAATTTTTACAATTGTACAGAATGGCCTCCAATCATGTCAACAAATGGGATCATAAAGTAATTGATAATGAGTAAAAGCTATAGATACATAATAGGTGTGAAAGGGCATATGAAATCTTTTGGAAGGCAATTAGAATGTGCAAAAATGACCTGAAATGCCAAAAGTTTGAGCAAATTTTTTTTTGAAAAGAGTTAGCATGAGAAGCTCAAGAAGGAAAAGAGATTAGAGATACACAAAAATGAAGCCCAAAAGTATGCACAGTTCATATTTTCATCTAAACTGAAAAAAGCCTCATAGAGGACTGTTCTAGAACTGAAAGCCCAAGACTGACTCCTGATTCCGTTTCCCAATTCCAACATGCTCTTTATTTTGTATATATTTATGTAAATCTATCAGTTGCCATAGGATAGATGCTTTTTACTAATTTGAATTAAAATTTATATATAAGTTTAAAATATTATTGTTCAGGTGTTCTATATAATCAAGTATCTTCTACAGTAATATCATATAATGAATTCTGTCCAGAACCAGAAAACAAAACTACCATGTCTCTTGAAATCTGGTAGCTCTGAATTAACATTTGTGTCATGTGATATTCCAGACAACACATGAGAGTATATGATCCACAAGCATTATCGCAGAAAAAAGTTTCAGAAAAAGCTCCTTAGTTTGCAGATACAATACATTCCACCTGCAAATACTTTGCAGTCAAAACTACACATCACATTACTTCAAATAAAAAATAATTCTTTACTACATAAAACAGCATAGGTTTACCTTAACTAGGAACTTCTGCATCTTGTTTTAAAGAAAATGAGTGGGAAAAGGTGCTAGTAACAACCTTAGTCATACTATAAAGAGAGAAGTAGTAGTATTGCAAGTACTACAATAATTTGTTATGCTGCCTGTTTCCATTTTTTACACATGTATGTATATAAATATACACATAACCTCTTGAAAAAGTATTTTAATTAGTATGAGATAAAGTAACTGAAAGCCACCAGATCAAAGCTATACATATCTGCATCGCTTCTATTACTGCATTACATTGCAATCTGAGCTGGCAAACATTGACATTCATGTTTTGTCTCCCCTAGCAATCAGAAATTAACTCAAACAAAAGCACTGAAAACCTTCCAGCTATTCAAGACAGCAGGCAAAGAAAAGGTTGATTCTGGTAGACAAAGGAAGAGAAAATCCAATTTAACTAATATTGTTAATATCACTATAATCTGCATCTCCAGAAGAGAAAAAACAATGACATAATAAATTCTTGAGGGGCATCTTACACTCAGTTAAAGCAAAAATCTGTAGTTTTAAAAAGTAGAGAATTTAAAATCTTTCTAAAAGTAATTTTAAAGTCTTTCACAAACATTATGTATGCATAGGAACATTTATTTATATGCCATTGTAATAAGATTTCCTATTTTCCCAGTTATTTTCTATCTTTCTCCTAGATAAAACACACCTGCCCACTGTGCTTTCTAATAAAACTGTGCTTGTTTTATTAGATCATTACTAAAATAATGACTCATCAACCCAGCCCTTCATATATGTAAAATATAGGAGACGACTGAAACTGCAACTATGACTTTGCTGCTTTAAGCAACAGCAGGAACCCCTGAGACATCACTGGATATAATCATTAACAAAACTACTTTAGATTTTTAAGCAAAGTTAAAAGACTTAAGAGTTTAAAAAATCAACAAGTCACTTACATATTCTGTTCAGCCTTTTCTTCCTTTGTTTCTTCCATATTTGGATCTTGAGCACTATCTACAGCTGAAATGGCACCCTGCTGAATATAAAAATATTAAAAGATCTAAACTTGCAAATTTTTCTATCTCTCCTGCTTCAATAAAATACAAGTTTTTTAGCCTGTGGCAAATGTGTTTTTGATAAATTATCCAATTACAAAAATCTGACTAAAAATAATCAAAATTACATAGTTATCAGAAGACAGTTACAGATCAGCAACAAGGAGACATAACAATTTACTTGAGAATCTTCTTTCTTAAAACAATCTCATTATTATAAGATTTAACAATTTACCTGAGAATCTTCTTTCTTAAAACAATCTAATTATTATAAGATTTTAGTTCCAAATACATATTAATGTAGGACCCTGGGTATATATTCTGCTTATCTAACATCTCCTAGGTAAAGATGAAAATGTGGAAATAACCCCATTATACACAAACTGCCTACAAAACAAGAAAATGAAACAAATGTAGGATTTTGCATGTCATAGATTCATTAAACAGAGTTGTTACGCTATGTATGGAAGACCACAATACATAGCATAGCAGCTCTGCCCTTAGCCACTTTCAAAGAAAAGGTAACTATGACCAAAAATCATGCACAAAAAAGTAGGCTTATTTATAAATCCAGACTGAGTTTTCAGACAGAAGTAAAATAAACATCTCCATATATTTAATTTTTTAAAAATCAATTCAATTTTATGAATATATAATACATCTATATATATATATGGAAGCATACACACATTTTCATAAGTGCTCAGAGCAGATGTCACTTTACTACCTTTCAATTGTTAATTTTATTATTGAGCAAGGAAGAAGATTCACCACCCCTAAACAATTTAGCCCTCAAGTTCACAAATATATTGATGAATTCAGGATACTTTGAAAACAGTATGCGTAACAATTCAATGCTTCCATGTTCTTACATTTCTCCCGTCACATCAGGAGAAATGCTGGAGCTGCTCCCTGTGTTAGAACCAGCACAACTAAGGAAAGCTGATGGGTGGTAGTAGGAGATAACTCTCAGAGGTAACAAAGCACCCATTTGCTGACCTAACACACTCTCTAGAAAGGTGCTGCTTCCCTGGGGCTCCTGTCAGGGATGCTTCTGAGAGACAAACAAGCCCTGTACAGCCCACTATTACTTGCTGCTGTTGTTTCACACAGGTTCCAGTGACACATCTATGAGCAGGCTGAGAAATGAGGGCTCTGGAGTGCACAGTCAATCCTCCCAGTCAAAAGGAAGGGGTTTGAAAGGGTTTGAAACTGGTGAATAACAAATTGTTACAGGACTGACATGGCTCCTTTAGCCATGGGACTTGATTTGAGAACCTGGTCTGCTGAGGGCTGATGGTGTTCATCTACCAGAGAAGGGGAAGAGCACCTTCAGTCATAATTTTGGCAAGGGCGAAGAGGCCTTTAAAACTAACATTGCCAGGGGATGGGCAATTTTTGACAGAGTCAGAAAGAGATGCCTGGAGAGGAGCTGCTTGTCAACAGAGCACCTGAAGAGCTGCATAAAGGAATTACAACTACTCCTGCCAGTAAGTCAGCTTCATTGGGGCCTCCAGGCAAGCATACACAGCATGGAGAAAAAAAAATGTCAGAAGTATTTAGGTCTGCCAGATACGATGTTACTGGCATTGCAGACATGTGGTGTGATGGCTCTTATGATTGAAGTGTTGGAATGGATGGATGCAGGCTCTTCCTTTAGGAAGCACAGGCAGGAGAGATGAGGAGTTGACCAAGAGTTTATGGCTCAGGTTTAGAGGGAGGGCAGGGACAGGTGATATTACAGTGGGGTTCTGATAAAAGGCTGCCCAACTAGGAAGATGAAGAAGATGAGGTCCTTTATATGCAGATAGGAACAACCTCATGTTTGCAAGCCCCGATCCTCATAGGGAACTTCAACCATCCCAGTATCTGTTGGAGGGGCAACACAGCATAGCACAGGCAATGTGCTATGAGCACAGAACCTGGAGGTTCTGGAACACATTGATGATAACTTCCTTCCACATGTGACAGAACAGCCAGTGAGGAGAGGTACTATGGTGGACCTCATTCTGACCAACAAGGAGAAGCTGATGGAGAATATGAAGCTCAAGGGCAGCCTTAGTTGCAGCAACCATGAAATGGCAAATTTGAGTTCCTGAGGGCATCAAGGACACACAGAAAACTCACTGACCTTCACTTTAGGAGAGCAGACTTTGGCTTCTTCAGGGATCTGCTTCATAGAGTCCCATGGGATAGCACCCTGGAAGGAAGAGGGGCACAAGAAAGCTGGTTAATATTCAAGAATCACCTCCTCCAGCCTCAGGAGGGATGCATCTCAATGAAGAGGAAGTTTGGCAAAAATGCCAGGAGGCTTGCATGAATGAACAAGGAGTACTTGAACAAAGTCAAGCATAAAAATGAAGCCTACAGATGGTCAAAATAAGAAAAGGGTGAAGAATACTGAGAGATTGTCCAAGCCAAACATATCCTGGGCTCTGCATCCAGAGCGGTATGGCTAGCATATTGATGGAGGCAATTCTCCCTTCTATTCTGTCCTTGGAAGACTCACTGGAGCACTGTGTTCAACTCTGTGTTCCCCAATACTTGTTAAAGCAAGTCCAGAACAAAGGGTGTTCAGGGCCCTGGAGTATCTTTCCCCCAAGGAAAGGCTGACAGAGTTGGGGTTACTCAGCATGAAGAACAGAAAGCTCTAGGGAGACCTCAGAGCAGTCTTTCAGTATCTAAAGGAGCCTACAGGAAAACTGGGGATGGACCTTTTACAAGAGCACAGAGTAACAGGTTGCGGGGGGAGAAATTATTTCAGACTGAAAAAGTGTGGTTTTAGATTACATTTTAGGAAGTAATTCTCTACTGTGAGGGGACGAGGCACTGGAACAGGTTGCCCAGAGTAGCTGTGGATGTCCCATCCACGAAAGTGTTCAATACCAGGTTGGATGGGGCCCTGGATTATCTGGTTTAATGAAAGGTGTTCCTGCTGATGGCAGGAGGTTTGTAATGAGATGATGTTTAAGGTCCCTTCCAAACCCAAATGTTTCTATGATCTCTGATGATTGTATGGCAACTTGCCTGTTCTCTTTGATGTTCTTCAGGTCTGATCTTGACAGAGCTATTGGAGCTCTCTGAAGTTTCATATGGCTCCTCAAAGAACTCTACAATATAAACACAATTACTCTAAATTAGAAAACTACAAAGATTATAGTATTGTCACGTGATTTCTGACTAGTGTGGAATGAAGTGTCCAGAATTGCTTCTGCAAATTCAAAATTTGTGTTCTTACTAGTGTTGATGCATGCACCCAAAGAGAGAGGTAAAAAAATCCCCAGCTTATGTAAAGGGTACAACTATGATAATTTACACATACTCAGCTCTTAAAATTTGCAAAGTGTTTTGCACAGTTGTGAAAATATTTCTGGAATGAATGTATATGAGAGAATAGAACATGTTAACATACATTTTTCTATCTCTATAGAAAAAAGTGACATAATGAAAAAGCGATTGGAAAGTCTTGATAAAACAATTCAATATAATTTAGTTATAATGCAAACTGGATAAAATCATTCCAATAGAACAATGAAGACATTTGCATTTTTTTGATTAAATAAACAGAGGGACATAAAATCATATCCATGCAAAACTTCTACTACTTTATAAGTCAGATCATAGTAAAAGGATATATCATTAAAACAAACCTTGTTCTGATGTTACATCCAACTCCTGCTGAACAAATGATCCCAATTCATTCAGATCTTCAGTTATATGAGGCACAGAATTATTTCCATGATTATTTTTCTTCTTACAGAAATATTTTGACTTTGCAGACATTCTGGTAATAGAGATTAGGAAACAATTAACAATCTAAGTGTCTGGCTCACTTCACATATGCTGTTCCTTTCAGACTGCAGGCTAGTGCCTAACTAAAATAAACACTGTTGTGATATAATCAATATTCATTTAGGTTTTCTCTCTGACTACAACTTAAACCAAGCTTAATTGTTTTTTGCATAGCTGTGATATTTTAGTGCCATTAATTGTACACTATTTCAGACAGGCTGTTGCCCCACAAACTGTGCTATGTCTTCAAAATCATCTGATTTAGGCTACATTTATCTCCCTCACAGGAACTTCATTTATTGAAAAAAGAGAAAATGGTCAGACAAGACATACACTCATGTCTCAAAATACTAGAGATTATTTTCAGAATACTAGAGATGTATATAACTCACTCTCTCATACATATTCTAATACTAGAGGTAAATTTCTTTCTTTATAGCAATATAAGATGAAATGCCAGAGAGGAGTTCAGTTTAAGGATTCTTTATCTTCAAGACAGTGGAAGATATTATTAAATAAAGTATTTACTTTTTTCTATCTATTTTTCTGACATGCACACATATGAACATAGCTAGATTACAGATCCAGAGTAAAACAAACTAACATTGTGGACCACAAATCTCAAGTCAAAGGAAATTATGCTGAAGAGAGGGAAAATTATCTGAATTCTTTGAGAAAACCATGACACCCATTATTTTGGAAATCTAGATTCTATTTCCACATCACTAAGATTATAAACAATCACATACAATTAATTTAATATGCAACAGCTACATTATGTACATAAACTGATGTAGAATATGCAGCTGTAACCAATATGCCCAAAGTTTGACTTTTCACATAAAATAAAAGATGTATATAATACATAACAACAGTAGATCTCTTCATGCAGCTCAGTAGAGAATTTATGACCAACTAGAGTTCTTTGGTTAAAAAAAAATTACCCCAAATCACTTTCAGAAATATTATCATCTATTTGTACAATCTGGACATTGAGAGGAGAATTGGCCACTGTGGAAGAGCCTTCATCCATACTAGTTTCTTCCTCTGTTCTAGACTGGGCTTCTGATAGAGATGCAATTTCTTTCAGATATTGATCATCTGGATGCTATTAATAAAAATAATGATAATTGAAATTCACTAGTTAAAAAAAATACCAGCTACTTTTTAAAAAAACAAAATACGTTAATACACAATGATTATACTTAATTCACATCCTTTTCTTCATTATAGAGCCAAGAAATCCTGGATTTACAGTTGCCTGTGAAACATGAGTTTCTCCCCTTTTTGCATTAAGTGAAGCAATGGTCCTCTGAATTATTCAAAGGAAATATAAGAAAGATTTTTCAGCATCAACTGAGTGTGAATTGCCAAAGATATGATATATATATGACAATATAATCAAGACAAATATATAAAGTAAGATTTGGCCTTATCCAGACAATATAGAACTCTCAAATTACCCCTGAAAACAGTATGCAAGGCAAAAGAAAATACATAACCTTGTAGTTAGATATATGTACAAAATCTGTAAGTTGTAAATAAAATACTTGTCAAAAAACCAGAAAATACAAACCAAAAGTAGGAAAAAAAAAATCCATTTTGAAATTGGAGAAAAGCCTTTTCAACATGTGTCCCACAACCCTCTTCCCTCAAAGCCTTTCATGTATTCTCTGACTCTGTGTACTGTTAATTAAAGAAATGAAGTGATCCAGTTGTCTCTAAAGTATAAACTGAAGCACTACATACGAGATTCCTCTGGCCAATCTCATCTTTCAGATCCACGCATATACTCCAAATCTCTCTAACAGCTCTTGTAATTTTTCACTGGTCTTTAACCAGTTAAAATACTCCATTCAGACTGCATCTGAACTGACCTTAAACACAAATGAACTAAAACTCTTGTGAGAGGAACTATTACATTATTCTTTGCCTTGTTTTGCCATATTCTAGTCCAGTAGTATGTTTTTTCAAAGATGATGTCTAAAACTAGACACAGGCATTTGTGCAAAAAATGCAGTGTCTGGATAAATGACCTATATTTTGAACTTCCAAAGAGAACTTTCATCTCCAACTGAAGTATTCATACTGACAGATTTTCAGTATTTCTAGAATTTTTCTCTTAGCAACTCTAAAAAGAAAGGCTATATAATCAATATTCCATGTTTTACTGAGAACAGAACTATGAGGTAAACCATGTATCTTATTTTTCCCCATGGCACAACTCACTCACACACTTCACAAACACTCATCCTTTTTCTTACCTTACATTTTATGCTCTTTATTTGAGATCTGTCTCCATATAACTGTTCTAACAACCAAAAAGATGTAAGGACAGCTGGTGATGATGTTTTCAAATGTATCACTGGGAGAGTCTCTTCTAAGGAATCTTGTTTATTGGAACCACAGGGCAGTCTTTTGTCAGACCATCTGATCATCCACTCCAGCAATTTTGAAATATTGCTCAATTTTCCCATCAAATCTATAGGCAGTTCTTCTGCTGGAGCAATACCAACAACATCAAGAGTTTTGTAAATGTATTTAGGAATTGCCTGAGTTTGCAGGGTAGAGGAAGTATGGTTAGAAAAGGTCTGGCTTGCTTGTGCAACAGTGACTCCTTGATTGTCAGTCTGAGCTCTGTATATTGACATGTATTTTAAACCAAATAAGCCTTCTTTACGTCCTTTTGTTAGGTTACACACAGAAGACTCTGTGGGCTGTCCAACAGACTGTACAATTGGTGGTTTTTCCAAAAAATTTCTGTTATCATTATAGGCAGACACTTTTTCAGGATCATAAGATGCCAGGGTGATAGTATAGCAAGACCCTGCTCTAAACACACTTTGACTTCTAGTTTTGTTTTGTCGACGCTTTAGTGTTGTATGAACATCAAAAAAGAGAGAGTTCAATTCATGTTCTCGAAGCAGCTCAGAAAAGCTAGTGAGAAATGGAATTCCCAGGTCACTGTACTTTATCAGGTCTCTCTCAAGAACATAACTCAAGAAGAGTTCTAAAAATCCAACATACTCATCATCATCACGTTCAAATTCCCATACACCAACTACAGGCAAATTATGTTCATTAAGCCTATCTCTCCTACACAATTCATGTTTTGTTTTACAGTTAGGAGCTTTTATCTTGCGTGTGGTATTTTTACCACCTACTTCCCTTTGTCGTTGGAGTTCATTTGCCCTGTAAGACAATAGATGTAAGAACCATTAATATGCAAATCCATTTGAAGAAGAATTACATGCAACATTTAGCTCCTTATCTTCCATGGAAATTAAAAATAGCCAAAACCCCCAAATTAACATTAGTACAATACACAGGTGGCAAATTAATCAAATTCAAAATCCACAGACAGAAACTAGGCAGTAACGTATGTGAATGCAGACATATCTGATAGCAATTTACACTTCAATAATTTATTAGTCACATACTAACTCATATAACATAAGCAGTTTCTATGATTTGGAAAATCTGTAATTCTTCACTTGATAAATACCCCATAGGGACAATTAACCTGTCTGGTGAAGAGATTGTTTTTTCCCCTAATTTAAATCAAAAGCCTTCTGCTGCAATTTTCTCATACCTTGGGAATGAAGGTGTTTGAGCTCTTGTTTCTTCAGTAAACAAAGCATCTGAAACTGTGTCTGCCGTGTCTGCATCATTATATACCTGAGGATTCCCAACATCAGTAAGTGTGCTTGTGCTTAGACTAGTGCCTAACGAGAATCTGTCACAATAGTGTTCCTCATCATTTGATGCTGCCTCTTCTACTGGCTCCCAAATATTCATTTCTATAGGGCCTATGTTCTTTACTACACGTCTCAAGACCCTCTTCCTCACTTCTTCAGCAGACTGTATAACAACAGACATCATTTCTTCGCTTTCATGATCTACTGAAAGAAAGAAAACCAAGTTTTCAATCTTAATTTTCAGTTTTAAGTTAGTGTCTCAAATTGAGACATGAATTAGATTTCAATTAAAATCATACATTAGAGCCATTTATAAATTCAACAAGAAACTGTGGTAAAGTGAAGAAACACCAACATTTTGAAAGCCATGATATCCTATGACTGGTATAGAAATCGTATGTATCAGAAAGGAAACAGAATTTGTCACAAAACTAGAAGTTGTCCAAATCAAAATGACAATAATTGTTTTGTATGGGGTATGACAGAAAGTACGGTCACAAGCTGATAACTAGAATAACAAACAAAGCTTGTTTAAAACTTCCAGAAGAATGATGAACATTACCTTTAACAGTACTGTGTCTGAGTCGCTGCTGAAGTCCATGATATTTATCTCGTAGTGGAACTCTTATATCTTCAGGATTAGGAAATGCTCTTACAAAAATCTCAGCCACCTACACGAAAAAACCCCATCTTTTCCAGTAGCTGTCATACAAGTCGATGTCTTTTCACACAGAACTTATACAATGAGAAAATCTAACTAACATGTTTTCCAAGGAGGAGAAATATTTGTGATAATCTCTATTCTTTTATTCTAGTTTTAAGATCTTTTACCTTTTTTACTGGTGGCAATTCTCCAAGCAAACTCAAAATTACATCCTGAACTAATTCTTCAACATTCATGAATCTGCAGAAAGGAAGCATTCGACAAGCCCACTCCACTGCATTCAGACAATGCTCGACTGTGTAGGTATCATGTCTGTTTGTATTCGGATCCTAAAAAAATCACCAGAAACATTAATTACTACAAACAATGTATTTCAGCAAAATGATTCATACATTGCAAATAGTAATTCTTCTCAAAAAATAAAAATCTCTAACTTATCTGCCAAGCAGAGCAGCTTATGAGGACAAGAAACAGATCAATGTTGTAATGGATCATAATTACATTAAAAAAACAGAGGAAGAGAAAAAAACGGCTTTTTTAAACCAGCTTAGGAAATAATTCCATCAGAACACAACTGAAGAGTACAGCCACAAGTAAAACCTGAGGATTTGCCTAAACTGTGAAGTAAGTAATTCTATTTTGACTTCAGGTGATCATAAATTCTTTCTTGTGAGCAAGATAATTAAGCCTTGCAAGAGGCTTTTAAGATGGATTGGTTTATTTTGAACAGTATTTTCTGTCTCATTGTCACTGTCACATGAAGTACCGAAGAATCAGAATAATCCACCATTGGAAATACAGCCATGCTATTTATCTGAAACTTGTTTTTTCTGATAAAGAAAAATTTTGGACTTGTTACAAAATACATGACAAATATTCTAATAGTTTCTTTCTTTCTCTTCCTGGATTTCTGACATCAATTGAGAAGGTATAAGTAGAGAAAACATGATTAAATTTTAATTTTTTTCATTACTCTTTCTGACAACCATGTATATTTAACACACCATAAAACCCCATTTTTGTTTTGTACTAAGTATATATTATTCAGGTAATACTCAAAATATCATAGGGGAAAATAAACAAACCAGAAAGTAAATTCTTAGGTCAACAAGTGTAGAAGCTATTGCTTTCCTGGAAGCTCTCCTGACTCAAATACCAAGCAAAAGCCTAACAAAAATAATGTCAGGAAGATGGAGATAACATGCACACTGCTCCCTACCATCAGGTATGTAATTCACATTGCAAGCACTGTGCTCATTTTGTTGTGTTAAGCAAATACTAGTTCTCACAGAAATATATAGCAGATCTTTAGAATTCTTCTCATAGCTTCATACAATTAAGATGTAGCTCTACTACATTAGGAATACAATTACCTTGATATTGTTAATATTTTCCCTTGCAGTTTGGTACCGCCTACAGTTTTCAGATAATTTTTCACGAATGTGAAACATCCAACATAATGCACAGAACTCTCTGAACCAACCTACAATACAAACATGCAATAGGGTGAGATTCTATTTAAATAAATTAAATGGAGCAGTCTAAGATTTTTCAGTATTGATCTGAAAGGAGCTACAGCTCCTTAGTCCCACTTAGTGCTCATGCTCTTTCACAACTATCAGGTCTCTAACACAACCCCCCACCCCCAATCCAGAACAGCACATTTTAGAATAAGTTTTGGTAACTAACATAAAAGCATGTGTTCCTGACACATTGAAATATACTATTTCAATCTAGTAAGAGCTTATATGTCACCTGTGGATTTTCACTGGTGTTCTTTTTTCCAGCTCTAAATTATTTTATGTTATTGCATACAGACCTAAAATTTTACAGGTAATGTCATCAAACTGATGGGCTCCAGAAGATGTAGATCCATAGAGAGCAGTGCGGAAATTGCAGTAACAAAGCAAAGTCTCTGGGAATGGACTCAGCAAAGGAAGAGAACCTTTCTTTCGAATCTATAACAACAGGTAAACAATCAAAATGGAAATGAAAATCAGTTAACATTTTGCATGTATCACTACTGAATGCATAGCCTCTCTCTCAGTTATTAGAATATTGCCAAGATCAGTAAAACTCCCTTAAACTTGCTTTCCATTTTCTTCAAATCACTACTTTGAAAATTCATTTAAAGGAGTATGTTTAATATGAGCTATGGCACAAAGAATGATTTTGTTTGAATGGTACTCATGATTACCATGAAATACAACAGCAACACCAAGTATAAGAAGAACTAAGATCAAGAAACCAGACTGCTTCAACACAGTCCAGGTTGCTGTCAGCAAGGCTGACTAGCTTTGCCTCCAGTTTCAGTTGGTACATCTGACCAGCTCCCCATGCCAACATTAGGCATGTGACCATGCAAACAGAAGTAAATACTTTTCAGCCATATCATTTCCTGATCTCAATCACTGCATTAATGCTGGTGCAGGGTGGGGGTTGCAGGAAGGAAGAGCCATACACAATGTGACAATGACCTAAGACTGTACACAAAAACTTCTAATTAATTTATTCTGAACTTGCTTCTGTGCAAACAAATCACACAGAAGTAAAATGATATCTTACAAGTTCTGTGCACTAAGATGATCCCTTTACTTGAAGTGAACATTACCTTCTCCGTTAATATTCAGCCCTAAGTGATTTGGAGCATCCAGCTAACAGCTGTAACTCCCAATTAATGTCTGTTTTTTTCTTTCAATGGAAAATAAATGAATTTGTATGTTACCAAGTAGAAAGACACCCAAAAAGAATAATTTTATGATTTAGATACCCTATATCTTTAAACTCTGGTCTCCTATAAAATGAACATTAAGTGTAAAACTAGAAGATGACATGTACAAAACACAACATCAAAGCCAAGGTAAGACTGAATGCTTCTGTAACTGCAAACCTATCAGTAATATTTACAACTAATAATCAAGTTAAAAATAGAAAGTTAAATGTTTACTTTCTGCATAACTTTTCTTGCCCACTTCAGTTGTGTAATATACCACTGTGCTGCAGAGCAAGAACAATGAGCAGCCCGGAAGAGCAAGATAATTCGCTGAAGAACTCCTGACACTTTCTGACGGACTTCTTTCTCTGTTTTTAAAAGCACATCATCATTGTCTTCCTGAAAATGCAAAGACAAGCAAAGCCCAAAATTAGAAAGGATACATAAATAAATGTTACTGGTCCTAATTCCATCTTCTTTATAACATAGATAATTTATGGAAAAAACACAGAGGCACACATACTTCGTCATCACTGCTGTGCTAGCAAGGTAAATGAGCAGACATAGAAAAAAACAGAAAAATGAGCTTAAAAGAACCAGAATAAAGCTCATAAAGACTCATAAATACCATCAAATAAATATACAAGAAACACATTTACTTCACTGAGAGAAGCTGGCTGAGGACAGTACAATGGTGGTGCTGGAAGACAGAGCCCAACAGGAACCAAACCATAAAACTTTCTGCAAAGATCCTTGGCAGAATCCATCAAAAGCTGAAATGTGTCTGAGAGAATATCAACATCTGCCATAACAGCTGCTTTCAGTAGTTCCTCTATTGAACTGTAAAGAATATCTGCATCTTCCTCTTCAATGGGATCTATAAAATATTAAGCCCCAGAAACTGATAAATTAATTGAATCAACAGATCTTCATTCTGACATCATGAGGTTACATTGTCTGAATCTGCATTCATATATTACAATGACAGTCCTCATCTACTTGCTTTATGATAAGATCTCAATCATTAAAAAGTAGTATTCAATTACTAATTTTAAGTTTTGCCCCATTACCATTATGCCTATTTAAATTTTGCCCCATTACAATTATGCCTATTGCCTTTCTAGGTAGAGAACTGAACTTTTTAGCCAGGCATTTGCTTGGCATAACATTCTGGCAAATAATATTTACCAAAAAGGCATAAAGAGGTACGTTACTAATAAAGACTAAAGCAACCCTTTCATCAGTAAGTACATCCACCTGCTGACAAGAACTTGAAATGCTTTCAGATAAAAGAGAATAAAGTATAGAGATTGTGCCAGTAAACTTTCTGTAGAATATAAATAAGGATAGGTTGATCTAGACAATGGTATGAATTTCAGCAGTTAAGTATTAAGTTAGGAGCTCACAGTATCTGCAGGGACCAGCGAAGACCTGGCCAACAGCCAGAGAGACAAGTGAGAGACCTGCTTGTGCATCTTCATGTCTCTAAAGGCAAGACAAGGGGAGACCAAGGGAGCCATGACCATGTGCCAGAAATACAGTGTGTATATATGTATGTGTGCGTGTGTGTGTCTCTAAAGGTCAGGCACCTGGACAGACTGAGGAGCCCAACTCTCTGCTGTATCCTGTGTACTTGCAGGACTGTATGCTCCAGGCCAGATGCTGTGGGGTGCATAGACAGTGTATGTGTGGGGGGAAAGAGGGTGTTTGTGAGTGGCTCTGTACCAGAATGTAGAGACAGGATGGGGCTTTGGGGCTTACATACACAGACATGAGCAACCTGTGACACTCAGCAACTGGGTCAGCTAGCCATCTACTCAGCTAATGGTCTTGCCACTGGCCCAGCTCCCGGAGTGATACCCATTTGTACCATGTGTACCTATATGCCAACTTTAATCCTGACCAACAGGAGAGGAAAAGGTGATAGGATTGTTGGTGCTGACTGTGTGAGTGGTGAGCAGGTCTGTAGGTCTTCACATGTGGCCAGTCACATACAGGTGCTGCGTATATATCTACTGGGAATACACTCTTAGCCTTGCTAGCAGCTGGACCTGGGGATTCACTTTATCAGAAAGGAAAAAGCAAAACTTAGCATCTTCTTATAGCTAATTCAAGTGTGATGATACTTCCCATACTGTTAACACATAAATTTATTTGTTTATTGTAACAAAGATTTGGCATCATTCTATATAAGTTAATATCAAATATGGTCAAGCAAAGGTTTGTGCAACACAAATGAGAATACAGGATTGATAATATATTTCATTTCTGGAATGATCAAAGCCAAAACACATAGCCTCATGAAATTAAAGTGCTTGAATATATTAAAATAGTAATACACACACTGGAGAAGACAAAGCAGTTGTTTCTTTCTCAGACAGTGTATAACACTGTATATGTAGTCAAATAACATGAAAAAACAACCACAATTATTTTTCATTTTAAGTACCTGTGAACTTCTTGTATTTAGTAAGTCCTGATGTATCAGAAGTTACTGGCTGTCCTAACAAAGACTGTAACTTTTCTTGAAAAGTCTGCAGTGGTAATAAGCTTAATGGCAGGTGACACTCTGGTTTTTTCATTCTGGAAGATAACAAGAAACTGCTCATGAATAAAAAAGTAATATTCATACATAATCCAATGGAGGTCTCTTAAACTAGTATCTATGCCAAAATAACTAATCATAAGACCTTAAGTTCTACACCTACTACAAGTCTAGGAATATGAACTTCTGAGGCAAAACACATGGCTTGTCAAAATAAACTTCATGGAAATAACTATATAACAGAATGTAGTATACTGATTCCAACTGCAAGTTTACCTTGGGAGGTCATCAGAGTTCTGACAATACAGCTGGTAGGCAAGACCAATTGACACAGACTGCTTCCAGTCCCCAAGTGTGTGTGCTAACCACACAGCCTCTGGAATTAGTCCACCAATAAAGAACAAATCAAGAGCATATTCAGCTGTCCACACAGGTGAAAGCTTCTGGTCCTTGACAGCTCGGGTAACCAAACAGTGTTGCAGTGGAATGATGCGAGGAGGTAAGTCTGTGACATGAAAAGCACATATTAAAGTTTACATAAATCCTCGTGCTATCAGATGAGTAATCTAGAATTCATTTGCTCACACTGATTGTGGATTAGTTTCAGTGTACAACTGCTTTTATTATTAATTTACTTTTATTAGAGGTACACTAGGGAAGTATCTCAGCAATGGTATAAAAGCGAGTCCAGAATAGGCTATTTTCCTGCTTAATAATGTGAGATAGGAAAGCAAGTGCAAAGCTTTTGTTTTTTTTTTTTTAAAGACTTAATCATACTGATGGACTATTTGCAAATATTCCTCTTATGTGTAGGATATACTAGAGGGTACACATGAGATAAATGGAAATTCCTAGAGTTTTCCTAGCGTACCCACATTGTTTGTATACACTGTACTTATTGCAGAAGACAGAATGCTAAAATGCATTTTTGGGAAAGAACAGTACATAATATTCTGTAATTCTTTGATTTTAGGAGAGTATATAGAGAGAAACTTCAGACAAATGTAGTATCTCCTTTTTAATTTAGATTTAGATTTGTTTTTCAAGGTTTCGTTTCCTGGTTCTCCTGGAGGGGTGCTGATCAGCATGAATTCTAAGAACTTATTTGCTTCTCTCACAGCTTCTGTTTTGCTCAGACAGTGGCATTACTTAGGAGATATTCACAGTAATGAATAATCCAGCTTGCGCAATGTAATTTTACCCCAACTCTCTCACCATGTACATTGATCTTTGCCTAGCCAAGTATTAAAATCAAGGTTTTATTCTGTAGGTTTTATCTTGAAAGCGGTCCAAATAAAGCATTCAAAGACCATGAAGAAAGAAGTAGATACAAGTGCATGCTGTAGTACAGAAACATTAAAAGTGCTCAATGCATTCAAATATATTACAGAAAACCTAATCAATCAAAATAAGTTAATATTGTAAAAACATACACAGCATTATAATATCATCTTACTGGCAGAGTACTTAAAATGCTTCCAAATAAATCTTTATTCTCACAAACATTTGAAAAAATAGTTCTGAAAATAAAGATTTCTGAACAAAGGAAGAAAACGCTTTCCTCTGGCTTTTCAGTTGGGGGTCATACCAGATCACAGTATCAATTAAACCACTTCTTCAGCACTGCTGTTATCTCACATTTGGGAGGATCAAAGACAGTCAGAGCTAGATCTTTAGGCAAAATTGTAACAAAGGATGATAAAAAGGCTGAGGTACTTAATTCCTTCCCTTCCTCAGTCTTTAATAGTAAGACCAGTTTTCTGGGTAACAAGCCATCTGAGCTGGAAGACAGCAATGTGGAACAGTATGAAGATCCCAGTTCAAGGGAAAATGGTCAGCCAGCTGATACACCACACCATTGGGCTGGATGGGATCCACTGAAGGGTACTGAGGGAGCTGGAGGAAGTACTCACTGAGTCAGCTTCCATCATTACCCACAGTCCTGGCTCACCAGGGAGGCTCCAGCTGACCAGAGGTTGGCAAAAGGGACACCCCATTGACAGGAAGAGCTGGAAGAAGGGTCTGGAGAACTACAGATCTGTCAGCCTGACTGTGGTGCAGAGGAAAGTCATAGATCATCTTGAGTGCCATCATGAGACACATACAGGACAACCAGGATCTGGCCCAGCCAGCAGGGATTTGAAAAAGGCAGGTCCTGCTTGACCAACCTGATCTCCTTCTATGACCTTCCTTCTAGGGTGCAGGAAGGCTCTGGGTTGCAGGAACTCTCAGGCAGAGGGTTCTGGATTGACAGGCTGAGGACAGTTCTATGGTATTTAACAAGGCCACGCGTCACGTCCTGCACTTTTGTCACAACAACCCCTGCCTACACTACATGCTGGGGGAAGAGTACCTGGAAAGCTGTCCAGTGGAAAAGGACCTGGGCATATTGCTTGACAGCGGCTGAACACGAGCTACTGTGTGTCCAGGTGGCCAAGGGCATCCTGGCTTGTATCAGAATTAGTGTGGCCAGCAGGACTTGGGTAGTGATTGTACTCTGCACTGGTGAGGTCAGCTTGAATGCTGGGGTGAGCTCTGAGCCCCTCAGTACAAGGAAGACATTGAGGTGCTGGAGTGTGTCCAGAGAAGGGCAAAAGGCTGAGGAAGGGACTGGAGCATAAGTCCTGTAAGAAGCAACGGAGGGAGCTGGGGATGTTTAGCCTGGAGAACAGGAGGCTCGGGGGAGACTTTATTACTCTACAACTTCTTGAAGGCAGGTAGGCTGTAGCCAAGTTGGGATCCATCTTTTCTCCCAAGTGCCAAGTGATAGAAGAGGAAATGGCTTCAAGTTATGCCAGGGGAGGTTTAGACTGGATATCAGGAAAAACTGCTTCTCTACAAGGGTTGTCAAGCACTGGACCCAGCTGCCCAGGAAAGCAGGTTGAGTCTCCATTCCTGTAGGTATTTTAAAGATCTGTAGCTGTGGTGTTTAGGGACATGGTTTAGTGGTGGGCTTGGCAATATTAATGGTTGGACACCATGATCTTACAGGTATTTTCCAACCTAAATGATCCCATCTGTTGGAACAAAAATTGTATCAGCTACACTTTTTTTGTGACCTCCTTATGGTTTTTCTGTCTCCTACTCCACTGAAAAGCTAATTTGATCATCAAGTTACATCATAACAGACATCAATGATACATGTGAAAAAAATGGTAAGATTTAGACAACTAGAACTGCTTGTACAGGAAATACCTTGTTTGATGTGAAGGGGATGAAGGATGTCAACATTGTGAGGAGGAAAGATATAGAGCAGCTGCTTTGTGAAATAAGCAGCCATGAATCGTGCCATGGATCGAATCACAGCCATGGCAGTGTCAGTATGAATGCTGGTTACCATCCATAGTTCATGCTGAAAATACTTGGTATCTAAAAAAATCCAAACAAAAATATTACAATAAAAATTATTTTAAATTTGAATGCCAAAATTATTTAATCACAGGTTATAAAACATTTTTTTAAAATAAGCAAACTTACATAATTCCTTGACAAGCTTTCAGAACTTACAGAGCTTAATCTTTTATACTAATTATACATTATACTAATAATTGTAATAATTGTACATTATACTAATATTAGAAGACTTTTATACAAGGTTTTTAATGACCGGAGATGGACCTTTAACATCTAAATTTAGACCTGCACTGAGAAAAAAAATCGCTTCTTCAAACTTGGAAATTTAGATTTCACTTGGATTCAGACTTCGGGAAAAAAAAATTTACAAGCATCGCAAAACATCCCACTGTCAAATTAGGACTGGTGACCAAACTAAAATTTGCTGGTTTTCATACCGTATCATAAAAAAGTTAAATAAATGTCAAATCAAATCACATTATTTCCCCCTTATTTTTCTTATTCAAAGTCTTTCTTTGGGAGGATTTGAATCTAAAAATATTTAGCAGGTGACTAGTAGACAATGAGAGTTGTCTAAACACATATTTCAACAAGTGCAGCTGAAATATCAGAGGATCAGAAAAAGTCACTGAAAACAGTGTAAAGTGTAAAGCGTCAAAAGGTGTCAGGTGTGCATGTGAGGGCACAGAAAATCGACGTTAAGTTCTTCAGTCTCAACATACCTTACCACACTTTTAGGCAATGTAAACATACCAGAAAATTCTTCCATCTGACCTGTGGAGAGCTGTGATCGCCTTAGAATCTCTCTTACCAGATGATCGCAGAGTCCCTGAGCTTCACACAGGTTATATTGATACAGGTGACAAAACAATATTGCAAGATAGTATCTACGCTGAAGAAAACATGCTCTTTTTCCTCCTGCATTAAAAGATTTAAAAAAAGGTAGAAGTCCAAGTGGAAAAGAAACAATAAACACAAGAAGAGATGCAGCAAATTATAGTACTAGTTCTTTCCTCTCTAGAAACACATCTACATAAAAATACACTTTAAGGAGTAGAAATCAGGAGCTGCTACTTTAGGATACGATCCTTCTATACAGCCTCTAAGTCCCTAGTAAGTTAATGCTCATCCACATTTTTATTTCTAGAGATATGGCAGTTTTTAAAACAATACTATGCATAACTGTTAAGACACAGACAAAGACAGGAGAGCTTAAGGAAACCCAGCCTTCAAAGAAAGAATGCCTGAACCACAGTGGAGTTGCTTAGACACACACCAAGCCGCCAATAATCTGAATTTTTTTCCTCAATTAAGTATTCTTTAATAACCAGGAAAAATTTTTCTCATGATGCCTGGAAAGAGACTCTGGTATACCTGTTTCAAATCAACTCTTATAAAAACTCCTTACACAAGTTTTATTTTGTTACTCTCCAAACACTAATTATTTTAATTTTACAGCTACTGAAGGAATTGATTTTTGTTCATCTGTTTTGACTCTTTCTTTCATATGAATTCATCTAGTACTTTCCTGTACCACGTACTTCATAGTCCTAAGAAAGCTCTGATATTAAAATAGAAATGCACAGAATTTTCTCAGAGAGCAACCAGACTTAAGTTTTGACTGTTGTCTACTCATCCTATCTTAATTTCAAATATGTACCCTTTCTGAAAGGCAAACAGAGTCACAAATGTAAAATGATTATACAGCTCACTCCCTCTACCCTCAAAGATATTATCCCTTACCATTTGTTTTGAGTTCACAAAGAGATCTTTTCCAAATGTCCACAGCTTCTCTGTATGAGCCTAAAAGGAACTTCTCCTCACCTATAAAATCACATATTAACAAATTAAAAGCTCTACTTTTAGTAATTACTTTTATATTTACAAATACATACACTCTTCTTTCAGCATCAGAGACTTACTGAAAGCAGAACAAAATATGTGAGCCCCCAGCAAACTTCTATTTTCACAATTAAGTCTAGGTTGTGAACATCTGAGAGAAGATGAATATTGAATACTCCCTGCCAGGATAGGTAATGTATGAGCTCTCCTCCAGGAGAAGCCAATGTATTGTATGGAGTGCTGTAGGAAGAGGCATTAGAATTGTCGTTTAGGGGAGAGAAATTTCTCTCTCTGTCTTGCCATGACATGGCAAGGAAACAGAGTTGTAAAGGGAGACATAAATGGGAAGTTGGTTTTAGCAGTGTAGAAGTCAAAAGGAAAGTAGAATATAGGACAGTAAAGTGTAAGAAATTAGGCTACAACTATATACCCTTTGGAGAATAAATATGCTAGATTACCAAGCACCTTAGGTTACACTAATTAGATGCGTAGTTTAAACTGACCACATTTGTGAATACAACATACTCATGACCACAATGACCATATGGAGTGAACAATCTTTCTACACAGAAATCCAGTAAGAGACACATTGTGATGCCCATTTACTTCAGAAGAAACAACACAGGAGATCAGAATTAAAATCTTCCATTCAGATTCTTTAGGATATGGCTCAAAGCAAACTGAAATAAATTCAGTCTTCTTATTTAGCTTAACAAACTCTAAAGATTATAATGCAATCTACAGACATACCAGGACATAAAGTATTTAAAACAGAATTATGGTAAGAATTTTAAGAGAAGTCTAAATGTTCACTTTTTAAAAATCTAGTGGTCAGTTACCAATTACTAAGATGGACCTAATTTTCCTAGTTTTCAATTAACATTTTTACTAACCAGATACAGAATTAATCTTCAAATGTTGTTCTAATGTCACTCCTGAAGACTGAATGGTTGCTTGTATATGACTTAAAAGCAATGAGACAATAGAAACCTCTTCTGCATTCCTGTTCACTTTTCTTTTCAACTGCACCTGATACCAAACCACTTTCTCATATAATAGTCGCCATAGTACAGTCAACCTGTAATTCAAGAAGTACAATATTATGAAATTTAGCAAGAGTTAACAAAGTTGCCTACATCAATTTCCTATATTCTTTTCTTTTATATTATGCACCCAAAAACTAAGTTCTATTAACTACTTGCTTGACTTTGCTGGGGGGAGAAAATGAAGCACTTTTTGCCTAATTTTTGACTAACAAACATTAAATCTTCTGAATTTTCTTAAGCACAGGAATCTACTTTAAGAACCTAAATGCCCCCAAAATTAATCCCCTTGCTAGCTAAACAATGGGGAAATTAATTTATCTCAGACAGAGAAACCTCAGAACAGGTATTACTATCTTTATAAACAAGACTGATTAAAAAACAATTAAAGCATAACACAGAAGAGCAAAGACGATAAAACAAGATTGCAGAATTATGCAATTCTAAATAAAATAAATAAATAAAATAAGAATGAAGAATGGTTTTAGGGCTGGCAAGTCCCTGTTGCCTAGCACAGTCCTACTAGATGTACCAGCTCAGATACATAGTAAGTTTAACAAGACAAGCAAACACACATTGCTAGAGGCTTGAAAAAGCTTGCACATAACTGCAATACATTTGTATCTTGAAGTACTACTGGGTTCATAATTAACACAGAAGCAATCAGATGCACAGTGCTCATCACCTGGAGCCCAATTAATCAAAAATATGGATTATCTTCTCCAATATAACTGAAACTTGTGTATCAGATTAGCAGAGAACATAGTACTATATTTAATGATTATTGAAGAAATGCCTTTCACTGTAGTAGGAATTAATTAATGAGTTATAATGCTACTTACGTTCTAAATCTCTGGAAAGCAGAAGCCTGCTCATGTAAACAGCACACTTTGATTCACTGGAGTTTTGCAGCATAGAAATACTCCAGTGATAACAGTATACTTTCCTAAAAGCTGACAGCACATTTCAGTCAAGTTTATGTGTGCAGAAATTTAAGTAAGTTCATTTCCACAAATGGGCTTTTCTTATTGCTCTGAGACACCACATCCATTATGAATAAAAACTTTGCTGACTAAATTGACACCATTGACATATTGCATATGAGCAGACTCTTGCTCCATATAATTTGCAACTAGGAAGAACTGAAATGCACAAGAGACAGTTAAAGCATCTAAATTTCAATATCTGGATAAATGCTGCACTACCAGGTCTGGTGTCAGCTGTCAACCCATCAGTTATCTCCAAACCGATTTGCAGTTATAGTCACCAGAACCAAACTATATTCAAATATAGGTCTGAGTCTTAATCCGTATGCCTTGTTTATGATGCCTTTCCATGGAGTAAATGGCAGGAAAAAAAACAAAAGGATATTTCATTATAGTTTAACTCATACAATTTTTGTTCCACCATATAGAACCACTTAGGCTGGAAAACATCCTTGGGATCATTGTGTCCAACATTAACATTGCCAATCCTACTTCTAAACCATGTCCCTAAATACCACAGCTACATATCTTTTAAATATGATTCAGCCCACTTCCCCAGGCAGCCTGGTACAATGTTTGACGACACTTTCAGATACTGTGGGGCCTAGGGCTAGACACAGGACTTGATGCGTTGCCTCACCAGTGCCACGTACAGAACAACTGTCACTTCTCTGGTCCTGCTGCCAGGATTTCATTGGCCTCTTTTGGCCACCTGGGCACACACTGGCTCATGTGCATCTGCTGTCAACCAACACCAACCAACATGGGCAGTTTTCCAGCTATTCTACCCTAGCCTGTGGTGCTGCACAAGGTTGTTGTGACCCAAGGGCAGGATCTGGTACTTGGCCTTGTTGAACCTGACACCATTGGCTTCAGCCTACCAATGCAGTTAGTCCAGATCCTTCTGCAGAGCCTTCCTGTCCTCCAGCAGATCAACAGTCACACTCAACTGTTATTTATGAAACGAGTGAAGGTGCTCTCAATCCCCTCACCTTAAGCATTGATAAACATATTAATCAGGGCTGGCCCCAATACTGAACCTTAGGGAACACCACAGCAACTGGCTGCAGCTGGATGTAACTCCATTCACCACCACTTCCTAGGCCAAGCTATCAGGCATGAATCCATTTTAACTCAACAAAGAGTGCTTTTATCCAAGCCATAAGCAGCCAATTTCTCCAGCAGAAAGTTATGGGAGCCTGTGTCAAAGGTTTTACTAAAATCCAGGTGGACAATATCTACAGCCTTTCCCTCATCCATCAAGTAGGTCACCTGTCACAGAAAACCAGGCTGGTCTTGCAGGATCTGCCTTTCATAAACCTGTGATGGCTGGGCCTGATCACCTGGTTTTCATGTACATCTTTCCCCATGCAAAGCTTATTCATACCTTTTTTCTGTTTTTGCGTCATGGTTTACTTGAGGACATTCTCTAAGCAGAGATTTCAGTGAACTAAACTGCTGAGTACTATTATCATCAAGAACTAAGAAAACAGGCACAGTGAGGGAGTCAAGTTCCACGAGAGTATTAGTGTCAGGAGAGGCAAAAAAATTCTCATACTGTAGTACACATACTCTGCTTAGGATATAAGAAACCATTTTCAAAAGACAGAAACATGCCAAAAGGTTTTTTGAGAACAACAGATCTTGTTGCTGTATAAACATCAGTTTTAAAGTTTCTAACGTAAGCTTTGCCACATGCCGAGTCACACTGGCTCTTGAATGCCAGTACAAGACAGTCAAACACTGCTGAAAATATTTCAAGACAAAATGCATCCATTGAGTATTCTTCACAGACTTGTTCAAAAATGCATCCTGGTTTAGCAAAGTACATTTCACAAACTGAACAATTCTGAAAAAATGGATAATGCAGTTCACTGTGTAATTCAGTAATGCATCTTTCTCTTCCAGTTTTTTTGAAATCCCTATCTGCCATGCACCAAGGAGGTTTTTCTGAATGGAATATAGTTCCAGTGATGATTTATCTTTCTCTTCAATATCGTCTTCTGCATGGATGGTATCAAACATTGATGCAAATTCTAAGCAGCCTTCATCAGCTTTACCAACAGATGAATAGATTCTTTGGTTATAGAAGATGGAAGGGCAATTGTAAAACTGCCTTTCATTGTCTGATTCTTCTTCAACGTCCTAAATCAGACAAGTGAAAAATCAAGTTTAATTCAAGTTTACTGAGAGAGAGCACACAAAGACTGCAAAGACTCATAATTTAGTCAGTGTCATAAATGAAGTTTTTATGCTTAATTACCTTGCTTAAATGCTAGTATATCTAATAAACTGCAGTTTCATCTCAGTCTCAAATTAAATGTCATTCTTTGCAAAACAGTTGGGCAGACAAATTAAATTACCTAACACCAAAATTACACTGCCAATATAGCAGAAGATTTTATACCAGAAAGTGAAACCCCATCCTTCACTAAACCTAGAATAAAAGACAGAAATTCTGCCAGATACCTGTAAGATATAAAAGACATTAAACAAAAGCTCAAAAGCTTCAAAGAATGAACCAAAACTCAAAAGCATAACATGAAGTTGGGAAAGGCTGTTCAGTAACTATGTTCACGGGGCCACTCTTCCAAAAGACAAATACAGATTTCCGAACTTATAAAAGAATCCTTTAAAACTCAGGATAAAGGTAAGTATCTTATTCATTAAGAATAAGATTGTTACTAAAATAGTCTATAGCCCCAGTATATCTAATAGCTAATGTTACATTTTACTATAAAGTGAAGCTGAAGTATTAGCTTTCCAGGGAGACCTTACAGCACCTTTCATTACTTAAAGAAGGCCACAAGAGAGCAGGAGGCTTTTGACATGGACATGTAGTGAGAAGACAAGGGACAATAGTTTTAAACTGAGAGATGGCAGGCTTAGACAAGATGTAAGGCAAAAATTCTTTCCTGTGAAAGTGCTGAGACTCCATTGAAAGTACCTTGAAAGTACATAATTTCACGTTAAGTGGAAGAATGCTATTAAGTACCAGCAAATCCATGGTTTTCTCATTAACTTCTGTTGTATCCTCCTCCTCCAGGAATCTCGGAATGGTGGAAAAGATAGAACTTTGATTTTGAACTTGTTTTAAAAGACTGGCTTTTAAAGACAACAGTGATTGTAGAGATCTCCCTTTACACTAGAAGAAATAACAACAGAAAACATATCAGTTTCTAGCAAGACAGACAGTTTCTAAACAAGTCAAGGAAATTGGCTACTGTTGTAAAAAGCTTCAGTTCAAGTCCCAGACATACAAGGAGAACAGGTCAGCAAGCATCTGTTGCACAGAAACAAACTACCATTTGATGATGCTTTGGGGAAGCAGAATTCTCTCACACCAGACAACTTTAGTTTACTTCATACTGAAAGAATCTGCTGTCTTGATGCCTGAAAAAAAAAAAACTAGAAATTTGCCTGTATGTAGGGTTTTTCTGCATTTTTACTAGTTAACATATCTATTTAAGTCCTCAAATCCTTGCTCACTATTCTAGCTTATGCAGGAATAATACCATGACAGCTCACTTTTCCAAAAATCAGAATAGGAACTGAATTAGAAGGGAAGCTGCATTCTATCAGCAAATGCAAATATTCTGAACTAAATATGTGTTTATATCTTATGTGGTCAGCAACAGTCAGAGGACCTCTTCCTTCAACGGCTTCCCTTCTCCCAGATGGAGAATTCAGAAGTGACAGAAAATGAAACAGAAATGCTTTAACCAAGCTATAATTGCCACCCTTGCCTGAAGACCTAGTGGACAAATACCATAGGAACTAAGTTGTAGAAGATTTCCAGAATTCTTCCTGCATCATTGTGAAAGTTGATGAGAGTAGCATAATGTTAACATCCCCAACCAACTGTATAGATATAGATATCCCTGCTTCTTTTACAGTTCCAGAAAAATAATACAATGACAGTTCAGACTGTCCCATTCACTACATTTTCCTGAAATATCACCCAGACATCAAAGGAATAAAATTTCAGGAAATCTGTATTCGTTGTTTGGCAGATCAGTATGATTACTTAAACAACTTTATAATTCAAAGATACTGGGTCTTCGATTTACACTTTTTCATGCACATGAAATTTTTTACTTATAAGCTTTCAAAATAGTTAATAATCCTACCTTGAAGTTCAGCAAATTCTGAGAGATGTTTTCTAACAGCTGTTGGGTTGAATCAAGCAAAAGGGATCTCATAAATCCTGATGGTGAAAAGTTGTTAGGAAATCTTAGCAGTGTTATCATGTATCCATCAGAGACAATCAGGTAGGGTAGTCTTGGATGTGAAGCAACAGAGAATCTCTGTCTCAAGAAATCACGTTCAGAACCTGAAGAACCAAGAGACTGGCTGGAATCTCGACAACAAGATTGGTGCTGTCTAAAAGAGAAATACATCAAAAATTAAGAAGCATATGTAATAACTATGAACAAAATAATTTCAGAACATGTAATACCATGCAATCTACTACCCAAATAAATCCCTTCAAAATCCTAGGGAAGTGTCTACACTTTCGCATGATAAGCACTCTTGATAACACTATTTATGCTTGCAAGGTGCCAGTATGTTACTACAACAACAACTTATTTTAATTTAAATAAATTAAAACCAGCTTTCAGCATCCACTTATTATTTCTTTAGTAATAATTGTATTTTTTCATAATTGGAGTCTAAATTTCCATATCACATTTTCTTATCTAAGTTGTATTAGCTTTATTTTTTAACTGCATTAACTGTATTATTTAGCTTTATTTTTAAACTTTTTATTAACTTTCTTATATAACTTGTCATTAGGTATGACAAATGCTTTAAGGTGAAATTTAAAGGTTTAGGCTAGGAAAGTCATATATGAAAGAAAAGAACCCCTTGAAAATCTGACTTACTATTTCAGCATAAGTTCAGATATTAAAAATGTTTAATAAACACACATCTTCTCTTTCAAAATGTTTTTTTAATACAGAAATCCCTCCTTACTGAGTTCTAGAATACATGTATTCTAATGTTAGCCACATAACACACTGTTTGTGTTTACTTGAAAAAAAAAGTAGCTGAATATATTCAATACATCATCATAATTCATGTATTTTAACACATTCTAGTATCTGATTTTTTCAACCAGATAGTGTAAGAAGGTAGTATACTTCTTTCAATGTCTTCACAAACTGTTATATTTACACACTATTTGGTTTAAGTCATGCAAAGTTAATAAGATTTTAAAAAAAATAAAGTTTAGATTCTCTTGTTTTCTCTATTTAGACTGTGTTACTTTCAGTTTATGCTAAAGTGTGTTACCAAAGATCCTTCTACTCTCTCATGCACCCAGCAGCATAATCTCAGAATTTAGATCTGGAGAATCCCAAAACATTTTAAAAAACAACATCTTTCTGTCCATGCAAATACATTATTTGCAGTATCTTACATTAGGTTCTATATGTAAAATTAAGCATTGAGCAGAGAAACAGCACTTGATTAAAATAAACTTGCATTTTTAGTACTTCTGCAAGTTTAATTTCTTCTCATAAAAACTAACATGCTAATTTTAATGACTAATTACTAATAAATTCAAACACTTTTAGGAAAACACATCACTTTATATATACTTACATTGTCACAATGTCAATTTTCATCACGACAAACGCATTATAAGAAATAGAAGAGAACTATGAATGAGAAACAGATATTGGGAAGACACATGAAAAGCAAAGAGTGATTTTTGAAAGATAACATTTATGCAAAATTATAATAAATATGACAGAAATAAGGTAAGACCAGAAGACAGAAATGCATAAATTTTTTAAACCCTTTTACCTGTATGTTATTAGTGGATGAAATGGAATAAACTGTGCTGGTCCAAATTCTACAGAGCATCCAGAAGCAATTAAGGTCAGCAATTCCCCCATACATGTCAATAAAACCAAACATCCACGTTTTAACATGCAAGCCAAGAAAAGGCTATCAGGAGTCCAACTCATATCGCCAACCCAGTAAGATCTAAATTGAGCAGGTAAAAAATATTTTTTCTCTGTCAAACTTTAGCATCAGAGGGTTAGGAGAGTTATAAAATAAACAAACAAACCATAACACAAAACCAAAGGATCCACAACAGCAGCAGAAACAGCATCATTTACTGACCTGATGAACCTGGATGGGGTCATGCTACTTTTACTACTACAACCTTTCAGGCTACCAGAAACAGTTACAAAATTCAAGGTGTTCAAAAACAAAACCTGAGTTGCCTAGAAGGAAAGAAATAAAAGACATCATAAATGTTTGTATCAAAATGCCACTACTGTAAAAAAAACTTCTACTACTAACTTATGCATTAGATTTGGTGGACTGGTAACATCACAATAAAGGGAAATGACATTGTATTTCAATAATTATTACTATTTGAACATTTATTGAATTTTACACATTGTTCTACACTTGAAAAATAACTAAGGACTATTATATACTTAATATGTAATTGAGTATTCTTTTCAATGTAACTTTTACTAAAACATTCAATGTAACATCACTCTTCTTTAGTCTTTCTGGTACTTAACAATTGGATCATTGAAGGATTCCATCATCCTAATCTACATCAAAAAACCTAGTTTATTTTCCTTGTCATCATTAGCATTAAAAAGTATATTAAAATTTGACCTCTGAGTTATTAATAGGAATAACACCATGAAGTGGGAACTCCAAAACATGTTAGGCTGAGGTTTGACTGAGAATCGCCCAGAATCTTTGCAGATATGACTCAGGAAGTGAAATCAATTTCTTTTTTATTACAGCTTAGAAATAACAGGATCTTACCAACTTCTAACTGAACATCACACATAAACAATTATGAGTTGTATTAAAATATTTTAGCTAGGGATATCAGTGTAAATATAATTTCATGTCTCCTTATGAGTGCTAAAATGATACTAAAACTGTGTTTTAAGATCCTTGTTACCACTTCATTCAAACTGAACTCCTAGCTTAAATGATGGGCTGTCATACATACCTTTGGATCAGTTTGATTTACAGCTACTGCAAGCACAAGTCCATCTCTTGCAAATGCACATAGTAAAGCTCCTCTTGATTTAACAGACGCACACTGAGGGACCAAACTAACAAGAGAGCGAGTCTGCTGTACCCACTGGATCTGGTATGGCAAAGAACTGAATATCAACAAAAAGATAACAAAACCAAGTGGTTACTTCATTTTGCAGAATGGGATTATTCCTATACAGTAAAAAAACATGCAAGACAAAACCATACAAAGCATGAGCTATTAAAAAAAACACCTTTTTCTTCAAATGCCTTACAAATGAAAAAATATTTTGTCCTTACACAAGTTTAAAAATTAAGTCTGAGCACTAAGAATTATTTTTATGGGATTTATAAATCTAGAACATGCATATATATAGAGATCAATGGCATATAATTGAGACACTTGCATTCTAGCCAGGTACAGCTTACTCAGACCTTGTAACACCATCCACCACAGGAATACTCAGAACTTGAAAATCAACAGTATGAGGCTCTGAACAAAAAATAAGTGGATGACCCATCACTGGAAGTGTTCGAATGACATGCTGGATTATGCTTCCAGTAACGTGATCTAGTGGAAGGTGTTCCTGCCCATGGCAGGGAGGTTGGACTATGTGACCTTTACAGGTCCCTTTCAATCCAAACAATTCTGTGATCCTAAAAAGATTCAAAACATGACAGAAAATACAAGAAAGATTCTATCTTGAAGTATGCCATTTAACTGACAGGAAAAAAAAAGCATTAATTTGCAAAAATTAATTGAACAACAGCAAGCAATGAAACTAAGCAGGAGCTAGCACAAGAAAATATGAGTAAGATGGCTGAGAAGTGTAGTTACAACTTTAGCCTGCAATCACTATGGTGTGGACAGACAGCTAGCTACATACATACATATGCATTTCTGCACTGGGTATACTATGATCTATTTCAATTTTTATATAATACCAGAAAGGACTTATCATGCCACTGATAAACTGAAGATTAGGTCAAGAAGGATATCATTACTAGGTATCAAAAGGACATCATATAACAAAAGCAGTTGTACCACATCATGTGCTGGGCAAACTTTTGGCAAGTTATTCAAATAACAGCTGTAGAGGACATACCTATTTAAACTCATAGATATATATGTCACCCAGAATGAGGAATAGACTATACATTTGCTCCAGATTATTACTCAATTGTATTTTTAAGTGGTTGTATCAGTATGACTATTTCAGCACTTGGTTCAAAACCAGATAAAGAAATGCACACACAATGAGCAGAAGAAATGAAAAGGGCAACAGAAAACCAATAAAACACGCAAATCCACATAATAAAGAAGAGAAAGAGGTAGTCAAGGAATTCATGGCTGCACAGTACAAGAAATATAAGAAAATATAAGATATATAACCAATATAACAAAAAAGAAGAAAAGTACATTCTATCATCATCATGCAAAAAACTATGAAATTAAAACACATGTGCCAATGTGTATACATAGCTACCCACACAGAGTGATAAATACTCCCACTTTCATCTAGGTGGAAGCTAATGATGAAGTATGGGATATGTAAATAAACACTCTTGTATTAAACACATTTTACAAGGAACATGTGAAGGACAGGGGAGAATGGCATTAAAATGACAAGAGGGCATGCTATAAACATGCATACATAAATATAAGTAGGTGCTTATAACCATAGGTTAATGGAACATTAATATAAATGTGTTCAGTTTTGTGGGTTCTCAGCATGCAGGATTCCAGGATACAACACAGCTGTATCTCTGAATCCCAGCTCTAAAATAAAAATTAAAACATTCCTGACATTGCTGTAACTTCACATGTCTTTGAACTTACCTAACATTTTTAAAGGTATTTTCATGCCATCGAAGAATCAAAAATGTGAGCACCAAACACTCACCAGAGTAAAATACAAACGAACACAAACAGCAATCAGCTAGTACCTGTGGAAAAAGATAACACGATCAAAACAAGCCCCAAAAGGCTTGTCACAATCAAATTTCCCTGTATTTATCTACCTATTTAGATCAATAGTTATTACAAATAACACAACGTTGTCATTCAGAAATATAAAGGCTGGCAAGAATGTAAGTGGGCTAGAAACTCTGATTTGATTCAGTATGACTGTTCTTACATTGTCACCAAATGTAACATGACCCAAAATATTAAGCCTCTGCAAAATGCTGAAGAGGCAGACATTGCTTTCAAAATTCACTGCAGATTTTGTGGCTCTAATTTAATTAAGAAATAAAATGATTGCTTTAGGGCTTATTTTTCACCTCATTTTGTATGAAAGCAGCATCCACTCCAATTTCTTTTTCTTCAGGAGAAGGCAATATGACTGATTCATCAGGTAAAACTTGTGTCCAACGCCCAGAAGGAGAGTTTTTACCAGAGGCTGAGTTTTCATGTTCTGTGCTCTCCCACAAAAAGGCACATGCTGTAGGAGTAGTTAACAGTACCTTTCTGCCATCTCCAGATACATACAAGTACAACCTCATTAAACACTCTGAAGGAAAAAAACAAAACAAACAAACACAACAATGTGCCAAGATTTCTGTTCCTTTGTTAGATACAGAATTAAAAACAATAGAGAAAGTAAATTTCTCTTCTCATCTGTAACAAGAAATCCAAGCTGCCATGCTAAGTATCTTTAATTTTCAGCTTCATGACTAAGAGCAGACCCTGGGCAGTAGTAAAGTCAGATGGGGGTTTCATCTCTATGCAACCTATGAATCATCTTTCCCACAACACTCAACCAACCATTAGAGATGTTTCCTGAGATAGCCTAAATGCTCTACTTATGGATTACTTTTAGCTCTTAGGCATATTACTGATCTTCCCTGAAATGACAGAATTTCTTGTGCAACACCTAACTTTAGAAGCTGGCATCAGTGATGCTATCCAACACAAGACAATATTTGATATTTAAGCTTGCAAATACATGTCTGTATTTTATTCTTTCCAGCTAGCACCTGCCATAAAGCCCACCTAGAGAACAAGCTTCAAATTATCCATATATTGTTTACATCAAACATATATCTGCCCTAACTGATAACCTAGTCAGGTATGTTTTACAGTAAAAAATTAAACATTAAAAAATACACTTACAGTATCTGAAAATGAACTATTTACAAGGGATTACTAAATAAAAACCTGTACAACTCAAATGACATATGTCAAAGTTTAACTAGCACACAAATTATACAAATGCTAAACAATGTGAGAATGCTGTTTTACTCATATAATAACCTTTAAAGAAAGGAAAACAACTTGCCCTTTATTCCATTTCTTCCCAGGATTAACTGAAAAAAACCTACCTTGTGCTCCTGCTACTACTTTCTTGGACTCTTTGATTGCTGGTACAACTTTCAAGCAGTCCTGATCTTTATTCCAAAGAAAGAGCTCTCCTGTTGTAAGTATTCCTGCCAACCAAGCAGCTGTGTTCGTTGGGGGAGAGAAGTTTTGAAGGATATTACTGTTAAGTTACTTAAAATTACTTCTCTTCCATCTTAGCCACAGTTTAAGTGAACTGGCAGATCCTTTAGATAGCAGACTTTTCAGAGTGTTACAAATACAAATAAAATAACCTGAGCTTATAACACATTAAGATATTATACTTAACCATTTCCTGATGTTGTTAAGACAACCACATTCTTCAACAATGACTGCAGTGAAGGGATTTTCTTCCTTGTCTTCCCTGACGACAAGTTAATTTCATTTATATGTTTACCATCTAGAAGAAAAACAGCCTCTTTTTCCTATTAAAAGAATAAAAGATCATTTAATTTTTCAAAATGCTATTTTCTACACAGGCACACAGAATAATGCAGAGAAAAAACATTAGGGAAAAGAATAATTTTAAAAAGTACAAAAAGGCAGAAATTGCCATACTAATTTCATTCTTTGGCATATTTGCTTTACAGTACATTATATCCAGCATGGACTTCCAGTGATGATGAATTTGATCCACAGGTTTCAAAACACCAAAATGATCTTACAGTCATTACTAAAAGTTATTCAAAGTACTTATGCTAACCCACCTGCTAAAAATGCCAAAACTGGACATTAGCTGTCTTGTCTTGTAGTGTTTAATTTAGTGAAATAATTGCCAGAGACTTCAATAGAAAAAAAAAATCAGCCTTAAATTGCTACCTACTTAAATTCAAATCATAGAAAAAAAAATTAGTGTGATTTTATGAAAGAAGTCTAAGAAAGTGTGATCATCTTTCAAGAGATGAAGGATGGAATGAGGAAAAAACAATCGTGCACATTTCCCACGATGTACTGTAAAAAAAGTTATGAAAAACGATAACCATCAAAACAACGATCTCATCTAGGGTATGAGTCTTCGGGGTAGGGAAAAAAAAAGGCTTTGCAACGTTACTCTGAGAAATTTTGAATCTCCAGTCTCAGATCAATAAGATAAAAGTAATTTATTTTATAACTCTTAAGGTCACTCAAAATACTTCCTAAAATTGTTTTTACATCCTCCTAAAGGAAATGGAAGTGCAAAGTATTATACAATTAAAATTCAGATTTTGCTACACTTACCTGTCCAACCCATGATACGCGGGGCCATGGTTTTCTTTGCTTGATACACGTAGAGATGAGCACATCTAGCTTAATCTCCATTCTTACTAGACCTCTACGTAACCATAATCATTATTTGCACAGAACAGCAAACAGTGGCTTTTCCACGCATTTCTAGAGAAACTGAAGAAAGAAAGAAAAAAAAACCCAGAAGTTTTTGTTATCTGCAGGTAGGTGCAGAGGAGAGGAATTCAGACGGAAAGCTTCGACTATCTCTATCAGCTTCCTGTTAAACACAAAGAGAACTAACGCTTGCCCGTACTTCCAAACTGTATTTTCCTCCTAGCAGCTCAGGGGCGATGCGCTGCTCAGAAGGAGTCGAGAGAGAAAAGCCGCGAGTACATCGTGGAGAACTCCAAACATGCACGAGACGAGGAACACGTCCCGCAGCTTCGTCCGGCGGGAGACGGGAACTGCAGGGCAGGGGCGCTGGCCTGCCGCGGGGCCAGCCGCTCACCCCAGCGTGCGGAGCGAGGGGCGGCTCAGGCTTCCCCCGCTGCCGCCGGGTACCACCCGCGGCAACCCGCGCTGCCTCTGCCCGGCTCAGGGCGGAGACGGCCCCCGGCGCGCATTCCTCCCCGCGTACGGGCAGCGGGAGCAGCCACGCGGCCCGACAGCCGCCGGCCGGCCGCAGCTCCCGGCCCGCGCCCCGCCGCCGCCGCAGCTCCCGGCCGGCGCGGAGCGCAGCGCGCAGCCGCGGCCGCGCCCCGCCCCGCGGCTCCCGGTGTTCAGGGCGGCCCTTCCGGTGCGGCCCGCGGGGCCCGGCCCCGCTGCTGCGAGCGCCTGCGCCTCCGGAGATGCCAGCTCGGGTGGCAGTCTCGCTAGCCGCCCGGAAAGACGCGCCCATCCTGGACCGTATTCAAAGCAGAAGGATGATGGAGAGGGTTTTCTCTGCTTTGATGAGACCCCACCTGGAGCGCTGCATCCAGCTCAGGGGTTGCCAGCACGGGAAGGGCATTGGACCACTTGGAAAAAGGTCCAAAGGAGCACAGTGATAGTGATACAGGGACCTGACCTGTTCAGAACTACTTAAGGGTTAAATGACTGGAAAAGAATTAAGTGAAGAAAACATTATGTGCTATGTATATGCACCAGTATCCTGTTATTCTAAACATTAGCAAACAGATGTAGAAACTTTGTCCTTGGCTATGTACTTTACTCTGATAAGCTTCCTTTACTCTGATAAGCTTCCTGATTATATGTAAAGAATGCATACTCAGCAGATGGACTGTGGTCAGTTGAATAGGCCATATATCATGAAAGGAGGAAAAGATGGGGCCCAGAGCACAGAAAAACTACCACGCATGCTCGAAATAAAAGTTCAACTAGCGGACAGAGTGATGAAGACTATGGACGACCACCAGAGGACCCCTGACGACCACCGAAGACCACCCAAAAATGCAACTACGCTTGCGCATCCTTATCTCGGAATAATCATGAATATGTAAATAATTTTCAAGACTTGTAATGAATATGCATGTTTTAGTAAGATAAATCACAGCTTTCTCATCTGCACGGGGCACATGTTAGGAGGAGAGATCCCCCATGTGCCCAGCGCTGCAATAAAGAATATCTGCTGCCCGGATTGCTTCCGTCTTTGATTCAATAGAAGAGGAACACCGCTCTTATAAAGACAGGCTGAGAGAGCTGGGCTTGTTTAGCCTGGAGAAAGTTCTGTGGAAACCTCATTGACTCAAATTGGTCACATTGACTTAACGGTGGCTTATAAAATAAAATAAAATAAAATAAAATAATATAATATAAAATAAAATAAAATAAAATAAAATAAAATAAAATGGGACTTTTTGCAAGGGTGTGTAGGACAAAGAGGAATAGGTTTAAACTAAAAGAGAAAATATTTAGAGCTGAAAGATGTTAGAAAAAAATTTTCAGAGGGTGGAAAGGGCACTGGCACAGGTCGCCTAGAGGAATTGAGGATGCCCCATCCCTGCTAACACTGCAGGCCAGGTTGAATGGGGCTCTGTACAGCTTGGTCTAACTGAAGGTGTCCTGCATATGGCAGAGGGGTTGAACTATTTGATTTCTAACGTCCGTTCAAACTCGGACCATTTGAGCATTCTGTGAAGTCTATCTTAAGAATTGACTATGGAGACTTGATGATCAACAGGACTCTCTCAGTGGGGAAAGCCAGACACTATGGACTGCCTGTGGCAACAGCCCACAGGGAACAGGGCACATGGCTGTGGCTCCATGGGGGAAAATTAGCATCATCATCAGTATTTGGGGATGAGGGGCATGAGTAACAGCAGGAGACATAGCTGTAAGAGATCAGCGTTCTCTATACAATACAGGAATTACTGGAATTTAGGTTGTCCTGGTTTCTGTTGAGATAAAGGTAACTTTCTTCCAAGTAGCTGGTACAGTGCTATGTTTTTGATTTAGCAGAACAATTTTCAGCTGTTGGACCATAGTACTTCATATAAAGGAGTTTTCAATGTCCTGTGCTCTGCCACTGAGCAGGTACACAAAAAGACAGAACAGAGCACAGCCAGGAGGGCTGAACTGGCCAAGGGGGATTCTCCACACTGTGGAACATCATGCTCAGTATATAAGCCAAGGGAGTTGGGCAGGAGGAACTCATCATTGCTCAGGGACAGGTTGGGTACCAGTCAATCCATGATGAGCAATTGCATTATGCCTTATTTGTGTTTCTTGGTTTTATTCCTCTTTTTGTTACCTCCCTTTTTGTTACTATTACTCTACCTTTTCCTCAATTATTAAATGTTTATGTCAACCTATGGATTTTACATTTTTTCCAATTCCCCCTATCCTATGGAAGGGGGTGTGGGAGTGTGAGGGGATTAAACCATGCTAGAGGGGATTAAACCATGACAAGGTGAAATACGAGTAGGGTAAACTGTCACTACATTTCATCATCTTGAAGAAATACCCTCGATTCACTTAAAACAGCTATTCTTTGAAACTCACCCTTGTTCCGACCTTCTGCCACCTTTCCATAATCACAGCCTTGATTGAAAGTTACAGAAGAAAAAAATAGAAGTACAGATACATTGATAATATTATTAATGAGCACTGTTTCACATTCATGTTGGTCTGTTAATTGCCTGTGATTATCATCCTTCATTTCATCTGCTGCATTAACCCACCCTTCTCCCCTCTGATTCTATTTTTCCACATACCTCCAAATTCAAATTAGGAAACAGAACCTATCATTTCTCCATCTGAGAATAGAGTAAGTGTTATGAAAACAAAAGCTTATGTGTATACTGGAATTACCTGCTGTCATCTGAAAAGTATCAGAGGTAACTTGTGAGACACTTTGAAATACTACTACTTTAATAAATTTGCAGTATTTCCAGAGGAATCCTTATTCCATTAACTGGAGAAAAAAACAGAAGAGCTAAACTTCAAGTCTGTGATTTGTGTCTGTTCCAAACTTCTCAGTTATTTCTCCAAATCTGAAAATAGAAATCTGTTTAGTAATCACAGATTACAGAATGTGGCTGAACACAAGATATTTTTCTGTAAATATTAAAATTCAGTTAAATATATCAGGCAAGACTTTGGACATTATTTGTGTGAAGAGAACTGCACTAACAAAACCAGAGTAAATGCATGACATCCTTAGTATGAAACAGCTTAACAGAAGATAACTTCTAATAGTTAAAGATGGTTTATTTTACATGGAAAGAAGCCAGTATTTTTCCCAGGACACACAGGACTACTTCTATTTAAATACTTTCTATGTTTATAACACCAACAAAGAAGAAAAGTTAATTCTAGTATTTCACCTCCTTTTTCATCTAATAAAGTAGAAGAGTTGTATTTTGATTTTTACATTACATCAACAAGTACATTTGCTGGCTTAAAATGTATTTGGTAGTTGAGAAGGAAAGAAATTTAAGAAAAATTTTAGAGCAAGCATTATTTCCTAATAAAGGTGCTGTAGAGCAATCAGCATATGAGAAAAAGCAGGATTGATGCCCTCATTCTCCAACACTTTTCATTCCCACTGTCTGGACAAAGACCCTTTGATGGGGGTCCCATGTCCTTGAGAGGCAGCAGGAGCAGTGGAAGCATGCTGGGCCTATAACCTAGAGGCTGATGAATTAAAACCCTATTCTAATGTATTTTTTTGTCTTCCATACAGTACAAGACCCAGCAATCCCCAGGAGTAAGAAACTGGGCAAGGGAGGCTATGGACCAGCATGGCAGATTAGGGAACTGCTGGTCAGACTAAACGGAAAGAAGTAAATGCAGAGATAATGGAAACTAGGACAGGGAACCCGAGAAGAGTATAGAGAAAGACTGGTTATGTAGGGATGATGTGGAGAAGGCAAATAAGCTGGAACTGAACCTGGCAAGGGGCATAAGGAATAACAGGAAGGGCTTCTACAGGTTTGTGAAGTAGAAAATGAAGATCAGAGAAGGTTTAATGCCCCTGATAAACAGTAATGGAAGACTCTTTTAAACAGATGAAGGCTGAGGTACTCAACATTTTTTCCTCAGTGTTCAATGGAAACCTCTCTACCCACACATCTTGAGATGATGGACAGCAGAATGGCAAGTGGGGGAGCAAAGTGATTCCCACTGCAAGGAAAGATCAGGTTCATGATGACCTAAGGAACCTGATTTTACATTAAGTCTATAGAACCTGTTAAGATGCATCCTAGAGTCCTGAGGGCATTGTCTGCTACAGTTTCCAAGCCATTCTCCATGATAACTGAAAAGTCACGGCAGTCAGGTGAAGTCTCAGGTGACTGAGAAAATATATACATCTTTAGAAAAAGAAGAAAGAACAACGCTGGGAACTATTAACTGTCAACCTCCCCTCTATGACTGGGAAGTTCATGGAACAGGTTCTCCTAGAAACTGTGCTGAGGCACCTGGAGGACAGAGGCGACTCGGGACAAGCAGTGCGGATTCACCAAGGGTAAGTCACGCCTGATCAACCTGGTAACCTTCATGATTGAGTGACTCCAACAGTAGACAACTGAAGGGCTACAGATGGTATTTGTCTGGACTTCAGTAAAGCCTTTCAGATGGTCTTCCACGCATCTGTGTGAGGTGTGGGTGAGAAGCTGGACATGCCCTGGCCATGGCACTTGCAGCCCACAGATCCAAATGTGTCCTGGGCTGCATCCAGAGCCTCACGGCAGCAGGGGAGGGAGGGGATTCTATATCTGTATACAATTTGGTGTTTGTGTGCATGTAATAAAAATAGACAGAAGTCACTTTTTGACTTCTTTATTTGATTTTAACAGATACAACATATTAAGATAGAATAGGGGAAATTATGGCTTTTCCCCATTATTTAAAACAAAGAAAAAGAAAATATTTTTGAAATATTATTTATCCCCATGGCAAAGGTCACACAATGTATTATTTTATTTCAACAGTACAAAAAAAAGCTTTCTATTGTTAAAAAACCTAGTAGTAATAAAAGCAAAAGTAAAAGAAACTCCATTTGTCACATTTACATTCTACAGTTTGTAGATACTTTTAAAATAGCATGAATACAGGCCACACATTTGATAACTATGGCAGGAGAAAACTCTCAGGATTTTTTTCTGAGGATTTGTTCGTTCGTAATTCAGTGCCAACATCGGAACCTTTATTTCAGTTAGCATGACCTGCACTAATGATTCTGTTCTTGTATTAGTCAATCAGTGAAGCCGTTCTAACTTGGCCTGCAGAGATTTAAAATTCCCAATAGTAGTCTGCACCATTAGGGTGGGGCTCATAGACTGAAGTTCAACTAGGTAGCAACTAACAGCATCCAAGCAAACATTTGTGAATCGTCGCCTGCAAAGAAAACACAGAATAACAATGAGCTCCTTTTTAATCCCGTATCTCAGAATTCATCTGAACTAGAACATGAGCATTCTTTGAATTGCAATGGAATAGCATATCAGTAAGACATCTGTCAACTACTTTAAAGTATTTAACTATTCATTAAGAGAAATTTATTTTTAAAATCTAATGCCTGTGACTAAGGCAGAATGGGAAATAAATGACCCATTACTATTTATGTGGTATTAAATATATACTATAAAAGCATGGTACAGTTTATAGCAATGTGAAATATTTAGGCTAATACTTTAGATTATGTATAAGTTATTAATTTAGATAGCAGTTTAAATGTCTTATATTATAATCAAATCTCAATTTATGTATTGTCAAAGTAGGTATTAAAATCAGATATACAGTAAAGTTCTAATAGAGTATTAAATCAGCCAACCATAAAAGACCAATTAAATGATAAGATAGAAGTAAACGATATGTGAACCAGGGATATTTATATGTATATTTTTCAAAAGAATCGGAAATGTCTATGTTTAGAAAACTTATCAAGACCTCACCTAGTTCTGCTTTTTGTTTCTGAGACAAGATAGCTCTGACTGAAGTTCACTTAGACTGTTTAAATAAAAATTGTCAAAACTAGAGGTGATACATAGGCAATGTCTTCAAGTACTTAGCTAAACTTCTACTATTACACCTAAATTTCTTCTGATGTGAACTAAGCCGAATTTTAATCTTGGAGACTGATTCATCATCAACCTTTTATAAACAATTGGGGAAGATCCATCCCAATGTTTGGTCATCTCTTTTGTAGATTAACTCAGAGCTTCTAGAATTTGTACATGAAACAGTTCACTGTTTCAATCACAAAATGCCAAATTTGTGTTTCCCCCCACTTTCACACATTGCATCAGATTTGTCTGAACTAGTCCTTAAATATATCACCAAAAATTACAAAATAATCCTCTCAGTTCTTAAAGTATCTCCAGTGAAGAAAATTGCCTTTGTGGAAGTAGTTTACAAGTTCCACAAGTTTCTACCAAATACTTTTGAATGACAAGTTTTAGGAATAAAATATTGAATTCACCCAAAAGAAAAGAAGAAAAGCTTTGGGAATTGCTGGAGTGAAGTACTTTAATTTTATGTCTCACTCTCCATTAGGATATAGCTATCCTTTTACCTCATAGGTACTCTGCTTGGATCCTGTACATATCCTGACAGTAATACGTGAATACACTCTAAGAGGTGCAAAGGCTTTTTCATTCGACTCCAATATGGATCCTAAAAAAAAACCCCAAAAAACCACACAATATTAAGGATACAAATATTAAGACAAAAAAAAAAAAAAAAAACCAGTGTGTCATGTGTATAGGAATTGCCAGCTGTGCAATTTTTTTTTATTTACTGTATCAAGTTAGATAAATGGGAATTCTACATTAACCTATATTTAAGCCTACATTTAAATACTTTTTAAATTATATTTGAAAATATACACTATATGTTAAAATAAAATATACCTTATATATGAAAAGAAATTAATTTAACTCAGTTTTTCGTTACCACACAAGTCAAATCTCTTTGCTTATTGCATCAATGGGTCAGACAAGATGTAGTAATACAATAAATTTTAATCATTATTAGGAAACAAATAAAATTCATATACTCAATATATGCTGTTCCTTCTGCAACATAGGGAATTCTAATTATTTCATGTTAAACTAGCTCCAGGTGAATTAAAAGAATTAACAAATTACCTCATCATGGTCTGGTACTGAAATGAATAAAGTCCACAGATTTTATTCACAAAGAGAAAATGCAGGTTTTTAAAAGTCTTTGAGTAAAGAAAGCAAAGCTTTGAATGTATATTTCATTATATCCTTCCTTGTATTATTTCATGTTTCCCACTAAAGAGACACCTTGATAACAGCTGAATACATAATTTTTATTTTGTGCAATTTTCCTTACCCGTGCTTTGAACAGCTGGTCATACACTTCAAGCAGTCTTGGCAATGGCACTCCAATTTCTTGCATGGTGTATGTTACAAAACCTACATCCCAGTTCAAAGTGCAGACTTGTTGCTCTAGAAACTGCACTAGAAAATCTGGAGAACATAAACAAGGGAATATTTAGATTCCAACTTTTTACTGGGAGTCCTGTTAAACTAAGGTATTTAAGAGTAATTTCCTATCAGCAGTACATGGTAGGAATTACTCATACTTAGTACTTTGTTACCATTTTGCCTTGCAACTTTGCTGTTAAGAAAAATTTATTAACTCTTGTTTCTACACCAAACACATACTATGACTACATTTGCTAGAATGGCCAGAAAAACTACTGAAGCTTGTTTAAGTGCCTGTAATGATTAACAGCATGTTGGTCAGCACTAAATGTTCATATTAAATATAAGTTGCACATTATTTTAGTAGTATAAAAGAAGATTTACTCCTGAACAATGTATTTGCCAAGTTGTTATATAATAGCCCATTGTCAAAACATAAGAGCATCAGAAAACCAGAACTTCTAAAAACTATCCAGAAATCTCCTGAATTGTTTCAGAATCTACCCCTTCAGATGGCAGATTGTTTATATGGAATTTCAAGAAACAGTAAATAAATGTGCTTGCTTGTAATCTTAAATGTGCAAATACACATTTTGTACATTGTGCTTTGATGCAAACAAGCTTTACCACTTTCTAAAACGGGATCTGCACAGCCATCCAGAAGTAAATTAACTTTAGGTGGCAGTAGCAGTTATTTCTCATTTCTTTTGAGATTAAAAAACAATAAACATTTCTTAGTTTAAAACATTTTTTAATAGTCTAAAAAAAAAAAAGCTGAAACCCATTGATCAAACACATATGCTTATTTACCATGCAGGCTAATAACTTGCCTAAAGGAAAGTAGCGAGGTGTGCCAGCATAGATCTTTCCAAGCAATGCCAGCTTCAGGCAAAGCGCTTGCATTCTGTCAGCAGGACTCAGAGATACACCATCGCTCAACTCTGTAAATGAAAAGAAAACACTTAGAAAGAACTTCAGAAAAAGTTCCACATTTATGCAATGCAGAATGACACTGAGGCACCTAAATTTGTAAGTACATTAAAATCTTACTCTCTTGTCAACAAAAAATCAGCACATGGAAGTAAAAATACATTTCCTGGTGTGTTTGTATGTACATTTTTAAGTTTTTATGCTTCTGTAAAGTTCCATGCAAACTTACTTTAAAAACCTCAAAAAAAACAAAACCACATTCCAGAGCCCCACAACAAATCCACTATCACTCAACTTTGCCCTGAGATATCTATCAATGTGGTTAGCATAATGGTAAACTTGAGCCCAAAATCCAAGGGGGAAAAAAAACTTGAACAATCAAAAACAATAGGAACAGACAGTGAATTACTAAGGTAATATTTGGAACAATAAAAATTAGTCTGTCAAAATTCTTATTATTCAGAACAATAAAAGTGACAGATTCAATAAAAGCAGGTAAAGGATGAGAGATCATCACAACACCTACTCCATTAAGACCTACCTTTTTCAATGACTTCTTGCCAGAGAGTTTGCACCAAGATAGGATCAGAATGACCTGCACAATGTATAATTGCAAGCTTACATTCCGAGAGCTTAAAAGGATCAGCAAATTCTCCATACAGCTGAAAGAAAAATTACCAAGCTTTACCTTTCATGTAGGATCAAATTAAATTTTCAAAATCAGTTGTTCCTTATTTTGTCTGATAGACAGCCTAGTAAATATACAAATTAAATAACTGTTGTTAATCACTAAATATTTTTGCTACATTTAGTTTAATTTCTTAGATACAACACTAAATTTTATATGAATTTGAAATTAAAACCTAATTTTCCAATGAATTTTTCAATGAATGAAGAAATCTAAGAGACTTCATAATGAAGATAAACATGTGAAAGAAATTAAAATACTAAAGACTGAAAGACTGTTAAAAGTACAGAAAATAACAGTCCAGGCTAACAGATATTCTGAGACCAGGAATAATAAACTGCCTATTACTCTTCCTAGTAATCATTCATTGCAAAATATTTTTTTCTCCCCAAGATTTGATAAACTGTCCTTTAACAAAAGGAAATTTCAATCACCTTGGTTATATCCATAAGCTCAGCATCAAGCTGGGAGATTGCATCTTGTACCGAAGAATGATGAGAATACTGCCGCTGTAATGTTTCTTGTATTTGAAGCTGGATCCTTGCAACCTTGTTTAAGAGGAAAATACAGTATTTAAAAATTTAATTAACCTAATCATAGTTTAAAAACACACCCAGAATTACTTTTAAATGTAGAAATATTGCTGCTTATTTAAGAGCAGAAATGTTGCTGCCTTACACCATTAAATCGATTTTCATCTGCCTAACTTTGCCATGTCAGGACAAAAGCAAAGAAATCCATTTACACAGAACTGGTAGTAAAACTGTTACATGCCAATGAGAAAAATTGAAATAATGCATTTACAGTGTAGCTTAGATTAATATTTTTTCTTACTTCCATTTTCTCTTCTAGTTCATGTAGGAATTCACCATCTGCAGCTAAAGAGGATATGGCAGTGGAACTTTTGGCACTCAAAATGGCACGTGCAATGTATTCAAGACGCTGCTGAAGAGAGATTTCTGTGCTGCAAAACAAATATTCATAATAAAATGAGTACTTAATATAATTATTTGAGGGTTAATTATATTCTAGCTTGTCTCTGGGATGTAAGATGTGCTTTTCCCAGATATTACTAAATCATGCATGACACAATCCAACCATGCAACCCCATCTTTGCTGCAAGTTCAGTTCTAGTGTACTTCCCAATAAGAACTGGCCACTTAATAAATTGTAATTGTAGGAAATACATTGCAAAGTAATGTATAATACAAAAATAAACATTATCAATTATTTCCAATAATTGTCTAGATTTAAAGCTAACACATTCTATTTTGTTTTGGTTTTTTTTAAGAAAACCTCCTTTTTAAAAAATTCTTATACAAAAGGTTTTAATTTTGGTTTTTTCAATTTTTCCCTAGCTACCTCAATATATATACAATAGAATATACAAGGGAGTATTAGATCACACATAATTCATACCTATGGAGGTCAGCTAACTTAGCCAAGACTCTGGCAGCATTACTAAAATTTCTATTTTTTTCGAAGTATCTCCACAGTAAATCCATATAGCGGACTTTGTTCTGGTCAATCTTGGTCATCCGCACTAGGTAGGGCTCCAAAAAGGGGGCAGTAACCTGCAGATGCCAGAAAGGTAACAGTTATACTCTTGCTCTTCCCTGTTTTTTAAAGCATTATTATAGTAACCTCTCCCAGTTTGTTCTGTATAGACAAGCTCACCTGTAACAGTTTGTCCGCCAAGTCAGCTTGTATCAACCAGTTGTAAAGTGCAATGCTGAAGAGCTCGTCTGTTGAACGCTGGGCCAGCTTTAGCATTTGTTCAAACTAAGGGAAGAAATGGCCAGAACTGCTATTAAAGAAGTGGTCACATTACTTTAAGCCCTGAATCACCATGCAACAATACTTAGGTGCACATTTACATGTCATAATTTCTATGGATCCTCTAGATATTGAGGCCAATTCATGGTTGATCTTCACTTCACTAAATTACTCCGTCATTTTATTGAAATAATAAATTCTAGACCCCTTCAAATCACACTGTTCTCTGGAGTGCCCTCACGACTTTTTTGGGCGTTTCTTACATGATGTCCAGCTTCTTCATTGCTTAACATGTTGGGGTCAGATGACAGCACTGGAGGACCTGGCTTTTTGGGTACACTAGGAGACTGAGGAGCAGCTTTACTTTGATTCACTAATTCTTGAAGGGTGTCAGTGATACACTTGTAGCTGTTCAATCTGTAAACGGAGAAAAAAAAAAAAAAGCCTCATAAGATTTAAAAAGGTCACAGATTATTGTCAGCTGGTTGTCACAATCTAGTTTGCTCTTGTTCATCTTTTTAAGAAATATTTTTGTAGTGTTCTGATCCCAATGTTTTCTGCATGTATCACTCCTTGCTTCAGATTAAGTTGCTACCATAAAAATCATGATCAAAGGGAGCATGCTGGGCATATTTATATTGTGTCCCTTATAAAATGCTTGTTTATTATTACCCAGCATTCCTTCCCTAAAAGAGCTACTTTCCCAGTCACTTGAAATAAAGCACCCCATATAATCATCATAAATTATCCTGAAAACCTGCCTTTCTTGAAAAGCTTGGAGTCCAACAACATCTTCTTCTGGTTCTCCATTTTTATAGAAATGAAGGCCAAGACCTTGGGGATCTTTCTTTTCAGCAGCTGTAAGAGAGAGCTCTACTACTCCCTCATAGAAACGCACTAGGAAAAATCAAAACAAATATCACTGTTCATTATTGTATTAAATGCACAGCAAAACAGTAAATGACATCAAACATTTCTTCTTTTAACAAGCAAGAAAATATGACACTATGCACTCTGGTCTGTATAATTTAAAGTCTACACCTGTTCCTACCCTGTGGCATTTATATGCAAGTTTGAAATTAAGACACTAAGTTATGTATAATGTCATACACAATATATAACACTGTACAGAGGCCCATTTCTTAACTGTTACATAATTCAGATAACTGATAACTATCTTCTACTGCACTAAAGAGGATTCAGAGCCATCTTTCAAACAGCGTATTTCATATAAAATGTACCTGAAACCCTCTGCTTACACAGAACCAAAACATTTCCCTAAAAATATTTTAACCACATATATGAAACAAATGGACACTGCAATATGAAGTAAATGCACGGGACTATTTTATAGAAATGGATTTCTTGGTTGGTCTGTGAAATTTAGCAAGGCTTTAAAAAAGAAAAGGTTGCCACATTTTAATTTTAAGAGTTATTAACCGTTTATGGTAAAAAACTGTAAAACTGAGTTGAAAGTTAGTAAACAAAACAAACAGAAAAGAGGGCATGAAAGGATAACACAAAATTATTCAGCATGATCACTGACTGACTCTTACCCTGTCTGTACTGTGCACAAACATTAGCAAGGTCTACTTGATTGCTGATCTTCTGGTACTCTTTCAGTGACTCCCTCAGCATCTTCTCTTTTTCCATTTTGCTTTGAGCTTGTCGAGACCGCTGAAGAAGTTCATTTGCCTAAGAACAAATGCAAAATGGGAATTATGAACATGAGCACATCATGAACAGATCATGGACACTGTTAATGAGCAATTATTCGAAACTTCAAAGCTGAAACAGCAGAAATCGTCCTCCCAAAAGCAGTCTCTGGTCACTAAGTTTCCAGCAGAAAGGCTACAATAGCATTAGAAGAGCTAAAGACTTAACCAACTGGTTTCCTACTCTCTCCTTACTGTATACTTGTTTCAAATTAATCTGAAAAGCTTCAAAGACCTAAGTTCTTCAACACAATTGCCTGCCACAAATTTCAGTAGATTGTGGAACGGACAAAAAACCAAGATACTATGCTGAGGAAGACTAGAATAAGAAAACATTTTATCATAAAGAAGACACAGTTAAGATTAGAGATCACATAAGAGTTAAGAGACTATGAAAATAACTGCAAATGCTTCAAATAATTTTTGTGGAATGTTACACATTAATCAATTAAAAGATTAAAATATGTCCACAATTTGACTTAATTATTTCTTCTGCTTCTGAAACTACATAAACATAATAAGGACTTACAAGGTGCCCAATGTACCTAATTTGTGCATGTTCTCAAGTTGTGTTTTGGTGCTGTAAAATCTGGAAGTGCACTTACCTTTGAACATACAGCATCATCGGTGCTATAAAGAAGAGGACAGATATCTTGCAAATGGGCAATGATTCCATCCACAGCCGCATTATCTCTGATGTAACAGTTTATAAGAGAGGCAATGAGTGCTCCAGTCAACTCTCTATCTCTAATCACCAAGTCTTTAAAAGCGGTAATCTTTAGCTGTTCTTGAAGCTCCTGAAGATGAGACAGAATTCTATTAGTTTACCAAATCTTTTATTTGACCCTATTTAGAAATGTCTGAATGTTCCAGCAGCATAATTAACTATTTCTAATAATTAGAAACATACAAAACTCCAATGACTACAAGGTACAGCATAGAAATACATTATTTAAAATACACATTTTATAGCAAAATAACAATAAAGCAGGGGCTACCACTGAAGGCACTAGGTCCCTGGATGCCTAAGAACAGTGAAAACTTATTAACAGACTTCCTCTGCCATCTTCCCTATGTGTCCCTCTGTTTCAGATCTCTGACAGTAAGAATGGAATTAGCAATTCCTTTTACTTCAGGGGACACTGTCAGAATGCACACCCTATGAGTCTGTCAAAGTTCTTAATCTTCGGAACCATAAAAATGACAGATTCAATAATAGCAGGAATTTAGAAAGTTTGAGGTCTGAAGTCTTTATGCTTTTTAAGTTTAAAATACATTGAAGGTTTCCTAATCTTTTAACATTTATTACGAATATTTGTGTACATAGCTATAGCTGCCAGTAGGGTCTAGGTGGTGTCTACAGATGATACTAACAGCATGTAATGCAATTACAAAAACTCTAAATCTACTGAAGACAAGCATTTAACTTGTTAAACAGTTAGTTAGCTCCTTGTCCAACACAAATAAAAGTTGCTCAAAACTCCCCAATGCAGCACCATGAAGAGCAACAGCTTATGCACCTCTATACAGTTTTAAAATTTTTCTTTTTGTGAACAAAAAATATAACTTCTCAAATAATCCCATAAAGTTTTAGGACAAAATGCCTAGCATCCAAATTAATAGCTTTTTTCAATAGTTAGCTGCAAATCTGACATTAGCAAAGGGTGCTCAGCAGTAGCACCCATTGTTCTACAAATTTCCTTCTTCACAAACCAGGAGCCTGAAAGAACTGGGATCATTTAGCATGGAGGCTTAGAAGGCGGTATGTGGGATCTTACTAATATTTTTGAGTGTGTAAAGAATGCAGAGTCAGTTTTTTCCCAGCAGTAACCAGTAACAAGACATCGCACAATGGTAAAAAATGGAATCGAAGGAAATTACACTTGAATATAAATCTTTCTTGCCCTAGAGGTGGTTCAACACCAGAACAGGTTGCTCAGAGACACTGTGTAGTTTTCATCTTTATAGATATCCTTACTGGACACAGTCCTGAGCAATCTGCTCTAGCTGCCCCTGCTTTGAGAGTCAGATGATTCCCCCCACTGCAAAGGGTACAGATGGTGTCCCCAGTGGTTCCTTCCAACCTCAGCTTTTCTGTGGTACATTCTGCTACCCTACTTAGACAGAAGAGCAAGGACTCTATTATCCTATTGTTCTCCATCTTTCACCAAGACTAAGGCAAAGAGTGAATTCAACTTGCCTGGAAAATGCTTTTCAGAACATTTTGCAGATTGTGCTTCAGGTAAAAAACCAGTCATTTATAAAATGAGACTTGGTATTAACTATCAATAAAAGTAGAACAATTTACTGTTAGTCACACTTTCAATTGCAAAAAATTAAGTGATTATGTCAATACTACGCGTCAGTCTCAAACATTTGTGACTACACATAAAAAATTTTTTATGTGGTTTAAAATTCATTATGTTTCTCAATTAATTTAAATAATAGTCCTTTGGGAATCCTTAGGTAGCAAAAGAAATTCAGGTGATCAGTACAAACTAATTAAAATTGTATTATCCAGATCTTACCTTTTGAAGCTCACCTACAGCAACACTGAATTGGTGCTCACATAGCAACTTCCATAAAGCCAATGCCTGGCAGGTTTTGCGAACAAGCTGCTGGATGCCTTGAAGTGAGGTCTTCTCAGTTAGCTGTGCCTCAGCTGAAAAACCAGAGACTGTCAGCAATTGTTACATGTTTCAAATAAGCCTGTAAGTTTTTGATGTTTTTCAGTAACCATATCCTTAAATTTCTATTTTTTTCTGTCTTGCATTGTTGATTAATGCTGCCTAGCTCTCTTGGGAGATAAATGCCATGTTAACACTGCCCCAAAACAAATAACCCTCTGTTAACATTTATTTCAAACTATGCAACAAAGGAATCATACTCTCTGAAAAACAAGTAAATGCACTAGATTTAGACATCTTAAATTTTTACCTTTTTTTTTTTCAAAAATAGCTATTGTAATTGTATTTCTGATAACATAAAAGAAATCAAATTAAACCCATACATATTCCCTTGTTTGATCACCTGCATTTACTTGTAGAGAGAATTAGAATTACAGCTGTAGTCAATACTGTCTACACTACCTTGAAAGCAACTACTCCAAAAACTACATTTAAATCTGATAAGATATATTATATAAACTGAACTTATAATGTTTTTGTAGTTATAACATAGACAGAACATAATTGCAACAATTTATGTGTATACTTTTAAGGTTTACACTTCACAAATTAGGTTAACAATAATTACATTGTGTCATTCAGCAATCCAAAAGGATTGGTGAACTCAGTGAAGAATACAAAAAAAAAAATTAAAGGTCTACCAAATCCCACACTGTGACTTAAAGAAAATTTTTACATTTTAAAAATTTTTAAACTTTTTTACATATTAAAAGCCCAGGATTACACCCACATGGACCACAAACATTCTCAATTCCATATATGCAGAAGCAATACTTCCCAACTTCCCTGCAAGTGCTGAGCAAGAGTTGCACTGTTAGAGGACAAAAACTCGAATGGGCTGTGTAAAACAGACCTCATATTTCAAACAAGTTTTGTACACATTTCAATGACTGTACCATTGGAAACCTGCACTACGGTAGACTTTTTCTAGGATATCCTGCTCACTCATGTCATAAAATAACTACTTCATAAATCCTCTCTTATAAATACAAATGGTTGTGCAGCTACTAAGTACAGTAGTGAGAAGATAAAAAAATATTCTCTGCAATGGAGAACATTAGAAAGGAAAAAAGGAGAGAGGTATATGTGCAAAAAATGGCATGATATTTAACATAAAATTTGTGTGGAAAAAAGGCCTTTTTATTCACATGATGTCACAAGAAAAGTGAGAAAGGCAACATCCAAATGCACCATTCCTTGATACTTCCTGCTCAAAACCAATTACATACCATGATATTTCCTTTGGAGTTCTTGCTGGACTTGCTGAGAACTTCCACCATCAGGCCGCATAAAACCCAGGAGCCTCTGCTGTAGATTGGCTGGGGTGCTGAAACTGCAATTAAAAAAAAACCAACAAAAAACACTAATATGATTACAAATACCAAACCCCTTAAAGATGAATCTAACAAACTCATTTTTAGCATCTGAATGTTGAAGCTGAAGACCATACAAACGCTTCAACTTAGCAAAACACCTATGGGTATTTTTTCAAAAGTTGGACATTAAATAGCACATGTAAATTTACCACAATTAATAATACCTTGGGTTTCCAAGTGCTCCTACTGTAGTAAACTGTGAATTTCTATCCAAAAATTCTTGTAAACCTTTCAGTTCTTGTAGCACACATTCCAGCATACGGGCTGGAACACTGCTTTCTATCTGCAAAAGAAAACAAACTTCTTTACACAAAGTTGCATTTTCACACTTCTTTTTCCAAAAACCTTCAATTAAGCTAAGGTCACTGAAAAGACAAATAAGAGGATACAACAAATAATGTATTAGTAACAGATCACTAGAACACAACCTCATTATACCACATTCATTGAGACAGTACACATGTGAAGAGGCAGGAATCTTCTGAAGATACACAGTACTCAAGATGCTATTTTCTTTGTTCCTCAGATAACTAAATCAGCTATGCTTTACTACTTTCAACTCTAAGCTAGAACAAGGATTAAGCACTGAATTCTATTAACAGCCAAAGCCAGAAAAGATTTTACTTTCATTAAGGACAAAAAATGAAACAGCACGATGCTAGTTAGGCAAATGATGATTTTTTTTTCCAAATCACTACATCATTTAATTTTTAGGGTTTATCTTGAAGGAGTATGCAGAAACCCTAAGTGGGTATCAAGAAAGTGACGTCAATAAACATGGTGAAAACTGCCCATTGGCAATTAAGAGAGAATAAATTAGTTTGAGATCAAATTAGTTCAGTTTCTTAGAAAATACCATTTAAAGTAACAGCTTTAAAATACAACTAATTATCAGCTAAGAGCTCAGCAGTTAAGAATACAATGACATGGCAAACAATGGGTTTTGTACCAAATGGTTTATAACTAAGAATGGAAGTTTAAAAGGACTTAAATACTAAAGAACACAGAATAATATTTTACATACTGCAACAATTTCTCGATTGCCACTTTTGAAAACTCTCTCCACGACTATACTGCCATCCCAAATATTTCTGCAAAACAAAAAAATGTCAAGTGATTTAACCAAGTATTTTTGTAAGTCTTCTATGTATAATTTCTTGAAAAAGAAATGGTAAAACTTTAAAGCTATAAATCTAAAATAAGGAATAATTTTGGATGAAAACAAAATATTAAAAATACTATTATATAATTATGAATAGTGCAGTTATAAATAATTAGCCAAATTCCAGATCTAAAAACTTACATTAATTTGACACTTTCAAATATTATAGATTAATAAAATTCCCTGGAAATACAGTGTAAACAAACAAGTCTCATACAAAAATTTCCCAGTCAGCATGGAGAGAGATCACCAATACATGCAGAATTCTGTTCTAGCTTGGGTTGTTTAGGGCTCAACATCCAAGGTAACAGAATCTTTAGTCCTGCTTCATTGCTATGACTTGCGCATTCTGATTAAACATTCTTCATAGAAATTAAAGATAGGACTTTGATCTTTTAAGTCCTTCTGCATTTCTGTTTTGTCTTTCAGTAGGAGTTTAAAACATACAAGTCTAAAGTTTGAAAACTAAACCTGGAGATTTCACAGCTCTGTTTGCACACTTGATTGCAGCTCAGTATTTAAGCAACTTTCCTGCCCTAGGCATTCACTGAATGTACTATTATTAAAAGAGATGAAAACACAACATATTATATAGTCAGGTATGAACTAAATAAACACAACATTAAAATTTACTAATTTCCAATTTAAATACTATTACTACAGAGTGCACCACCTACAAGCATTACTGCACAGAAAAACTATGAAACAAATTGAGTGACAGAATCTCTTTTTACAAAGACCTCACCCTATAATCCGGGCAAAGTATATGCAGATGCCATTGTGTCTTCCAGAAAACACTATCTCGGGACCCATCATTCCACTAATGGATGTACCAGGGTGAGAGATGGAATTTCCAGGAGGAAAAATAGGAGTTGACATAGCAGGAGGTTGTAAACCTAGGGTAAAAATAGCTAAGTATTACTCATTTAAACGCCAATGAAAAAGCCTACTTAAAAAAAAAAAAAAAAAATGGAGAAGAAGGTGTTACCTTGCCCAGATGTCAAAATGCTAGGATTAGAATATGGACTATCAACAGTCAAAGGTGAACCTAAGAAGGGAAAGGAAATGAAGGTAAGGTTGTTGAACACAATCCAAAATTGCCCCCTCCCAAATCAACGCCAGAAAATATATGTACGAAAGCAGCTAAGTTGTTAAATCAAATATTTTAAATGTTTTGTTTATAGTTATGTACCAAATTGCACTCACTTCTTATCAACTAACACTCCACAAGTCAAATGAATGGATACACTTCCTTAAAGAGCAGGTGAAGCAGCATTCATATGTTAATTTATGGCACACTGTATGTTGTTTGCATTGGATATAATATTGCCCACATATTTTTTTTGCCGTTTATCACCTTCTAAATGCTGAACACTGGTAATATTACTTTCATTTTCACGTGGGGCAGATGTACAAATATTACATCAACACTGCTAACTCAAAATACTTTGAGACTTTCCACAGCCTCAAGTTCAGCTATGAATACTCCATCTCTTCCTGCAAATTAAGTCTGAATAGCTAACTTAGGACCTCAAAATATCAGGAGCATGTGTGGTCATCTACAAAAATGTCTACATACCATTAGCAAAAAAGGTGATGTATCACAGAAAAGGCAAGAAAAACTCACTCTGAAAATTTGACTTTTATCAAAGGATACAGTTTTGCCCGATTTGCTACAGTTCTCTGAACCTGGCAACACACAACAGCACAGAGGATACCACAGTGCCAATACATTCTCAAGAGCACATTGTCATGTGTGCTAAAGCAAAGCACAAACTCGCAGAAAAGCAGCATGCAAAATGCATGACTAGACTTTCAACAGTTGGAAAAAGATGGAAATAAGTGAAATGCACCTGGCCTTTTAATGCTAATATTATTGTTATGTAGTTTCTCATGCAAAATTATGAGGTGGTTGAATGAATTTCTGTCAGCAGTGTCTGACCCACCACATGGGACATCCACAATATCAGAATCTTAATTTCACATGACAGTTTCTCTACCCTTTGAGCAAACCGAGAAAGTAGTAGAAGAATGGTGCCATCTTCCACCTGGACCTGTTACTGAAGCAAAATGGAAACATCTGCTTTGATACTAGGTTTGAAAGGTAGTTATCAAAGAATGACAAAAATATGCAAACATTAAGACTTGGGAAAAATACATTTACTCCTAAAATGAGTCTCCTTGTTGACTACAGAGCTTCCTGCCATTTCCCCCACAACCTAATTTCACTCTTAGTCTGCTTCCGGCACCTGTTCTTCCCATAGCTGCTGCTCTCTCCAACTCAGATTTGATTTTGCATTCTTATGCTTTGCCTCAGCTCTTGCTCACTGTTCCACACCAAAAAGGTTGGAAAGTGATGCCGTAAAAGCAACCACTCCTCTTAAGAGTTTTAATAGTAGTTAAGAATTCTGAAAAACATGGTCAACTGTTTTTCCTAAATTTCATCCTAGCTCAACACATTTTTCTTCAATACTTAGGAATTTGGATACATGTCAAAATATAGTAATGAAATGGAATTTCTTTGAATTTCAGGCAAAAAAGTTTATTTCTCAAGTCTGTTGTGTAAAACTTAATGCCACATGTCAGATGAAGGAAGAGGATCTTATACATTAATTAATATAATTCAGTATTTCAAACTCATCATTGTGAATTTCTTTTTTAAAAACTCTTCCAATCTGAAATTGAGTGATACATCAACTGTATAAATTTAAGTGAATTTGAAAGTACATAAAGGCCTTCACTCCAAGAAGCATCAAGTTCTGGAGGAAGAAAAGTAACCACTTTTCTCCTTTTTAGGTGGCACTGAAGACTGAAACCAAATGCTGAAGACAGCTTTTAAAGAGAAATCACTCTGAATGACTAGCTAATTTCTTGATCAAATTTCTTCTTCCTTCTCATAAGCAGTATTTATAGAGGCATGACAATAACTATGTAGGAAGATACTGTTATAACTACACAGCAACCAAGTAAGTTTCTTGAAGTCTCAAATACATTATTGATAAGTTGTGAAGTGACTGAAATTACTCTGAAAGTATACCCTTCTCACAGTGTCTTAACAGAGTATATGCAATATAGACACATTACTTGAGACAACGACTCCCTCACTAAATCCAAAAACCACTCAAGAGAAATGGAAAAAGCTCTTGTCATTAACTAGCAAGTAAATGAAAAACACAGTCTATTTCAGAAAAAAAGAACACAAGCACTTGTGAGAAGACAAAACACAACAAATTCAAGGGAAAAAAAAAACTGTCCAGGACTATTAAATGCTTGCTACATACCTGCAGAAACAGGAGAACCCAAAATAGGTCCAACGTTGCTGGGAGGAGGCAGAGCTGATGGAAATCTCATTTGTGCTTCTCCACCATACCTAAAGTTTGCAAAACCAGAGATTGTTCCTTTTTCATGTGGTTCGCCTTTCATTTTTTTGTCTTTGAGATTTAATTGTATTTTTTTTCTTGTATTTGTGATCAGAATTTGTGGTTTTTTTTTTTTTTTTTTTTTTTTATTCCAGATTCTTTCGCATTTTTTCATTGTTTTTTTTTGTCTGGCCTTGTTTCGATGGGCATGTTTATTTGTGCCTTGGTTTTCTTTGACGCTTTTTTCCTTTTTATTGTTTTTTTGCGTATTGTCTTTCTTGCTGCATTTGGTCTGTTATGTTTTGTTGTCTTTCTCTTTGTCATGCGTCTTTTGTGTTTTTTTTTGTTTTAAATTTGAGTTTAATGCAGCTTTTTTCTTTTGTAGTTATTGGCTTCAGTTTCCTGTGTTTGACGCTTTTATTGTCTTTGTACGGTTTTATTATGTTTTTTTGTATGCAAGTGTTTAGTCTGCCCTTTTTTTTGTGGTTCTGGTTAGCCCTACCTTACTTAATACTGTTTTTTCTTCCTGTTTTGGCTTTCAGGTTTCTGCCGGTCTAAGTTTCTTCTCTCCTTCTGTTGTTGTATGAGGTCAAGTGCGATTTTTTGCACTTTGGTGTTGGCACGGTTTGCTGACTATTTTTTTTTTTGTGGGAGTGCTTTTTTTTTTTCCTTAGTTTGTTTTCTGGTTTAAGAGTTGGTCATATCCCACTTCCCTTGCGTTCTTTTCTCTCTACTTTATTTTTTTTCTTGTTTTGCTTGCTTGCTTGTTTTTTTTTTTCTCTTCTTCTTTTGTTTTTTTATGATTTTCCACCTGTGCACCCTCACTGCTTGTGCCTCTGGGTTTCTTTTTTTTGGTTGGTGTTTGTTTTGGTTTGCGTGTGTTCCCATGATGCCATGACTTCCTTTCGGGTGGTTCTGTATCTTTTTTTTGAGGACATATTGTGAGCTGGTGTTGTTTGGTTTGCATTTGTTTGGATTGTGATTCTTCTTTGTAGTCTGTTCCAGGAGTTTGGGGTTTTTTATGTATTTCATGGGAGTAGAACTTTTTTCAATTTTTGCTTGTTTTCGGACTGGGTTTGGTTATTTTAGGCTTTCAGTTCTCAGCGTTTTCGGTTGGGTATTGTTTCTGATTTCTTTTGTTTGTGGTAGCTGCTGGACGGTTGGATTTTGCCAGAGGTGTTGCTGTTCTTTTTTTCATTTAGGTTTTTGAGGTTAGGATTGATGGCTTCTTATTTGGTCTATTCTAGTGGGTGTTATCGCTTCCCTGTGGCGGTTGGTTGTCAGCAGATGGTCTTTCAGGTCTCTTTTTTTTTGGTAGTTTTTTTTCTGTTTGTGTTTATTGATTTGTTTATGTCGGGTAATTCAAGTGCCTGTTTTTATTGTTTTAAGGATATTTAGTATTTTGGCTTTTTGTGTTTGATTTTACTCCTTGGTATTGAAAGCCTATTCTTGTTCACTTCCTTTTTTCTGTTTTAAACTTTTCAAACTTTATCGCTTCAGTCATCGCTTTCGTTAGGATTCAGGCAGAATTCAGTCATAGTGTACCGCAGAGCCCAATTCCGAGACCCCTCTCCGCCTTTTGTCAAGCGTTATTAGGTGCTGACCTCGTTGTTTGTTCAATTTCTTTTACATTTGTTTTTTTCCTGTAGTGCTTGTGATGGTCATCTTTTTTCTTCTCTACGTATTTCAAGGTTCCCTTTTTCTTTTTCGAGTGGCTTGGGCAGTTCCTTTTCTCTTCTTTGCTGGTTTTGCATCTGGGGAGGTTGGTTGATTGGCCCTGGGTTGCTTGTTCTATGGTATATTCCAATTTTTTCGTGCTTTCTTATTTCTTTTCGGCAGTTTAGATGTCCTGTATTGTTCTGTAGCTTTCTTTGTAAGTTTTTTCTTTAGAATCCCTGGTCTTGAGGTTTTCCATTTTATTTATTAGTAGTGTACTTCAGCAAGTTTTTCTAGTGTGTTTGGTGAGTTTTTGTTTTTCAGTTTTTGTATTCTCTGTGTTTGTTTTGGTCGGAGTCACTTTCCATGCTTGCCGTTTAATTGTGCTTAAGATTTATAGATCTCTTTCCCTATCTTTTTATTTATTACATTTTTGTTTGGCGGAATAAGATTTTTGAATTTTTTTTTTTGTATTTTGTAGTTATGTGTTCTTCTCCTTTCTTTGTTCTTTTCACGTTGACGCTTGTCTGTTGCACTGCTCTGTCTCGACAGATTCTTTTGTCTGTTTGTCCTTTTAAGACTTTGTTTTCCTTTATCTTGGCTTCTGCTTTTTTTTTGTGTATTTGAAGCTGGTTCTGATTCTGAATGCCCTGACCAATTACAGACGTTTTTTCTTGCTTTCAAAATATGGAAATCCGTTTTAGTGGTTTGAATTCTATTTTTTTTGAATTTGTTGTTTTACTGTTCTCAGCTGACCTTTTTTCTTGCTTATTCATTGCTGTAGTCTTCTGTATATTAGTTACGTCCTTTTCTTGGCATGTTTTTGGTTTTTTTGTTTTTAGGTGTCTTCTAATGAGTGTTTATTTTTTTATAGGATGTCTTTGTTTTTCTTTGTGCTTCATTTTGCATTTATTTTGGTTGTTTATTTGGTCTTTGCCCCGTTGGTTTGAGCAGCTATGAGCAGTTTTCTTGTTTTGCATTTTTTCTGACACCTCGCACGCTTTTACCTGGTGTTTTTTTGGGTTTTTTTGCATCTCTTTTCCGTCTCCGTTTTTTTTGTTCATTAGCTTATTTCGCAGCTTTTCAGGAGGTCTGGGTTTATGCTGCTTATCACTTTCTTGATTTCTTGTTTTCAGTAGTTTTTGTCTGGTTTTCTTTGGTCTGTTTCTTTTGGTTTTGTTTTTCTTGCTGAGGTTTCTTTTTTTTATTCTTATTTTTTCTTCACTGTCCCCATGGTTCGTGTTTTCTTTTGTGCCCGACTTTCATTTCTGTTTCATTTGTGAATGAATTTTATGTCTGCTAGTGTGGCCTCGGTTTGTATCTCTTCGCCTTTTGTTTTTGTTTTTTTTATTGCTGTTCTTATCCTAACAATAGGCTTGTCCTGTTCTGATATGGTGTAATGGTTTTGTGGTTCTGTGGATTTCGTCTTCTGCAATATTCACGGAAGAAGGGGGTTTTGCGTTTCTTTTCAGTGTTCTAGCTTTCTGAAAGAAACCTCCTTGCATACTTCAGGGCTTGGTGAGACTCGGTGTTAGTCGGGTTCCGTGGATTGAAGTTCTGTCTTGTACAGTGTCGAGTTTACTTTTTTTCTTTTTTGCTGCTGTTTAACTTCTGCAGCTTGCTGATTTGGGTTTTGCGTGAGCTTTCTTTTTAGTTTTTATTGTTGGTGGCTTATTCGTTGTGATGGTGAGTGCGCAGAATGTTGTTTATTTTTGTCAGAAGCGTGGTTTAATTTGCATTTTTTTGTGAGTTTGTTTTTTCTTATGCTCTCAGTGCTGCAGTCCTTTTCGGATTCTTTTATTGCTGTGAGTTTCTAACTTTTTGTTTTCTTTTCCACTTTTATTTGCTTGTATTACTTTTCTGTGTTATGTGTGTCTTTTTAAATTTCACTTCATTTAGTTCTTAGGGCAGTTTGTAAGCACTTTCCGTGTTTTTCTCGGCCCGGGTTTTCGTCGGGGCAGCTACATTCTTATTTTCCTGTATAATAGCAGTTTTTCTGAAGCTTTTGGGTTGATTTAACATCGTTTTTGTTTGTTTCTGTATTTTTCTTCCTGTTTTGTTTCTTTTTTTTGTTCAGGATTTTATCTTTATAACTTATTTCCTCTTTTTTATGTTTTGGTTTGGATTTGATGTCCAGGTTATGTCATTTACTTTATTTGTCTAGTTTTTTGGGGTGTATTTCGGGTGATCTTCTTTGTTGGCTTTTTGTTTTGCTGCACTGGGAGAGGCTGTTCCGTTTTGGGAATAGTGTCTTTTTTTCTTGGGGTTGGTTTCTTCTGCATTTTTTCTTTGTCACTGGCATTACTGGGTTTGGTTTGTCTTTCTCCCCGTGTTGTGCTGTGATCAGTCGGTGGATTTTTTTTATATTTTGCTTTCCTTGGTTGTTTTTGCAGATCCCTTTTTTTGTTTGGGTATTTGGTTTTTGAGCTTGGCTATACTGGTGTTTTCTGCTGGTGTTCTAGAGTCCGCCGTTCTTATGTTGCTGGTGCTTTTGTGGTTACGGGGGTAGTATGTTGCTTGTTTTTGTGTTGGAGTGTTTTGTTTTACCTTTATTTTTATTATAACTTCCTATGTTTGGGTGTTGCAATATTATTTTTTTGCTTTTTGTCATGGCCTGAGTGCTTCGCTCCGTCGGTGTGCTTATTTTGAAAGTTTTTTTTATTTGCTTGCAGATTGTTGCAATTGTTTTTGAGAGGTTTAGGAGACTTTTTTGTTTAGCGGGCTTATTTGGGCTTTTTTTGAGTCTTGTGTGCATCTGTGGTTCCCTATACTTATTTATGCTGTGGAGTGTTACTGTCTGCTTAGGACTTGGTGGCTTTTTTGTTTGGGTGACCTAGCTTTCTTTTGGTGTTTTATGCCTTTGGAGATGAGGGGTTCTGCCCTTGTGTTTTTGTTTTCTGGGTTTGTGCGTGTTTGTGCTCTGAAATATGTGTTTGGTTTCTTTTTTATTTATTTATTTTTTGAGTATGTTTATCGTGGGCTTTCTTTTATATTTTTTATTTATTTATTTTCTTTCTTGCTTCGAACTGTTCTTTTTCTTCTGTGGTAGTATTTTTGAGGCGTCTGTCGTCTTAGGAGGCTTGGGATGTTTTTTAGAGCTTGCTTGTTTTCCCTGAGCTGTTTCGTAAGGCCGTTTACTCTTCGGACTGTTATCTTTCTGCTGCTCTTACATAATATTGCTTGACATTGACGTCGTACTCCCTGTCCTTGTGAGATGCTTGGTCCCTTTGTCTGGTCTGGCTTTTTGTTGAGTCTTGGCTTGTGATCTTTTACCCTGGGTCCCTCCTTTTTGTCCTTTTTTTTTTGCAGGACTTTTTTCCTTTCTGGGTGTTTTGTTTTTGTTTTCTTGTGCGTTTTTTGGTGTCTTGTTGCTGTCCTCTTTGTTGTGAGTTCTCTTGCTTCGACTTTGTGTTTTTGACGTTAGGTCTTCTGCTTTTGGTGTTTTGTTTGCGTTGCGCTGTACGGTTATGCTTGCGCTAGTTTTGCTGCTTTGTGAGGTTTCTTCGGCTTTGTTTTGGGATTCTTGGAGCACTTTTGTGTCTCCTTTTTTTTTCTTTCATTGCGTCTTTTTGGTGTGTCTGTTTTTATGATGGTGGCCGGACTAGGTAGGTTTTTTTTTTTTCTTTAATTTTTTTGGTTTGTTCGTGTTTTTTGGTTCTTTGTTTTTTGTCCTGGTTTTGCTTGTGATTTTTACTCTTGGTGCTGTGATTCTTTTGTTTTTCCTGGTGTGCCGTCGGCAGGTCTCGTATGTTGCATGGGACTTTTCCGTCTCTGTTCTGCGCCTTTATCATGGATTAATTTCATTCTTCTTATTTCATTTCTTTTTTCTGTATTTTCAATCTGTTCAGCCCTTATCTATTTTTGTTTTTCTCTGTTTTCCTGTATTTTGCTTGGTCGGTTTTCTTCCCATTTGTCGTCTTATAGGTAAGTTAACTTTTTTCCGTTTTCCTCGTAGTTGTGACTGTTTTCTTTTTGTTTTCTTCTGTTTTGTGCCTTTTTCCATTGTCTCTCTTTGCTATCTATCGTTCTTTGTTGTTTTGCAGGCTTTTTTCCGTTCTTTTCTGCTGGGTTTCCAGGTGGCCGAGGGAGATTGACCAGTGTTTTCATTGACGGCCGAGTTGTTTGATTTTTGTTTTGTTGTTTTGTAAATTCTGGTCGGACTCTTGATGGTAATATGAGAAGTGTTCTATCCTTTTGTGATGTGCTTTTTCTTTTTCATTAGATCTTTATTTGCTTTTCTTTTTTTTGCTTGCGTGTTTGGTTGTTCTGCGTTTATTGTCTGTGGCTTGCGTATTTTGTCTCGTTGCTCTTTGTGTCTTCGTCTTAATTCTGGTGGTCTGTGTTGTTCTTTAGATTTAAACCATGGGGCTGCAATACATTTCTAATGGCATTTTGCTGGCGATCTTTTCTCTTCTGCGTTGTTCTCTTACGGTTTTTCATTGATCCCTTTTTTCTTTTTATGTTCTTCTTTTGCTTTTGTTGGTTTTGCGTTATTGATAGTCTTTTTTGAAAGATGATTGACCCTATTCTTTCCTTGACCATTTTTTCCGGTATCCTCCATTTGCTATTCAGTATGGCGTCTTCGTGTTTTATTGATGGCTGCATACATTTGGCGTTTGTCCTCAGGTATTGTCTCAGGTTGTCTTTTTTTTTTTTTGTCTTGTTTTTTCCTTTTTTTTGCTTGTCGTTCCTTTGAGCTGCAGGTTTTTTATCTTCATGCCATTCCTTTGTCTTGGTGTATATAGCTGGCTAGGGGCTATGGTGGCTTGGTGGAACTGTTTTGTATTGCGTTCAAGTTTTCTAGGTACGTGTGCATTATTGTGCAGTTTTGTTAGGGGCTAGTGGCTTTTACGTATGTATTTGGTTGCAGGTCTCCTTTTTTTTAGTGTGTTTGCTCGCTATTTTGATGGTTTTCTCTTGTGCTTTGTATTACTGGGTTTTGAGAGGGTTGTAGTGAAGGGTGGTGTGGTATGTGCTCTGTGGTGTTGGTGCTTGAGGTTTGGTATTGGATGTTTTGACTCATTGTTGTTCCTTTCACCCTGATTGCTTGTTCGTCTCTGGCTGCTTCTGTGAGGGATTTATCACATCTCTTAATTTGCTTTTCTGCTGCTGTACATATCAGACTTCTGCTTCCAGAGTGGACTCCTGGTGTTTGAAACCATAGATTTGACTGTTGGGTTAATAGTTTTTTTCTTCGCTTTTTTATTTTCTTTTTTGGTTTTGTTTTCTTTTAGTATCTCTTGCTTTTTTGCTTCATGTCACTGCTTTTTTTTTGTCCTGTCTTTGACTTGTGTGCGTTTTTTCTGGCTTTGCTATTTTCCTGGTGTAGTGAAGCCCCTATCTGTCTCTTTTTCGCATACTCACTCGGTTGGCCGCGACGTTGAAGGTGATCTTTTTTTTCATCCCTTCCCTCCCATGTGGCACCGCGTGCCCTACCTCGTGTTTTTTAGTGTCCCTTCTGGTCTTTTTTTTTCCCCTCCTCCCTCTCTCCGTGGAGGCTTTTCGTGTTTTTTCTCTCTTTTTCTATAATACTTTTTTTTCTTATCTCCCCTCTATTTTTCTTTTTGTGGCTTTTGAGTGTCTGTGGTCTGGTTCTGTCAGTGGGTGCCTGGAGAAAGAGACCAACCCCCACCTGACTACAGTTACCCTTCAGGGAGTTGTAGAGTGATAAGGTCACCTCCGAGTCTCCTTTTCTCCAGGCTAACCAACCCCAGCTCCCTCAGCCCTTCCTCTCAGGGCTTGTGTTCCAAGCCCCTCACCAGCCCCGTTGCCTCCTCTGGATGCACTCAAGCACCTCAACATCCTTCCCAAACTGAGGAGTGAGAACTGGACACAGCACTCAAGGTGTGGCCTCACCAGTGCTGAGTACAGGGGGAGAATGACCTCCCTGCTCCTGCTGGCCACACTGCTCCGCATACAGGCCAGGATGCCCTTGGCCTTCTTGGCCACCAGGGCACACTGCTGGCTCCTGTTCAGCTGCTGTCACCAGCACCCCCAGGTCCCTTTCTACCTGGGCACTGTCCAGTCACACCGTCCCCAGCCTGTAACGCTGCAGGGGGTTACTGTGGCCAAAATGCAGGACTCGGCACTTGGAATCCTACCTGCCCAACAGACTGACACACACTCCCCACTTAGTGTCATTTCCAAATTTACTGATGGAAGCTTCAATACCCTCATCCATGTAGTCAATAAACACACTGAACAGGACTGGCCCCAGCACAGAGCTCTGAGGGACACCACTGGTGACTGGCCCCAGCTAGATGCAGCACTGTTCACCACCACTCTCTGGGCCCGGCCATCCAGCCAGTTCTGAACTCAGCAGAGAGTGCTCCTGTCCAAGCCGTGGGCTGCCAGCTGTTCCAGGAATCTGCTGTGGGAGATGGTGTCAAAGGCCTTGTCAAAATCCAGATAGACAACATCCACAGCCTTTCCCACATCCACCAGGCAGGTCACCTGGTCATAGAAGGAGAGCAAGTTGGTCAAACATGACCTACCCCTCCTAAACCCATGCTGGCTGTGTCTGATACCCTGGACATCCTGTAAATGCTGTGATGACACTCAATATTAACTGCTCTATTACCTTACCAGGTACTGAGGTCAGGCTGACTGGTCTATAACTACCAGGGTCCTCCTTCCAACCTTTCTTCTGAATGGGCATCTGGAACCTCTGTGCAATTCTTTTCTAATAATCAACTACTGCAAGTATCATTGACAATAACTAAGTGCTCTGAGTAAGCAAAATATTCAGACTAACTTCTCAGCAGTATTATTTAAAAGATAACATTAAAGAATTGGCTAATAAGAACTTTAATATCAGTACTTACCATCCTCTGAGAATGTGAACTGTAGCAACGAAGGAATAAGAAAAGACAGTGCACTCTTTGAATGATTAATTTTTCTACAGCGCTGGCTAAACCAGCCTGCTTCAGCCTACAATTTAAAACAAATACAGCATTGAAAAAAAAAGCAGAAAAAAAACCCCAAAAAAAACAAACTAGAAGTGATATTAAAAAAGTCTTTCACAGGACGAGTACGAAAACAAGCAAAGATCTATCTGCAAACTACTGATTTAATTGAACAAGTATGCGTTATTAAATGGAAAGAAAATAGTGATCATTAAAATGAAAATTTTGCATATAAAAACGTGTGCAGATGTCGGAATTTGAATTTTTAAAGTTGACCAAAACTGCACTGATATTCCCCACATAAATACTACTTCTTCAAAGAAAATACATCTAGCCTAAGCCGTTGTGCAACCAACACATGCGAAACAATTACAGAAGAGACATGTTTTAGAACTATTATTGCTGAGTTCTCACAACAGTGAAAAATTGAAAAAAGCCTGTGTGTAAAACCCACAGTCACCTGGTATGCTACTTCATATAAGCAGCCATCTTTTCCTGCCAGAAAGATCCTTCCATTATCAGTGGATGTGATTGCCAGGATGTAAGTGTTGTCAGTAGGAAGCGAATACAGAGGATCTGGTAGCAGCTGCATTCCGCCAGACATGCTGTCATTGAGTGACCCAGTGCCTTCAGTAAACAAAAAACCATAAATCCTCTTTAGTTTTTAAGCTGTTTTAATATATAATACAGGTCTGTGATAAGAAACATATCAGAAACCAGAAAAAACTACAGCAAATTTATGAAGGAACAGCTTTCGTACAATGTGAACTGCAGAGTAACAAATCCATTCTATATAGGTTTCTGAGGAAGGAAATGCAATGTTTTTCATTTCTATAGACTGTTCTCTCCTTTAAATCATACCAAGTCCAAAACACAGGTTTCTACTTGTTTTCTTTTTCTCATTGACATATTATTAAAAAAAAAAAGTAATATAGTTCTCTCACTTTCACCAAACAAGTTTTTCTCTTAGTATATATGGCATAAAAACATGCTATCAGGTTCTCAATTTTTGTGGTTGGAATACAAATGCCAACAAAGTTAATGAACTTTATTCACAGTTTCAAAATTCATGTAGCTATCTTCTCTCCCTCTGCAATATGCTGTTTAATTAACAGGAGCATCTGTTTCAAAAGCTTTTTTCTACATTAAATAAGTGAGTAATAAAATGTAATGCTTCTCATGGAGTCCATGATCCAGCAAGTGCACACACCATAAAAAAATTATCTTCCCTGCTTGTAACATGACTTAAAAACTAGCAAGGCACTAGGCACATAGGTTTTTTTTATTTTTTTAAATGACTATTAATAAAACTGCCATGTGTAAATACACATGGGAATTAACACACTGGGAATATGGGAGAAGAGAGAATTACCTGATTGTATATTAGAACAATGAAGCCCCAAAATCACAATATCCACAGGAGTAGCCAGAACAAGTAAGTGTCGTACATGAGGCTGGAAGATACCTACAGAAAAAAAAAAAATTTAGTTTGCATCCTGCTTCTCTGATCACAATGATGTAAGCAAATAAATCCATTGGAAAGCCACATCAACTGATCAGACTGAATAGTCATATGTTAAGCCTAATGATCTGTGGAATTCTAAAATTAGAAAGGAGTATCTGCCATCAGCTCGACTTCCACTTCATGAAAAACAGGATCTTTAAAACTACATTTCTCTTACCAACATGCTTCTTTTAAACTCAACTCATTTGCCAATTCAACTTTGACTTTAATGTTATCTTAGCAGTAGATACTGAAATAACTAGGAGGGCTTGAAACCAAAATCTCATGGAAATTATCACTTGAATGTGTAAATTTATAAACAGTACAAATGCTAAAGCATGATATGGCAAAATGCAAGCTTATAAGTGAAAATAGTTGTTAAACTATACATTATCTTTGGCTCATAATTTTTAATGTTTCTAAAATCAAAATAATCTCATACAGTCTGTGTGTACATATATATATATATACACACACAAACCACAGATTTACACATAGAATAATTGACGCTGGAAAAGACCTCCAGAACCACTGAATCCAACCTTGAAACTGAATACCAGCATGTCAACTAAGCCATAGCATCAAGTGCCACATCCATCCATCAAACACACATGCATGTTAATATCTACGCATATATAAAACCCAAAAACTTATTTTGGCTTTTATATTACCTTAAATTGCATTTTTTGTATTAAATACAAAAGCATATATAAAGACTGGAAAAAATAGACAGAAAGTTCAGTACTGTCCAATTCTAATATCTGTCATATTTCTTACCTGCCTTTGGCTTTACAAGGCCCACTGCAATAATAGTTTCACTGAGGCCATCAAAATAAGCCAGATCTCCTCTGTCAAACAATAAACAAAAAACTGCATTAAATTTGCCATATAACATCACATAATAACGAAGTAAATAAAATCAACGTATAATTTAAAATTATTAATGCTTCTGCAACACTCTGAAGCCATATACATCTTTCATTTTCACTGAAAGAAGGTCATTTGAGTTGCTTGAAGTGCCTACAGTTGATTTTCAAACCAAATCCAACTGCAGTATTTTATGTTTTTGGATTTGTTGATTCATACTGTCTACTCCGAATTACACAATGCACCATCTGCAATACTGATTAACATCAGGAGAAGGAAATCACATGGGATTTTTTTCCCCCCCTGAAAATTATCTGATACAAAAATTCACAACTTCTTCCTCACTATCTACCACTAACACCATGCAGTACTGTTTTCTTTGGAATGTATTTCATACACTCTGACATAATGTAGATGTATAGATAGTAGCTATTCTGAACTTTATTCTTTTTTAGGAAATGTAACAATATGTACAAAGCAATTCTTACTACACAAATGCTTACTATGTGGGCAAATAAAGAAGTAAACATGCAAACTATAAATTGATCAATGACATTTCAAAATGAGCTGAGCTTATTTTCAGTTTTATGCATCCATAAAATAAGCATGGAGAGCTTCTATTACAATATTTCAAAATACTAGTGACCTATTAGTAATATAATAAATACCATTGTGGAAATATTGTGGGAACGACTGGTCACTGCATATGCATCTCAGTACATACTAAATCTACTTAGGCACTTAGAGGGATTTTTATCTGCTTTTTCAGTAGAAGCAAAGCCTTTGCATAAAAAAAGCAGTAACTTTAGGATATTAGATATGTCTGACCCAAAGAAAATACATTTTTCTTTCTCTCACCTGTAGATGATTTGGCAGCATTACTAACTCTTGAATAGTAAGTGTATAATGATCTGTAAAAGTTTTAGTAAAATCTAAAAGGAATTAAGATCAGTTAAACTGAACAGCACACCTCCATGCTTTCAGTAAATCTTCCAACTGCTCCAGTAGCTTACTTCTGGTATAATACCAACAGAACAACATCAGGAATGCATCCTTTACGTACCCATCCTCATAGTTCCACATAAAGATGTCACTGTCAATGGTCAGCCAAGCTCGGCTTATCTCTGGAAATACTCCCATCATACAATTGCACTGCATATCTGAAGCACTGCTGATGTAAGGATTAAATGCATTTTTTGGGTAGTAACAGCAAAATCCTCTTCACAGCATTTAAAAGTATCATTAAAATACAGTATTACACAAACTGCATACTTCAAAATTCATTTAGAAACCAAATCCACCAACAACTCTATGTAAATGGCTTTGTTACCACTTAGAGTGTTATTAAAATAACCTGAACAAGATTGAACTTTTTTGCTGGGAGTCTGAAAAAAAAATTGGGAAAGAAAAATATGGAGGAAAGCTTTTTCTAATATTACTTCTTACACAATCTTGGACATTTGTTTACATTAGGATACGTCCAAACTGCTCCACTAGCTCTGGTGGAAGTGGGACTCGGCGGACTGAGCTGATTTCCGGAAGATTGGGTATGGACAGCAAACCTGGTCCTTGTAAAGGATAATCCATATCTGACATACCAGATACAGTAGGGCTACCTGCAAGTAAGAAAGAAAAAAAAAACAAAACTGAAACTTTATACATCTAAGTATCACTATTCACAAGATACATGTGGACAGAATTTTCTCTAGGAGCAAAACCACATAAATCTAAGTCTCAAATGAGATAAGAGCAAACAGATTTACAAACAAACTCTTATAATAACTCACCAGGACTCCAGCCTACTCTTCACCCTTTTTTTTCTATGATACCCTGCAGTGCTTTTTTCATTGTATGGTCAGACATTCACATGAACAAGCATACTCCTTCACCTAGAAAGGTAGCCTGTACTCCCAGTACCACCTTAAAACACCCACTGTTTTATGTGCTGTGTATCCACGACCCTGCCAGAGCAGCTACACTGTGGCCATGTCATCACTGCACAACAGAACGCAGACACTCCTGTTTACATTCAGCCACCTCTGGATATATACTACTACAATGCCTCTAGGATCCCACTTTGCTAGCCAGTCAGGACTAATGGAGTGCTGGAGAAGGAAATGCTGCCTCCACGTGTTAAAAACGAAGCACATCTTATACCATAATGTGACAAAAAGTTGCAGGAAAAAAAAAAAAAAAAAGAGTGAAGCTTAAGAGAGTTTCGAGGCTTCTTGTAACTTAGGCATGGTGGGGGGCACAGGGCTACCATAACAGCATTCTGCACGGGACTTCTCAACAGGAAGAATGGAAAATTAGAGCTGTTCCAGTCACCTTTCAGAGGGACAGGAGGCACCTGAAGTCCATCCCTCCTGCCCTCCTAGAGTGTTAATATCCACAGCTCTCACCCGCGCACTGAAGAGAACACAGCACGGCCCCACCCCATCCCGCGACGGAGACGGCTCCGCACACCCGGCCCCAGTCCCGGAGCAGGGCCCACGCGCGGCACGCGTGTCCAGCCGGGCCGCGCCGGCCGAGGCCGCCCGCGGCGGGGCCCGGGGCCGCAGGGACCCCGAGCGGGCGCTCCTCACCCACCAGGCGCCGGCACCGCCAGCAGCTCCGACAAGTCCGGGTAGCAGCGGTCATCCTGGATCTGCCGGTCGATGATGCGGCCAGCGATTTCCAGCGCCTCCTGCGCAGCGGGCGCGGCAGGGCCCGTGGCGGCGGGCATCGCGACGGAGGCGACGGCGGCGGCAGAAGGACGGCGGCGGCACGGCGGTGGCCGCACGGCGGTGGCGGGGCCGCACGGCGATGGCGGGGCCGCGCTCTCGCGCCGCTCTACCGCCCGCCCAATCCCGGCAGGCCCCGCGCGCCAGGCCGCTTCCGGCGGCGGGAAACGGGGCGGCGGAGGGGAAGGGGAAAGGGCTGGGGAGGGTCGGCCCGGCCGGCCCGGCGCGGGCGGCGGGCTGCGCATCCCGCTACGGGAAATGGTCGCTGCCGGAGAGCATCGCTGGAAGAGCCGACTAAGACGGGCCCTCATCAATGTGCTTAAATACCTAAAGGGAGGGGGGAAGGGTGCCAGGAGGATGAACTAGGCTCTGCTGGGTGGTGTGGAGCAAGAAGGGAAAAAGCAACGGGCAGAAACTAATGCACAGGAAGTTCCACCTGAGCATGAGGAATAAATTTATTGTGCAGTGACCGAGCACTGGAACAGATTGCCCAGGGAGGCTGTGGCGTCTCCCTCAGTGGATATAGCCCATTTGTTTGCACACAGTCGTGTGCCATGTGCTCTGGGATGGCCCTGCTTGGGCAGGGAGGCTGTAGTCTCTCCAGCCTGGCCCACCCTGTGATCTGCTGGAGCAGGCTGGCTGGGGCTGCGTGCATCACCGGCGTCCTCAGGGCCACCTGAGGGACAGGCGTGGTCTGCTCTGCGGCCCCTCAAAGGCACAGCCTGGCCCCAAGGAGGGCAGTGGGAAGCTTCACTTGCAGCAGAGGCACATGGCACAAGAAAGGAAATCGACCCTTGTGTAAACCCAGGGCACGGGGAGTATTTGCTCTGGGGTGTCCTGACTCCCAGGGGAGCACTGACTTTGACCCTCATTCATGGAGAAAACTTCAAAGCCTCAATGTAAACTAGAAACCACATAAGTGTGAAATAGATTGTAGCGATTGTAGATAGTAGTGTAGTATATCACATGGGTGACAAATTTAGGTTTTAGGATTTTTAGTATGTTATAGATGGGTTCAAGATGGAGGATATAGGGTGTTGTCTTGAGTTTCCTTCTTTCTTCCTCTTTCTTCCTGGGTTTAGGTGGTATCTTTTAATTGGGCAGGAAAGTCCACATTGTGGGTCTTTAGGGGTCAGTTATTGGGTTAGAAAGGAAAATAATTTAGGTGTCACTTCTTAATAGGGTAGCTTAGTTTTTGATTAGCCGTAAAAGGCCTGGTAACAAGAGATTGTTAGCCATTTTTGTGCTGTTTTTCCTGCACAAAAAACATCTGGTGCAGATGGCATGCTGAAATTTTGATAAGGTAACAATAAACAGAAGCTGAAGATTGAAAAAGTCCAATGCGTCTCTTGTTCCTGACACAGAATTGCTCCAGGAGGGTCTCCCCTGCCAGGGGAGCCCCCAGGGAGTTGCCCAATTTGGGGCCTGCAAACTCACACACCCTCACCCTCTGCTTTCCAGAGTTTAACTTTCCAAAGTTAAACTTCAAACCCAGCAGGGTTTATATCACTGTTGAAGTTTAACCCTAGCCAGAAACCAAGCTCCAAGCACCTGCTCATTGACTATCCCACTCCAGGATCAGGGAGAGAATTGGAATTAAGTCACCACCTCCCATGGGCAGAGAGGTGTTCAGTGACCTCTGGCAGAGCAGGATCCCATCATGCACAATGATTACTTGGGAAGATGAACACCATCACTCCAAATGTTCCCCCCTTCTTCTTCCCCCCCAATTTATATACTGAGCAGGATGCCATATGGTCTGGAATATTTTTTGGCCAGTTGAGTCACTTATCCTGGCTGTGTCTCCTCCCAACCTCCTATGCATCCCCAATTTCCTTGCCAATGTGGCAGTTTGAGAAGCAGAAAAGACCTTGGCTCTGTAAAAGCACTGCCCAGCAAAACCAGAAATACCTCTATATTATCATCCCTGTGTTCAGCACAAATCCAAACCATAGCCTTGTACTACCCACTGTGAATATTAACTGTACCCCAGCTGAAACTAGCATAATGAGAAGATTTTCTATCTTCTCAAGATTAAGAAGCTAGTGCCTTGTCACCAGCAGGGTTTCCCAGGGCTCAGTTTTAGGAACAGTGCTCTTATAAATGATCTGGTGGCGGGAATTAAGTCTGGTTATACTAAACCAGGAGGAGCTGTTGACTCCCTTGATGGTAGAGGAGCCTAAGAGAGATTTGGATAGAGAGCTGATCAATCACCAATCATCTAAAATCCAAGAAGTGCCAGAGTCTCCACACTGGGCAGGGAAATCATGATTGCACAGAAAAATTAGGGGATGAGAGCCTGGATTGCAGCTCCATTAAAAGCAATCTGAGTTTTTGGGTTGATGTCAAGTTGAATATGAGCCAAGAGTGTGACACAAGTGACAGTCGAAAGGCCCAATTGAGTTGCGGAGTTCATTTGCCACAGCACCGTTGGCCAGTCCAGGGAGGTGACTATCCATTCTACACTGTGCTGTGGGGCTGTACACTCCATGTTGAGTCCTATGAGCAGTTTTAGGCACCTCAGTTTAAGAAGGACATCACACTGTTAGTGTGGCACGATTAGGGCGCCCAAGACGATGAAGAGTTATCAAGGTCCACATTTAAGATACTGAGGTCTCTGGGCTTATTTAGCTTGGGGAAGGTGGAGCGGGAGCCTCAGGCTGTGGATACTCTGTGGTCAGGGATGTGCTGACCTCTTCCTGATGAACAGCGGCAGGACAAGAAAAGATGGAAGGAAGCTCTGCCAAGGGAAATTCAGGTTGGACTTCCTCACTTTCTGAGAGGGTGGTTGTTCCATGGAAAAGGCTTCACAGGGAATTTGTCAGGGCACTGTCAGGAAAATTTATCCATAAACATCAGAGGTTTATGTGCAAAAAGGAGACAGAGGAGACCTGTTACTTTATCTGAATAAAGGGAGAGGCCATGGGGCATTCCCCTGGGGTCGCTTGAATTTTTGGAGGACAAAGCCTCCTTTTTATCCTAATTTCCCGGCCGCATTTCCATTCTCTCTGTTCCCATTGGCTGAGCTACTTGAGAGGTGCAGACTTCCCGATATGCCTGATACCAGAGATTTCCCTCTAATGTATCCCTCCCTTTTAAATGTATCCCTCTAATGTATCCCTCCCTTTTAAATTTTAATTCTTATGGATTTTAGGTTTTTCCCCCATTGTTTCTTTCATCTTTCAATGTCCAATTTAACTTTTCAGCAACCCTAAACCTCATTTATAAAAGCAGTATCTTTTTCCATTCATCAGTCAGTGGAATCCTTCCCCTCTTTTATCTCTCAGTGCTAGTTTTATCTACCAGCAGATCCACAGCTCGTTTGTAAAGACATTTCTCTGCCATTTCACTCAGCACCAAGCCTGGTGGAGCTCGAGGAGCACCTGCACAGGTGCGCAGAAACGTGGTTTAGCTTCGTGCGGCGCTGCGAGGAGCACGCGTTCCGGCTGCCGGACGCCGCAGCGCCTCCCCAGCGGGAAGGAAGCTCAGCTGTGCCCGCCCGGCCGCTTCCTGCCGGCGCCTGTTGTGGATCCGGGGCAGGCGTAGCATGGAGCCGGCGGCCGGGAGCGGTGAGGGACGGGGCGCCGGGGCTGAGGCGGACCCAGCTCGGCCTCCGCCCCCGCTCACCTCCGTGGTTTCTTCTCCCTTCTCGTTGCAGATGCGGAGGTGCTGGGGACACCCGACCCGGAGCTGGCGGCCACCATGGGCTTCTCCGGCTTCGGTGCGTGGCGATGCGGCGGGGGGCCGGGGGCTGGCTGGCGGAGCGGGGCGCAGCCGTAGGGCCTGTCAGCCCCGGGTGGGCTTGTGTTCCAGCGCCGCTTGCTTCATTTCCAGGGAAGAAGGCTCGGACTTTCGACCTCGAAGCCATGTTTGAGCAAACGAGAAGAACTGCGGTGGAGAGGAGCAGAAAAGTCTTGGGTAAGAACTGCGAGCGTAGTTGGGGCTTGCATTTTAAAACATCTTTTAATTTGCTCCCTCAGGGAGGTATTTGAAGTGTCTCGGAGTGGTTGTGTAGAAAATAAACTAGAAACACAATTTTGTTCGGGGAAGGCAGCCCCGAACAGCTTGGGTCTCGATGAACAGTAATTTGCTGCTGTTGTCTGAGGCTGTTAGAGCAGAGTGCGTGTGTAAGGCTCCTGTTAGGTATAGCTTGCAGATACAGGAAGAACACACAAACTCTTTTCTTTCTTCTTTTATTTAGCTGTGTATTTATTTTGGAAGAGAAATTGGTACAGACAGCTTTAATCTAGAGTCAGCAGAAGTGAGGCAGCAGAGTAGTGAAAAAGAAATGTGTGTCTTAGACCAAGGGGCAGGTTGTATAGCAGCCCACAAATATATTGCTGCCTTCTGCTGTGCTGGGAGTGGGCACTTTTTGAGGGTATTATTTTGTGAGAGATGGAGAAAATTGTATAGTTTGCTGCCTGTAATCAAGCGAATGTCAGTTCAAACAAGTTCTCTGAGAACAGTCATGCATGTTCTACAAATCCCTTTGTCAGCCCAGTTATTCATGCTTTCTTCTTCCTCTTGGCCAGTTTTTGGAGCATGGATGCCTTTTGTTTTATTCTGATACCGTGTTTTTTATTGCTCTGATTCTATACAGAACCAGATCATAGCTGTTTAGAGGTTCACTGACTTTTTGGACTTTAAGGCACTATGAAATTCAGATATAGAAGGGATTCCAAAATAAATTTCAGACTGCTGTTTTTTGTTTGTTTGGTTGGTTTTGGTTTTTTTTTTTTTTTTTTTTTTTTTTTTTTTTTTTTTTTTTTTTTTTTTTTTTTTTTTTTTTTTTGCATGGCTGAATCTAAATACAACAATGTATGTCCATGTTGGAAGCCTTTTTATGTTTGATACTTGTTCAGGTTGAGCTACCTTTCGTTATGAGGAATTGTTTATTTACGTAATATTTTTGTTTAGTAGGGAAATTCAGTAAGTGATTGCAAAAATACAATGTTTTTAAGTCAAGATATCTTGACCTGCATCTTGAGTATGTCCTCTCCCTTACCCTGCAGCAGACCACATTCCAGCCCACCCCCAGGTTTCTAGGCTTATACCCGCAAAAGAAACACACAGCATTTTGTTGTTTATAAAATAGATAATTTTGCAAAAAATCACAGTCTTGTATGTAATTCAGCTGTTTAACTTAGAAGCAAATTTTAGTATTGAGTCTATAGCAATCAAGAATATGTATGTGTTGTGGGGGGTTGGCTTAATTTGAGCACTTATTTTCAATTATTTTGAGATACACTTCCACTTTTTAGCTTTTTGGAATGACGTGATAACTTTTGGATATGTTTTCCCCACTACCTGATTTGTGGAACTGAGATCAAAATATGTTTCCTGGTTCTGCATCTTGCAGCTGTTTTTGTTTCTCTTCAGTGGGAAGTGTTTCCTAGCTTCGCTGAAAAAATGTTTTTCTTTTTTTATATCTAACAGAGATCAAAATAGAATACAATGTTTGTTACTTAATATGAGATGGAAGGTTTTGTTTGCTTTGATTTTATTCCAGTGTTTCATAAGGATTCTTTTTCAGTGAGTTAAGAAATAATGAACTACTAATACAAGCAGCACTTTTTGTGCTTAAATGATTTAAAATTCACCTATTTATACATCTGTATACTTTAACTGCACAAATTTATTTCCCTGTGCTTTTATCTAAAATGATTATACTCTTTTATTATGTTGAAAATAATTGAAATATCAGCATCCTTGTATGATCAACTTATGTTTGATATCATGTACCAATGACCAACTGGGAGGTGTTTATGTTGTCCTTTTGATGTTTTGTTGAGTGATCATTGCAATAGCAATGGAAATTTAATATATATGAAAATGTATCTTGAATCTTTTAATTGCTGTTACCTTTTCAAGTATTTATCTGGGTCTGAAGAGGAAAAAAGCTGTTTTACTGTCATTAGCAAGCCAGTAATTTTGATATTTGTAAAAGGCTTGATTATTTATTTTTGTGATCTCCCTATTCAGAGGCCCGTGAAAGAGAAAAGGAAGACCAGACTGAAAAGGAGTTTAGAACTCCATGCACTGCTTCATCCGTTTCAGCGTCCAGTGCAGCAGGACTTGGGTCTACATTAACTGAAAGGTACTTTGATGTGATGGGAGATTCCATGCAGCAGCTTTCTTATCTGAGGAGGGTATTGGCTTGTTTCGATAACATGAGTATCATTTAGTTCGTGTGACTATATCTTGTTATCTTAAGCAATTCAGTGGGAATACTGATTTTAAACTTTTTTAAAAAATTCTTTCTTAAAGATATGTCAATATTTGCAAATATTGATGTTATTTATATTTAACAGGCAATTTTGCTGCTTCCTCCTTGATCGTGTTCTGCGTACTTTTTTAAAAATAAGAATAATGTTGTTATCCATGTATTTTTTGAAAATACTAGGGCAAATACAGTGGCACATGTGATGACTTTATTAGCAGCTATGGTGCCCAGCTGCATACAGAGTATTCTTGTTCACACCTTATGAAAAAGAAGGCCAAGTAGATGGACAGGCCGTGTATGCAGATTTTATTGAGTAATGGTGAGGTAGAGAAAGCTTTTTTTTTTACTTCAGTTTGAAATTTATTCTTAAACTTTTGTCTATTAGTGACAAGCAGTAGATGCTATGGATTTTGGAGTTTAAATTCTGAAATTCTGGGAAATCAGAAGTAGCTGAGGGAAATGGAGACCACATAACTCCATTATGTGGCAGGGCTGGCAGGCATGAATGTGTGGTACATTTTTAGATCTCATACTGTATCTATGGAAGTTTAACAACCCATACAAGACTTTAGTAGACCTTTATATATGCATATTATGGGCTGATGTGTGGTAGGTTATTATAGACAAACTTGTAGAGTTTCAGACTGAACAAATGTTTTTTTAGAAAATTTTGGTTTTGCCTGTTGGTCCTTGGAAAACCTGGGCACTCTCACTAAAATACTTGATTGTACAATATACTACTACTTTGTCTATCCTATGTATGTCTTGTGCTCAAGGAAGAATATTTTGTATTTCCATTTGCTTCTGATGATCTTATATACCCATTTGATGACATTATGAAAGGTGACAAGAATTTAAATACAACATAGTTGTGTATTGTAGATGGGTGACTTCAACATAATAAGAAATCCAATCAAGTTATAAAGTGGAGAGGGGTCAGGCAATACAGAAGCTTTTCATAATTATCTCATTCTTCTAATTGATTTGAGAAGAGCGATCTCCAGGGACTTAATATAAAGGAAGATAACAAATAGGTTTCAGTATGCTGAGTTATTAGGTAGGCTCTGTAACTTACTGGAGTTCTGTTCATAGTAAATTTTGTTTTTCTTTTTGATTTTACTAAGCATTAAGAAGGAAGGGCTTAACAGGAAAAGCTGTCCTGCAAGTTTTATATTTCCATGTAAAAAGGATGCGTAGCTTAGTTCTTAAAAGTAAAACCGTAAAACTAGAAAGACATACAGTTGTGACTCAGTCTTAATTCAGAGGAACAATCCTGCAGCTGACATTTTTAGTGGGAAATATGGGATTTTCTAGTTCTTTTTATAACAAAGATTTTAGTCACTGTATATTGATCTAATATGCATAGCAACTTTTATTCTCTGATAATGGCAACACTTTACTGAATTTTAAATTTTTAAAATTTAAAATTTTAAAGAGTAGCCCTTATGCTAATTTGTAGAGTAGCCCTTATGCTAATTTTTCAGTTGTTTAAAAGTCACTCCAAAAATTATCAGAGTATAAATTATCAGAGTAAAATTATCAGAGTAGCCCTTATGCTAATTTTTTTTTTTTTTAAAGTAACTTCAAAATGATGTGAAATACACCTAATGATTATTTTTTCTCTTGAGGTATTTTGCGGTAGAGAAATGTTTACAATAGCTATGGTACATAATTTATGCATAAATATAATCGCACCTTGTGAAGTGAAAGAATCTGTTAGTATATGAGGAGGAAAAACCTGAGAAAATGGTCTGCAGAAAATGAACACATGGGGGGGATATGCTCACATACTTGCACAGCACTCAGAATGTTTTTTGTTACTGCTCTTCTCAGTGTGCCATCCATACTCTTATTTTTGTTTTTCCTCTTACAGTTTGTTTCACTTACTGAGGAGGTAATGAGGGAAAGCAAAAACAAAATTCCTTACACTTTTCTGAATCCTAGCAAAGGGGCTGGCAAAATGGTTCTTCTTAATTTATAGCTCCAGGTAGACTAAGATTGTAAGACTGTAAGTTGAGGGAGACACCACTTGCTTTGTCCTTTCTGCCAGCACCGCTCCCAGCTGCTGTCAAAAAGGTATATGGGCATTTGGTCTGTCTGCATTGGTGTGTTCTTATGATTGACTTTATTTCAATCAGGACAGAGGATACCCGTAGCTGTTGCTGGAGTATTTGGCTTTCCCTTCTGTGATTGGAGTGTGGTGAAAAATTGCACTGCAGCTCTGGCCACATCACATGCAGAATGCCAGTACTGCCACTCAGAATACTGAAATGTTTGATTTGATCAGTTTCCATCCCAGCAAATGAGAGAATTATAAAGGAAATTAGGAAGAAATATATATACTGTTCTTGGGTGTCTGTATAAAGATCTGAAAATTTGGGACTCAAGGATTGGCATGTTCTCCTTGAATCATTATGTTGTATATATCCTTCTCACTGGCACAGTTTCTGTTTATTTTCATTCCAAAACGAATTAGTTTGGCTTTTGGGGTGTTAGGAAAATTAATCCACAAAGATCAGAGTAAAAGCCACCTGGCATCTCTGGAAGGGGCCGAAGGCCTCCCTCCCCTGGCAAGTTTCTTTGTAACTCTGTTACTGGTTTTAGCACAAATCAAACAACCTTTAGCAGCTCGCTTAGCAGGAGTAAAAGACCCACGTAAAAAGCAACATACATATTTTTTTGTAAGGCCAGAGCATCCACTGCTTACCATCCCTTGCAAACCAATTATCTCCTCTTTCCTCTGCCCCACTCTTATTAATTATCTCAAGTACCTCTGGTAGAAAAGACAGTTTCTCTTGCAGTGGTGCAGTTAGTAGGAGCAAAGGGAGGATTGTAGAGATTTTTGGCAACAATGCAGTTTTCCGAGCTTCTTCATCAGCCAGTCGGTTTCCTGTTACTTCCTCCAAGCACCCTGCCTAGTGCCCCTTGTTGTATATTATTGCTAACTTTTTTGGTAAATTCATTCACCACCTCCAATAGGCAAGAGATTAAGCTCTCGTGAGCTAACATCTTTCCCCTGCAGGTTAATAAAGTTCTTTCTTCCTATAGTTTCCTCAAATGCATGTTATCACCCCATATGCATACTTATAATCAGTAAAAACATTCACTGTCTTGTCCCGGTGTAATTCACAGGCTCTGAGGAGGGCATTTAATTCTGCTGTCTGAGCTGCTGAGCTGACCAGGTGGACGGCAACCTCCTCCCTTCCTTTAATTACTTTCCATTCACAATAGAGTATTCTGAAATAGTTTCCCTTCTATCACCCTTGAAGACCCATCAATAAACACATTTTCTCACTCAGGCAAATCTTTCCTAGCGTGTTTGGAGGTCGATCACCTGAATACAGTCCTGGGTTTCTTCCTGGCCCCTCTCCAGGGCCATTCAAACAGGAGGCTGGGTTGAACCCTTCCCCATTTATAAATTCTAAATCCTCCTGTTCCATTAAACAAGATTCATACGGTAATAACTGAGTGCTGGTCATCCACTTAGAGGCTCTTTCAGTTAACAAAGCTTTAATCTGTTGCAGTTATTATAGGTAAAAGTTAATCCAGCCAAATTAAAATATAAAAATAAATTTTATTTAGTGATCAAATTCTGTCTGAGCCAGCCACAAAAGAAAGGACAGTGCTGAGCCTGGGATTGGTGCTGGGTGAGACACAGGTATGACCACTACAGCAGAGGGTCCCCTATGTTTTCACGCTGACTGTCCTGCGTGAGCGATTTTTATACTTTATACTGGGTTTTTGGCGATCAGCCTTTTCTTTCTATTCAAAGTCCCAAATATTCATAGATTGTCTTTTTGCTGTGCTGAGTTGAACAAACGAACCAGGGAAGCGATGTACATCCTTGATGGAGTTATGGGAACCCGAACCCGCATTGAGATGTATCTTTTTGGTGGTTCCTGCAATCTCAGTCTTGAGTAGTTGTTGTAGATCACCCCTTGGGAGTTCCTAGATCATGACCCATCTCCAGACGGGCTGTGTGTATTAACTTGTAAATTAAGTCATATCAGGTGTAGTTTAGACATATGTGGAGCAATCCTCTAGCCCTGGCTTGTATGCCTTATGTCAGTAATTTCAGTAATATGAAACATTTCATACATAACATTCTATAGGCACGAATTATTGGTATTACACATAACAAAATGAAACTTAAACAACTAGACACCCCTCCCCTTGTCAGTTTTCAGGTCTCAGCCACCATGAGGGCTGTGGCTGCACGGTTCACAGACAATGGGACCAGCCTCTGGCCACCGGCTCTGACAGTTTTGAACAATGAGCAACAGGCTGACTTATTCCTCCATGCTCTTGCACCAAAATTCCTTTAGCACAATCCTGTGTAACATCCACATGTAGGTCAGATTCCTTTTCTGAGTCTGAAAGAGCTAAAAGACTGGGGTCTTAACTGTTATGAAAATTAATCCACAGAAGTTTATGTGCAAAAAGGAGACAGAAGATACCTGTTACTTTATCTAAATAAAGGGAGAGGCCATGGGGCATTACCCTGGGGTAATTTTTGGAGGATGCGGCCTCTTTTTTATCCTAATTTCCCGCCTGCATTTCCATTCTCTCTTTCCCCGTTGGCTGAGCTACTTGAGAGGTGCAGACTTCCTGATATGCCTGATACCAGAGATTTCACTCTAATGTATAATCCTCCCTTTTAAATTTTAATTCTTATATTTTTATTCTAATTTAGGGTTTTCCCCCATTGTTTCTTTGATATTTTAATGTCTAATTTAGTTTATCAGCAGCCCTAAACCTTATTTGTAAAAGCAAGTATCTTTTTCCATTCATCAATTAGTGGAATCCTTCCCATTATTTCTTTTATCTTTCAGTGTTACTTTTATCTACCAGCAGATCCCCAGCTTGTTTGTAAAGAGAAATCTACTATTCCTCTGTGGGGGTGGAGGGGGGGGAGGAAAGATGTGTTGTTTGCTGGTGTAGGAATGCATATCAGCTTTTGAAATGCAACTCTTTTGCATATAGTATTATGAAGTTAGTTTTGACAGTAGTTTACTTGAAGAACTTCAAAGATCCCAATCTGTGCCTCACATGCTATAAAACTTTCCCTTTGGTAAAAGGATCTTGATTGCCCCATTATTGTAGAGTAAGAGAAGCTCTTCATATTTGTGTTGGATTTGTTAGGTAGTCATATTGTGATCTAGGTCTTTAAATTAGACGACCTATCAGGCATACAAACCCTGCTCTTTGCTCTAACGTCTGAGGACCTAAGTCATGTTTGTTCTCTTCGTGATACACAGTTTCAATTCCTTATCCAACAAAAGTTTTTTCCTATGCAACTTAGTACCTGCTTGTACCGCTGGTTCTGGAGGCAAAGCAGGGTAGCACTCTCTGTCACAATTACATGGGGCAGAACCAATTTTTTTATTCTTTCATTGTGTTCCTAATATTTTGTGATTTTTATTATAGTCTTAAAGTGATAACCTAAACTTAAAAAAAAAAAAACAAACAAAATAATACCACTATTGTTTAACAAATAAACAGGAAAAGAAGACTATTTTTTTCAGCCTGCTCACTTAAAAATTCTGAAAATATAAGCTCCCAAACGTTGAGCTTCTCTCTCTTAATAGACCTTCTGTTCGTTCGAGTGCTGTGGCTCAGGAACTGCCAGTAGAGGGAGCGCAGCTATTTTAAATAAACTGCATGAACATAGACACAACTCAGCTCTTCAGAAATTTCCTTATGACAGAATAATGTGTTTGCACAACCAATTTGGGCATGAACATAGACACAACTCAGCTCTTCAGAAATTTCCTTATGACAGGATAATGTGTTTGCACAACCAATTTGGACAACAAGCAGAATGGTCATTTAATGTAACTTTTGAAACACTTGAGTGTTTCAAAAGATGATGGTGGGCCTATACTCTGTTAATGAAAGTTAGTATGCATTTTGCTGCTTATTTTGGTGCCTACTGATTTACAATACTGCTCAACATCTTTTAGGTGAAAATTACAGTGGAAGTGACAATGTTCTTCAAATAGTAATGTTTTAAATTTTCCTTGCAGAGAGGCAGCATGTAGTGAAGGTGAGGACAACTCAAATGAAGTGTTCAGTGGTACTTCTATGCAATCCCAGAGTTCTGCTAAAGGTCCAGCTGAGGATACTGATGATGATGATGATGAAGAATTCATTGGGCCACCACTTCCCCCTGGGTTCAAAGATAGTGATGACGACAATGACAATGACGATACAGAAGAGGAAGATAATGTAAGTAGTTTGTTCCTCTTTAACGTTTTAATATTTTGAGTGGGCTCTGATTTGTATGTGGACCATTCCTTTTTGATAGAATTCCCAGGTGATGTATGACTTGTTCAAAATGCAGGTTTTCTGTTTTTCTTGCAGTTTTTCTGTTTTTCTAATGATAATTCAGCAAATGCAAATAATTATTTTCATTTAAAAATATCAAGATTTAAAACAAAAATACTGAGTCTCAAGTGTAATTCAACACATCAAGTAGTGTATATTGTTTATTTTTTTGTTTTCATGTTAGGAAAGAACTAGATAAATAAATATTTAATATAGCTGTTTTAAATGGTTTATTTCCCAAAGCATATTTTGAATGTTGTATGAGAAAGAGGAGGCAGATATGGGTTTGAATCTGGGGAAAGCAATTGTACCAAAACTGTTCTTAGGAAATTAAGTCTGGTAACTGGGGGCTTGTTGATTGGTTTTCTTTATTTGTGTTTATTTTGAATTGTTTTTTTTTTAAATAAGTGCCTGACCTGTTTCTTGCTAAGAATACAGAATTTTGTATCTATGTTGAAACCAAGGGGCTCCCTAACAGCCTAACTTTGGTATCACGGATGTTCAGTTAACTAGCCTTCCTCTATTTAGTTTAAAGGCATGTGGATCTAGCACTAGCTGGTGTGGCTTAGTGGTTTAAGGGTTACAGTGGTAGTGCTGGATTGGACCAAATGATCTTTAAGCTCTCTTCCAACCTAGATTATTTGATGATTCTGTGGAAAGATTAATGGTTTGGTGTTTGTTTTTCAAAACTTCCTGGATTGAATATTTTGTGGCATTGGGTTTTGTGTGGTGGTTTTCATGTGTAACAACAATAGTAGAAATCCTGTGAAAACAGCCTCACTTATTGCTGTATTGAACCGTCTGGTAACTGAAAAAGACCTGTATGTCCTGTTACAGAAATGTAAACCAAACTAAAAACCCCTGAATTTCTAGGTGTCCCAAGACTTTTCTTTTGACTTTTTTTTTTTTGCTTTTACTGGGGATTCAGTTTGTTTGTTCTTTTTCTATAACATCTCTTACCTTGCATGTTTTGAACTTGCATATTAAAGTTTAGAGAACTTGTTTTAAATGCTTGAGATGAACTTCTTAAACCATTACGTAACTAATTTTTAAAGTGAGTCTAAACTTATGTGGTGACAAAGTTTTCTCTTTCGTTTTTTAAGTGATGGGAAATTTTGGTGTCCTGGGTAGTTATATCCTTTTTCTAATTCACTTGATTCACTGATGCCTATGATTTCTATAATTACCAGATTGTACATTTTGTCCCATATCTCTTGTGATTGTATCTGTACCCCTCAGATGAGTTGTTCTGTTTCAGGGAGCCACGAAGATATAAATCTGTAATTTTCTTTGAGAGTGACATAAACCCTAAGTTAGGAACTCCCTTAACTTCTAGCTTTTAGGGCACTGTAGAGTCAGTCTCTGTTCCTGAGGGCATCATTAGACTCAGTGGGTTTCTGTTGCTATGGGTCGCATTATATTAAAATCACTGTTTCTTTGCTGCCAACTTCTCCCAAGGCAAAGCAATTCGCAGAAACAGCTGACTTCACTTTAGCCTATCTTTCTCAGTAGTCACTGTGCTGATTGGCCGTTTCAATTTCTAACAAGATATTGGTTTTTATTTTTTATTCATACATATTTGAGTAAACAAATGAACAAACAAACTGAATCCACAGTAAAAACAACAAAAAAATTATGTCAAAAGTAAAGTCTTGGGACACCTGCAACTGGCTTGATGAAGTTAAAAGACCCTAATGAAAAGTTTCAGACAGAAAGGTAACTTACAGTCTGGTGTGATTTAAATTTGTCTGAACTTAAGACAATAGTTACAAAACAGTCTAGAATAGATTTGGTTGAGAATAAGCAGAGCAGCAGAAATATGAGACTTGTGGGTTTTCAGTCTAAACAGTTAATTTATAACTGGGGAGATTTTGTGTCAGTGTGAATGCCAGAGGCCTTTGGGGTCTAGAGCCTTCCCTTACTGCTGCTCATGAACTCAGTTATTTTCTTTCCTGTGAAGGGACTCAGGAAGCAGCTGTGCTTTCTTGGTTTCCTGTTGATCGATTGGTGATCACAGTATGGTCGTGTGAGCCCCAAGGAAGGCAGGCGTTGCAGTTATGAGAACTCTGTGATTCCTTTCTTTTGCTTGTATATAGCCTGTGGTTGGTATGCATGGGTGTAGAATTGAGACAGGAGAAACTGAAAGCTGAATATTTTTTTCCCAGATGTAGTGTGAGATTCTCTCTTTTACTATATTTTGCTGCTGAAACAATTTCTTGAAAACTTAAGTATCTGTGGTTTTGATCCTGGAGGAATAAAATTTTTCTTTAGTAGTTCTAGGTGTCGCAGTATATGATTTGTAATCTGAAGTCTTCTGAATTTTGTATAACAGATAAAATACACCAAAATACTGCCTTCAGCCTGACATTTTCCCACTGTCTCTTAAGCCTGACTTTAGATGTGGGGCTTTTTTTTGCTATTGCTAGTTCAGTTGTTTTTGCTTTCTTATGACAGACTGTCAGTAGAGACATTTGTCTCTACTTGGGCAGATTGGGCTTGCTATGAGGCAGACAACTTTTGAGTCCAGAGTTGGCCAGGACTGCTCAGCTTACACAAGTTGTTTTACTGGTTAAGCATTAAGATGGAAGGAGTAGCTGGTGTTTATTTTCTTTGATGGGAATTTTTCATACCTTTTTGGTGTTTTTATGGTTGAATTACTTAACAGCTGTTAATTGCTCAATGTTTTAAATTGGCACTGGTATTTTTTGAGTATTATGCATTTTTGTAATTTGCATAAATCACCTGTGATGCAAACAAACACAACTTTTTAATAGAGCCTCAGATATTGTATTAAATGTGTGACTTCTGACTTGAGGTATTTTTTCCCCAAATTGATATAAGTTCATTTGATATATGCAAGTCTTTGTGGTGCAGTCTTAAAGGATTTTTCTGTGTTTCTTTAATCTGTGTTGTTACTGATGATTAGTTACATTTAACAAATAAATATTTAGATTAAATGGCTTACTAATTTAATATCATTCACTTCCATTTGTGTCAAAAGTGATGACACTTAACAAACCACAATACGCTTGTGAGTATTTGTCCAAATGCATTACAATGCTTGTTTTGTAGTAGTGTAAGGAATAGTGCTCTATCAACTACATTTTAAGGATAATAGGTAGATGTGGTATTAATTCCCTCTGATACTTTCCTCTTGGTTTAGTATCCTGTTTTATAGAAAAGACTTTTATTAATTTGGGGAGTGAGGAAAATTAAAGCTGGCTATTTGAGATGTGATCAGCACTTCTTTTCTGTAGTGCCTTCTAATGGTGTAAAAACCTGGGATTGTCACATTGTCCATTTTTCACATGGTCGCAAGCTAAGAGGAGGAGGGAAGAAGCAGAGCTTCTTCTGTAGTGTGAAATTTTTCAGGGTTGATTTAAACCTTTCTAGGAAATGTCAGGAAAATCTTTAAAAGATAAACCAGCTTACTTTGCAAGAGCACAAATGGATAATTAGGCAATATTGCATGTGGTAAATTTTGGATTGGGAAATACAGTAGAGGCTTGGCTAGCATTTTTTCCCTGGCAAAATGCACTGTGAGTCTGTCTGATATCTGTGCATTCAAAACCTGTCTGAAGAGGGACAAAGACTAGCAAGAGTGATTGTGTCAGGATTGGTATGTAGACAGATTTAAATTTAGGACATAAACATTTTTCCAGGGAATGGATTACATGTATTACAAGACTTTAGTAACAGAGTGTGTATTTTGTGAATTCTCTCTTCTAAATGTCATTGGAAAATGTGCTAAGATCTTTAACAAAACTTAATGTAGTGTTAGCATCTTGTGATGCTTGAGGCAACAGGTAAAGCGGATTGTTAAAGGATTTTTCAGATGCGTTTGCAAGGATTTACCTTCTATTTGAAGGTGACCAACATTCTCTTTTGGAACAGAGAACGTTTCTCCCTGCAGCACCAAAGGGATAACTAATCATGTTGTAATTATGTCCCTGAAACAAGTACAGCCTTGGGCCTCTTCACAGCCCAAGGCTGTACTCTGATTTGGCCTGTCTCCAAAATGATAGCACGGCTGTATTTCAAGTTTTGGAATTATTTAGAGATATTTAAAAATTTTTTTCAGATGTTTAACAGGACATACCAGTAATACTTGTTCAGAATGGAAGGAAGCAGTTTCCTGCTGATTTAGATGGAGAATTTAAGTAGACTGTAATTGCTCCAATTAGAATTTGGCTATTGTACCAGACTAAAAATCGTAGTGTTGTAAAAATAAATAAATGTTATGGGAATTTTTAGTCATCCTAAGGATTTGTAAGATTTAGACTGAGAATTGTCTGTTGTGTAACTGCTGAATCTTATTTACCCAGTCATGTTTCATCTTGACTAAAGAGAAAAAAGTATAGTAAGCTAAACAAACCAATTTTAATATGCAACAGAGACAGAAAAATGTGGTTTTGAGGGTGAGAGGCATTATCTTTTAAGTATTTCTAGTTTTTGAGAAAAGAAATAGGTAGCAGTTAACCATTACTTTCAATTTGCTTATGTGTTATCTTTCTATATAAACATGATGCAAACATTTTTTTCATATATGTGCATGATATGTTCTTAAGTCTTACAAATGAAAATGAGGTAAATGTATTTTATTTATATTGAACTTGGTACAAGTTGTGGCATTTTTCTAAGGATCATTGATGTGGTGCAAAGATTGAGAAAGATTGTATCCAAAGTGAGTTAAAAAGAATTTGCAAGCTTCACAAAAATTAGAAGAAAACATAATAATTGGTCTCTGTCTTCCAATGTGAGAGAATCAAACAGAAGTTATAAAGAAAGAAATACTCAGTGTGTGAAACAGAGATCTTCGTATGGAGAGGAAGCCAACAAGGTAATTCCCTTAGGGAATGTTGGTCTTTGATAAAGAGGCCTGGAGTATTTGTTCATTACCT